GGTATGTTTAAATGCAGTATTTCGAAGAAATGGAATTTGTTTGCACATTTAAAAAAGGAATAAATAGGAAATTATGGTGAATCATGCTTATACCTACCGGAAAACTAAAAATTAGCGCATTTTAATTTTAATTTTCTGTAACTTGTGAATTATGTCAAATTAAAATTAGCGGCTATAAACTTTGGATTATAACCTCTTAAGGCTGCAATTTAGACAAAAATGATGTTAATGTGAACGGTTTTAGTCAAAAGTGGACTGTTAAGTCCTCATCTTATTAAGAGCAGTAGTTATAGTAGTCAGAGTTACCACGCAACCTGGAAACGTCAGGGAATGTCAGGGAATTTTATAAACCTTGAAAAAACCTGCAAAAGTCAGGGAATTTTGATTGGAATCCAGGAAAAATATTGTTTTCTAAAGTTATTGTGCTTATTCTTGAATTCTAATTTCTCTTTAATTCAATTTTCTTAATTCAATTTTAAAAAAGCTGCCTTCACAATTTTTCAATTATTTTCATAAATAATATAACTCATCGCAGAATTTCAATTATTTTTAATACAATTTTAACTGAATTCTTCGAAAAATGTAATTATTCGTAAAAATTTTATTAAAATTCATCAAAGAAATTCAATTATTTTAAAAAGCCTTCCTTAATTTATTTATTAGAATTTAAATATTATTGTCAATACATTTTTAATTAACTTGAAAGAATTCAATTATTTTCAAACATTTTAATGAAATTCTTTTTAACAATTCAATTTATTTTCAAAATAATTTTATAATAAAATTCTTCGTAGAAATTTCATTAATTTCTATAATTTTTAAAAATTCAATTATATTTTCAATACCTACTATTTCAATAAAATTTCACAAAAGAATTCAATTAGGTATTTAAAAAGAAATATTATTAAAATATTCGTCTGAAGAATTGAATTATTTTCAAAAGTAATAAAATTTTTCGCAAAAATTTAATTATGGTCAAAAGTTTGAAAAAATTATCGTCAAAATTTCAATTATCTTTATAAATATTAAAATTTTTCTTCAAAATTCAATTATTTTCGAAAATTTTAATGAAATTTTTTTTTTAACAAATTCAATTTTTTTTTCAAAAATTCTCCTCCATTCATTGATTTTCAATATCGGCTATTTTAATAAAATTTTCCAAAAGAAATGAATTATTTTAACAATTTTTTGATAAAATTCTAAGCAAACCTTTTATTATTTTTATAAATAACAAATATTTCACAGCAATTCAATTATTTACAAATTTTTTATAAATGTCTTCGCAATCATTCAATTATTTTCCTAATAAAATTTTTACGCACGGATTCAATTATTTACGTAAATAATAAAATTCTTTTTAGGAATTTAATTATTTTCATAAATAATAAAACTCATTGCATAACTTCAATAATTTTTAAGACAATTTTAATCAAATTCCTGGAAAAATTTAATTATTCTTAAAATTTTTAATAAAATTCGTCAAAAGAATTCAATTATTTAAAAATTTATTGATAAAATTCTTTATGAGAATTCACTTTTAAGAAATATGAAATCATTGATTAAATTTTTTGTGTATTTAAATAATTGAATTCTGGTAGAATTTTCTAATAAAAATTTATTTAAAAATGAATTTCAGTTAAAATTTTAGATTATAATTGAATATTAAAAGCATTAAAGTGTGCATTTTTAGAAATAATTGAATTTTGAAAATGTTTCAAATTAAAATCCTTGAAAATCTGAATTATTTATTGTTTTAACTAACAATTCTGAGGAATTAATTTCTTTGGAAAATTATTTTCATAAATAACAATATTCAACACAAGAATTCAATTATTTTCAAAATTAAAAAAAATTTTTCACTGAAATTCAATTATATTCAAAAATTTTTTTTAAATTCTCATAAAAATTTCAATTATTTTTATGAATAATAACATTCTTCGCCAAAATTCAATTATTTACATTACTTTTAATAAAATTCATCTTGTCAAAATTCCAATTATTTTCAATATCTACTATTTCAATAAAATTTGACAAAAGAATTCAATTAGGTATTTAAAAAGAAATATTATTAAAAAATTCGTCTGAAGAATTCAATAATTTCCAAAGTAATAAAATTCTTCGCAAAAATTTAATTATCGTCAAAAGTTTGAAAAAATTATCGTCAAAATTTCAATTATCTTTATAAATATTAAATTTTCTCCAAAATTCAATTATTTTCAAAAATTGTAATGAAATTCTTTTTAACAAATTCAATTTTGTTCAAAATTTCTCCTCCATTTAATGATTTTCAATATCGGCTATTTTAATAAAATTTTCCAAAAGAAATGAATTATTTAAAAAAATTTTTGATAAAATTCTAAACAAACCTTTTATTATTTTTATAAATAACAAATATTTCACAGCAATTCAATTATTTTCAAATTTTTTATAAATTTCTTTGCAATAATTCCATTATTTTCAAAAATATTCAATTAATTTTCACAGAAATTCAATTATTTTTATAAATATTAAAGAACTTTTTCAAAAATTATTGAAAATAATAAATTTATGGAAGATGTTTAGTTAAAAACACGAAACAAAATTCAATTTTGTAAAAGTTACAAATTATTGCAAAAATTCAATTAATTTTAAGAGTAATAACATTCTTCGCAAAAATTAAATATTGTTCAAAAGTAATAAAATTCTTCTTTGGTATTCAATTATTTTCACAAATAATAAAACTCATTGCTGAATTTCAATTATTTTTAATACAATTTTAATTGAATTTCTTAAAAAATGTAATCATTCTTAAAAATATTATTAAAATTCGTTGATAGAATTTAATTATTTAAAAATTTGTTGATAACGATTCTTTAAGAGAATTGAATTTTAAAAAACATTCAATTATTCAATAAATTACTTATTTTTGTATTTAAATTTTAAATAATTGAATTGTCGTTTGAATTAATTAATTAATTGAATTTAAATTTGAATAATTTAATTTAATAATTATCAAAAGGAGAATTTTCTATACTTTTAACTGAAAGTTGTGTAGATTTAATTTTTTTGATAAAGTTCAAATGATTTTTTTTAAGTTATTTGAAGTTTTTATTTTCTAATATTTGATTGAAGAATTTCCGAATACGATGAAATTTCGTAAAATTGAATTGTAAACAAATGGATTTAAAAATGTTGAAAGAAATCTTTTAAAAATTATTAATAATAATTAATAATAATTAATTTAAAGAAGAATTTTAGTTAAAAATTTTAGAAAACAATAATTGAATTAAAATGATGAAAGTAATTTTGAATAAGTTACAGTAACAATATTCTTATAATATAAAATAATGATTTTATCAGTCGGTTATTGTTAATTAATAATTATTATAAAACATAAAGATATCGATCACTCCGAGTCGAAGACTCGGAGTTATCGATATTTTCATGTTTTATAACAATTTTTTATAAGATGTTTAATTTCAAAAAGGTTTTAATTAAAAATTTTGTTAAATATAAATGTAGTTTTAAAAACCTGGAAAAATTACGTTTTTTAATTTTAACCTGGAAAACCTGGAAAAGTCAGGGAATTTGAAATGAGCGTGGCAACCCTGAGTAGTAATAATGAATAGTAATAATTAATATTAATATTATTAATTATTATTAATAGTAATATTAATATTATTAATAGTTAATAGTAAAGTGGTTAACAGTACCAAATATTTACCTAATATTAGCAAAATAATAGTAATAGTAAAAGGAAAAGTAACTAAATTCGGCAATAAAGAATTTCGACACAATGACATATATATTCATTTAATGGCAAATATTCAAATAATTTAAAAGTATGTATACCAAAAGGAAAAATTGGAGCGAGTGATAAATAATATTGACATTATTCTGTAATTGATGATTGATGTTATTAATTTTGTAACCAAGTTTCTTTTGCTAGGCGTTAAAACGTTAAAAATGATTAGATAAAGAAAAAATTGATGTGACGCGTGTTCCGATTTCCAGACTGCAAGTTCGTAAAACGATCGAACATTAATCTGATTGTAGTCGTACTTACAACAGCTCAAACATATCGAATGTGTGAGGAATGCGTCACCTCAAAAAAGTGGAGCAAAGAAAATTTTTACCCACAACTCATAATTTATGATTGCACACAAAAATTGAAACAAACATATTGCAAGAATGGAAACAAGTTTACTTTTTCCAAATGATTTAGCTGATTTTTTAATATAACAATAAAAATGCTCAAGTGGAAATATTCAAGTAAAAAGATTCAAATCTTCTTAAAATTCTTAAAAATTCTTAAAACTGTTGAGCATTTATTTAACATGCAGTTTTGTTGAAAAACGCAAAACTTATTTCACATCTGTAGTAAAAAGTAAAATAATAGGAAAACTGAAAGTTTAATTTCCTTTCTTGCAATTCTAAAATTCACATAATGCTCGCAAAAGAAGACACGTAAGTATAATTTTATGAAAATATACAACAAAAGGAAACAATCTGGAACAGCATATGAAACGTAAGATAAGAGTATCTTGTAATTAGACTACTTCAGGATGCAACTACTGCAATTTACATTTGACTAATTATATACATCCTTTCAACAAGAAATTGTAGTATACTTGTATCTCCTTTTCAAGAGTCTTTTGCATCTTAAATTTTATTGTATATTCTTAGTCCCTTATTTCATTTTAATAGCGTTTCGAAAATTGTCGACCAAGCGTCCATACCTACTTTACAAAAAAAAAAAGAAAAGAAACACGTAAATAAACTTGTTTCTGGAATTTTTTAAATAGCGGACATCAAATAAATTTTTTGTGTCATATTCATAGTTAACCTTCGACTTTTTCCCGCGTGTTCACTAAATTCTAATCTAGTAACTTATGCTATTAATAATTGCAACTTTAATGCAAATGCATTAAAGCTTCAAATGAGGCATTTTAATATTTGTAAAACGTTGATCTTAATTTTAATACTAATAAATAATTATTTGTTTGTTTGTTTGTTTTCAGTTTTCTCAATTCTCTGGGCGTCGACGCAGCAGATTCCCCAGGATGCGAGATCGCAGGAACCGCCTCGGGAAGCATATTTCAATGGTTCGGGATATTTGATATTGAGTTCCTTCGTCTCAGTTCACAGGCATAGTGGTCTCAGTTTCCGAACATGCGAACCTGGAAATCTTTTCACTCAGTGGTTTAAAAGTGATTCGATAAGTCTCAAAGTCAATTCAGAGGGTCTTCTCTTTGTTGCGACTGTTAATCAAAAACGATACGAAGTCAAATTAAATGCTAAACTATTGGATAATGTCTGGCACAATGTTAATATTTTCTTCAAACTTGGCAACTTGACGCTTAATGCCGCCAATCACAATCAGGTATGTAATTACCAAAGACAAATTTTACTAAATTTTATTTAAAACTTTCATTTTTATTCTATGAAATCATTTCGAAGTTGGTTTTATTAGTAAATTTTTAACTTCTATTGTTGATTCGAACAAATTTATTTTTCTTTTTTGTTTGCCTTACGAATTTTGAAATTTCTACCAATTTTAATAACAGTCCTTAAATTTTTTTCTATTTCCGACAATAAGTTACTTTAAATAATTAAATTCTTGAAAAATTTTCATAAAATTATTACTTGTAAATTATTTACTGAATAATAATATTAAAACAATAATCATTATTATTTAATATAATTATTTAATGTAATTATTTAATAATTCCAAAAATAATTCAATTTTGTAAAAATTGCGTTTACAATTTTCATAAATAAAATGAATTTCAGCAGATTTCAATTTTGAAATTTTAGAAAATTTTAATTTCTAATTAATTTAATTTACAATTTTAAAAAGGTTTAATTTTCCTTGAATGTAATGAGAAACTTTAAAAAAACTTAGTTTCATAAAAAATTATATATTTCAAATTTTGAAACTTGTTAAAAGTTTTAAATATAAATTTATTTGATTATTGAAAATAATGGATTTCTAGAAGAATTTTACTTAAAAACTCTAAAAAAAAATTGAATTTAGAAGAAGTTACAAATAATAGTAATTTTTAGAAATAATTGAATTTTGAAAAGATTTCAAATTCAAATCAATGGAAAATGTGAATGTTTTAAAACTTTTAATTAATAATTCTGTGGAACTAATTTTTATGAAAAATTTTAATTTCAATTCTGTAGAATTTCGTTGAATCTTTTATTAAATATTTGATATTATTTCAAAAATTTTAACGCAAATCTTCGAAAGAATTCAATTATCTTGATAAATATAGAAATTTTTCACAGAAATTCAATTATTTTCAGAAATTTTAATAGAATTCTATTTAACATTCGATTATTTTCATAAATATAACAATATTTATCACAAAAATTCAATTATTTTCAAAAGTAATAAAATTCTTCGCTCAAAAATCCAATTATTTTCACAAAAATTTTTTTAATTTCGCGTCAAGATATCAATTATTTTTATATATAACAAAATTCTTTGCAAAAAATCAATTTTTTCCAAAAAATATTCTCTTTTCAATGATTTGCAATAACTGTTATTTTAATAAAATTTCCAAAAGAACACAATTAATTAAAAAAAAATTGTTGATAAAATTCTATACGTAAACATTTAATTATTTTCATAAATAATAAAAATTTCACAGGAGTTTAATTATTGAAAAACAAAAGTAGAATTTATTTAAATTTTTACGAAAAAAATCAATTATTTAAATTTTTTAATAAAATTCTTCAGACTAATTCAATTATTTTCATAAATATTTAAATTCTCTTCAGGGATACCAATTATTTTTATAAATAATAAAATTCTTCTCCAAAATTCAATTATTTTTAAAAATTTTAATAAAATTCTTGGCAAAACTTCAATTATTCTCGAATTATTCTTAAAACTTTATTAAAATTTGTCAAATAAATTAAAATTTGTTCGAAAGAATTCAATTATTTAAAATAGAATTTATCTAAATTTTTCCGTAAAAAATCAATTATTAAAATTTTTTAATAAAATTCTTCGGAATAATTCAATTATTTTCATAAATATTTTAATTCTTTTCAGAGATTCAATTATTTTTATGAATTATAAAATTTTTTTTAGAAATGCAATTACTTTCATGAATTTTATTATTCATGAAAGAATTTCAATTATTTTGAATACTATTTAATTGAATTTCTCGAAAAATACAATTATTCTCAAAATATTCTAAAAACTTTATTAAAATTTGTCGAAAGAATTCAATTATTTAAAAATTTTTTGAAAATAATCTTCATGAAAATTCAATTTTAAGGAACATTTATCTATTTAGTAAATTATTTATTTAATTATATTTTTATAATTGAATTCTCGTAAATTCTTCTAATAAAAATTGACATTTTAAAAATTAAATATAGTTAAAATTTTAGATAATAATTTGAATATTACTAAAAGAATTAGAATAAATGAATTGAATGAATTTTTATAAATAACTGAATTTTGAAAAGATTTAATTTAAAATCATTGATAATTATACTTTTACCTAGAATTAATTTTTTTGAAAAAGTTTAATTGAATTTTTTACATTATTTTTGGGGGTTTTTATTTTCTAATATATATTTAATATTGTAAACAAATGAATTTGAAAATTCTCAAAGAACTTTTTGAACAATTAATAAAAATAATTGCTTTAACGAAGAATTTTAGTTAAAAATTCTGGAAAAGAATAATTGAATTAAAGTAATGAAAATAATTTTGAATTTAAATTTTTTTGAAAATCTTAATTCCAATGGGAAAATAATAATGATTAAATAATTATTTTCAATAAAAGTATTGTTTCATTCAAAAAATTTTATATTTAAAGAAACTCGCAAATAAATGTAATAGAATATTTTTTGAGTTACTTAATAATTTTTATAGTGAATTCGGTTGATAGTAATTTTGTTTACAAAAATAAATTCTTCCTCTAAGTTCTCAATAGAGATAAATTCGAATTTTTTGAAATTAAAATCCAAAATGTAATTTTTTCCCTGATTGTCTAATACTAATTGATAAATGAAGTAAGAATTTATAAATTGTATTTTTTGCAGATAATAGCGAATGCTACCTACAACTCGGCAATTCTCACACTTCCGGATCATAGTGTAAATAGTTCTCTAATAGTTGGAGACAAATTTCGAGGTTGCATTCTCCAGGGACCGGGAATACTCTTCAATGACTCGATCAACACAGGCGCATTCTTCGGATCCTGTCCATCCAACTTCACAGCATGTGAGTCACGAAAAGATTTCTTTTTTCGAAAGTTAACCCTTTTCAGATTCTTCAGTTTAGATTTTAGAACAGAACAACAAACTGTTTTGTATTTTTCATATAAGAGTGAAAAGCACTAGTTTTTTGTCACAGCACTGTTTGAAATTAAAATCACGAGTTTGTTTTTGTAAACAATTGAGAAAATTCTTTTACTTTTACGGAGAATATTCAATATTTGGAAAAAAAAAGATTCGAAAATTTACAGACTTGCCGCAGGTCAGAAAAATCAGGGTTTTTTATTAATGGAAAGAAAAAATTGAATTTTGGACAAGTTACAAATGATTGCAGAACTTCAATTATTTTCAAAAGTAATAAAACTCTTCGCCGAAATTTAATTATTTTCAAAAATTTTTCTACTTTAATAGAATTTTTCAAAAGAATTCAATTATTTAAAAAAAATTTTGATAAAATTCTAAACAAACATTAAATTATTTTCAAAAATAACGATTTTTATCACAAGAATTCAATTATTATTAAAAGTGAAAAAAATTCTTCTGGGAAATTCAATTATTTTTTAGAAATAATAAAATTCTTCTCCGAAATTCAATTATTTTAAAAAATTTTAATATTCAATTATTTTCATACATAATAAATTTTTTTACAAAGATTAAATAAAACTCGTTGTAGAATTTCAATTATTTTTAATACAATTTTAATCGAATTCCTCGAAAAATTTAATTATTCTTGAAAATTTTATTGAAACTCGTCGAAAAAACTCAATTATTTAAAAATTTGTTGATAAAGTACTTTATGAGAGTTTTTAATTTTAAGAGACATTTAATTATTTACTTTTATATTTAAATGATAATTGAATTCTCGTAGAATTTTATAATTAAAAATTATTTAAAAATTAATTTTAGTTAATGGAATTCTTCTTTCGAAGAATACAAGTTATACAATTTTTTACAGAGATTCAATTATTTTCATGAATAATAAAACTGGTTGCAAAATTTTAATTATTTTTAATAAAATTTTAATTAAATTCTTAAAAAAATTTAATTATTCTTGAAAATTTTATTAAAACAATAATTGATAATTGATTTCTTTCGAAGAATTTTAATACAAATTTTTTAAATAATTATATTTTTTGAAAAATTTATTTATAATTGTATTAAAAATAATTGAAATCCTGTGAAGAATTTTTATTATTATTTAATTTTTATTCTTATTTTTAATTATTATTTGTAAAAATAATTGAATTCTTGCAACGAAATTTTATAAAATTTTTTTTTAAATAATTGAATTTCTACGAAGAATATTATTATTTCTATGAAAATAATTGAATTCTTGTAATGAATTTTATTACATTTCTTTTAAATAATTGAATAAAAATAATTTAATAAAAGTAATTGAATTCTTGAAAAGAATTTTATTACATTTTTATTTCAATAATTGAATTATTTTGATAAATTTTATTAAAATGGTAGATTTTGAAAATAATTGAATTTCAGCGAAGAATTTCATTATTTGTGAAATGCAATTGAATTCTTTCAAAAAATTTGTGAAAATAATTACATTTTTCGAGGAAATCATTTAAAGTAATTGTATTAAAAATAATTGAAATCCTATGAAAAATTTTATTATTTATAAAAGCAATTCACTTTTTGCAAAGGATTTTATTAAAATCTTTGTAAATAATTTAATTTTTTTTGAAAAGTTTTATTGAAATTTAAATTATTAAAAAACATAAAGATACCGATCAATTATATAAAAAAGTTTTATTCAATTCATTGACTTTAAATATTTACTATTTTAATAAAATTTTTCTAAAGAATTCAATTATTTAAAAAAAAATTTTATAAAATTCTACGCAAACATTAATTAATTATTTTCAGAAATAATAAAAAGTACACAAGAATTCAAATATTTACAAATTTTTTTATAAATTTCTTTGCTATAATTCAATTATTTTTATAAATAACGATTTTCATCACAAGAATTCAATTATTTTGAAAAGTTAGAAAATTCTTCGCAAAAATTCAATTATATTCAAAAGTTTTTAATCTAATTTCTAGAAAAATGTAATTATTCTTGAAAATTTTCTTAAAATTCGTTGAAAAAATTCAATTATTTTTAAAATTTGTTGATAAAGTTCTTTATAAGAATTCAATTTTAAAAAAACATTTATTTATTCAATAATATCTTATTTTTGTATTTAAATAATTAAATTATAGTAGAATTTTCTAAGAAAAATTGATTTAAAAATGAATTTCAGTTTTAATTTTTAAAAATAATTGCATTTTTCGAAGAATTTTAATAAAATTTGTAAAAGTAATTACATTTTTTAAAGAATTTACTTAAAATTGTATTAAAAGTAATTGAAATCCTGTGAAGCGTTTTATTATTTGTAAAATGTAATTGAATTCTTGCAACAAATTTTTGAAAATAATTACATTTTTCGAGGAAATCATTTAAAATTTTATTAAAAATAATATTGAAATCCTATGAAAAATTTTATTATTTATGAAAATAATAATTCAATTATTGCGAAGGATTTTATTAAAAATTTTGTAAATAATTAAATTTTTTTTGTGAAAAATTTTATGGAAATTTAAATTAATAGAAATTTGTAAATCTTAATTTTTATTGAGTAATAAAAAGTATTAAATATTTATTTAAAAACAAAAGTTATCGATGTTTTCAAATAATTTTACAATTAAAGAAATTTTCATTTTTTTTTTTAAAACATTGGAATAGTAGGTAAAAATTTTTTTATGTTTTTGAGAAACATTGGAATAGTATTTAAAAAAGTTTGGGTGTTTTTGAGAAAACTTTTTTTTTAAAACATTCTTTTGAGTATTTAATAATTTTGATAGTGAATTGCCGAATATACTTTCGAGTCAGGGAAAAAGTAAAAATTTTGTCTGGAAATCAGGGAAAAACAAAATTAATTTTTTTGGTGGCAAGCCTGATTTATGAATCTTTTAATTTTTCTAAATTCACAATCCATAAAAGCAAGAGAAGAGTTTCTATACTTGTGAAAATGAAACCATACAGGTGAAACTATTTTTCTGTTTGAAGAATTATCGCTTGATTAAGAATGCATGTCTAGCTAATTGAGTGTCTAATTATCTTCAACGAGGTATTTTTTTTTCTCAATTTTCCAACCATTTTTGCAAATGGTTATTAAGTACGTAATAACGTAAACAAAGAAGATTGAATAAATAATTAAATTATAGAGTTTTCTTTTGAAGCAAAAAAAAGAGAAATAACAGTTTGGATTTAGAAATTAGATGTTTTTTTAGAAGTAGATTGTAGAAAACCCCGCACTAGATAGAGAGAGTACTTATGAAAATTTCAGGTGGTTCCGGAAAGGGAGACGAAGTTTCCACCCCAATATCAACTATGGACAACTGCAAACACGAGCCATGCTTGAGGCACGGAAAATGCGTGTCGAGGCAGAACCGTTACGAGTGCCACTGTTACAAACGATATTCCGGCAACAACTGCCAAATTGACAATGGTAGATCTCGACTGATCCTTCACGATCCAATTCGCATGACCTTTCTATTCATGGGGACAATGCTTTTATTTTAGAAATCCTTTTTCACCCGGTCAATGCTCTTTAAATCTTTTTAATAATAATAATAATAATAATAATAATAATAATAACAATAACAACAACTACCAGTCCCAGGAACAAGGAAGTCCACAATTACTCAAAAGTGCCAGATGAATAAAACAATGAAAGAATTAACTGCACGAAAAAAAATCGAAGTGTGCAAAAAAAAACACGAGTGTTTTTATACAGTTAGGAAGAGTTTCATGTCAGTCATAGTCTGTGAGTGCGAAAGAGATAATCTTTGGCGAATTCCATAGTTTTCTACACTTAGGGAATGGAGTAATTGAGGCAAACTAAAATAATTGAGGCAACTAATAGAATTGCAGTGAAAAACTGTTGTGCAGCGCTAGTCGATGTTTACTCTCACAGATGAATAAAAATTGGGGGAGGAGCTTTTCGAAAAATTGGTGATTGTTGCCGTTTGGTTAGTGATTGCTTGAAAAAAGTTGGAGAGCTCGATCCAGAGCCTTCATCAAAAAGGAAAGCTGCTCTCCCAAAAGTAAACTGAGTTGTGCATTTCTTTTTTACGCAGAACTTCCGCACATTGTACGAACAGTTTTTCAGTGTATGCTGGCATCACAGTTGGTCCTCTTTTCCCCTTTTGTCCCCTTATTTCAATTTTATCACCTTTTTCACCTTTTTTTGCTGATTTGTCCCCTTTTTCACCTTTTTCTAATCAAAAACAAGGAAAAATAATTAATTAACATTCAAATAATTAAAAGATTATTATTAATAGTTTTTTCTAGAAAAACTAAAATTCTAATACAAAACCTTCAATTTTTTCCATTTCTGACAATATATAATTTCTTTTTAACTAACTTAATTCTTGAAGAACTATCATAAAATTATAACTTAGAAATTATTTAATGAATAATAAGCAAAATTTTATTTATACATTTCAAAATTAATTGAATTTTAAAATAGTTTCGTTAACACTTTTCTTAAATAGATGAACTTTAAAACATTTTAATTTCAAATTTTACAAAATTTCAATTTTGAATGAATTTCATTAGAAATTCTAAAAAACTTAAATTTTTGCAAACATTTTCAAAATTTAAATTATTCTAAAATCAGTTAAATTTTTTAATACATTATATTTAATTAATTGTTAAAAATAAAGAAATTAACGGGAAATTTTAGTTAAAAAAACGAAAAAAAAATTTTGAATTTTAGAGAAGTTTCAAATAATTGCAAAAATTAAATTATTTTCAAAAGTAATAAAATTCTTCGCAAAAATTCAATTATATTAAAAAAATTTAAAGAAATTCTAGTCAAAATTTCAATTCTCTTTATAAATAATAAAATTCTTCTTTGAAATTCAATTATTTTCAAAAATTTTAATAAAAAATTCTTGGCAAAATTTCAATTATATTCCAAAAATTTTCTTCTATTCAATGATTTTCAGTATCTACTATTTTAATAAAATTTCTGCAGAAGAATTTAATTATCTTTAAAAATTTTCTTCTATTCAATGATTTTCAATATCTACTATTTTAATCAAATCCTCCAGAAGAATTCAATTTTCGAAAGTAAAAAAATTCTTTACAGAAATTTAATTATATTAAGAAATTTTTTTTTAAATTCTCATAAAAATTTCAATTCTCTTTTATAAATAATAGAAATCTTTTCCAAAATTCAATTATTTTTAGAAATTTTAATAAAATTCTTGATAAAATTTCAATTATTTTCAAAAAATTTCCTCAATTCAATGCTTTTTAATATTATCTAGAATTTTAATGAAATTTTCCGAAATAATTCAATATTTACAAAAAATTTTAAGAACATTTTACGCAAACATTTAATTTTTTTTCATAAATAACAAAAATTTCATTGAAATTCAAACGCATTTACAAATTTCTTAAATATTTCTTTGCAATAATTTTATTACACTTATAGAGTAAAATATTATTTAAACCAAATATATTTTATTTTAGTTAAATAAACGAAAATTTTTACAAACCATTTTTTAAATAATTAAATTCTGTTTGGAAATTTTATGAAAATAGTAAATACCGAATTGAATTGAATAAATCATTAAATTGCGGAAAGTTTTTAAAGATAATTAAATTTTACAAAGTATTCTATTCAAAAATTTAGCAATAATTGAAAGTCTGTGGGAAATTTTATTAAATTTTTTTGAAAATAGTTCAATTCCTAAAAAGCATTTTATTATTTATGAAAATAATTGAATTTTGAAAAGAATTTTATTAAAATACCTTAAAATAATTGAATTTTCGGGAGTAATTGTCTTATTTATCGACATAATTGAATTCTTTCGAAAAATTATTTGTGTAAATAATTGAATTCTCAGAAAAAATTTAATTAAAATTTTTAAAATTAATTGAATTGTTTCAAAAAAATTTAATTAAAATTGCATTTAAAACAATTTATTCCTTTAGAATAATTTTATTACATTTTTGAAAATAATTATTCAATCCTTCCAAATGTTATTTAAAAAAACATTTTTTTAAATAATTGATTTTTTCGAGAAATAGAAATTAAGTTTTTAAGAATAATTACATTTTTTGAGAAATTCTTGTTAAATTGTATTAAACATTATTGAAATCCTGCAATGAATTTTATTATTTATGAAAATAATTGAATTCTTGCGAAAAATTTTATTAAAATGTTTTAAAAGAATTGAATTTCTGTGGAAAATTTTATTATTTTTGAAAGTAATTGAATTCTTCATAAGAATTTTATGAACATTGTTAAATAATTAATTTTTTCAAAATATAATAAATATTATGAAAATTTTATTAGTTTAAATAATTGAATTCTTGTGGAAAACTTTATTTTTGAAAATAACTGAATTTTTCGATTATTAATTTCAAATAGTAATGAAAATAATTGAAATTATTCCATGAGTTTTATTATTTATGAAAATAATTAAATTCTTGCTTAGAATTTAATCAAAAATTTTTTTAAAAAAAATTGAATTTTTATGAAAAATTTTATTATTAGTGTTTGCAATTGAATTATAGTGAAAAATAAATTACATAAAATTTTGTTGAATAATTGTTTTTTTCGAAATTTTTTTGAAAATTAGCGAATTTAAAATAGTGGAAATTCTCAAAAAAAATATTATTTATATTCTTTGTTCAGAAAGTTGAATATATAATAATTTTTTTACCTTTTCTAATTTCTTCAGAATAATTAAAATTTTCGTTATGAAGATTATTTTTAATTTGGGTATCAAAGAACAATTTTTGCGAAATTTAATTAAATTCAATTCAAATTTCCTCGTACAAGAAAGTTTAATTATTTTCAATTTTGAAAATCTGATGTCAAATTTGAAATTAGTATCAAAATTTGTTAAAGTTTTTTTATATACTTTAAAGATTAAAAATATAATATCAGAATAATAATAATTTGAAAATTTAATTCTAAGTTCAATAAATAAATGAAATAAATTAAATTTGATAATAAAATATTGACTTTCTTAAATACTATAAATATTTGTTCAATAGTAATACATTTACTAAACATATAAGTGTATTAAATAGACACTATAAAATAATATAAATATATTTTGATATTCTGTTATAAAAAGAAATAGGCGCTTTTTAATAATTGAGGAAATTGTGGCAGACGATCACTGGCAGGTGTACCATACATATATGAGTAAATTAATCGATTCAATCATGCATTGAACTATATAAAACTATATATACTAACTTACTGTACTATAGGTTCATGCAAGAATTGATCCACCCTCCTTGGGTTTCGGTCTTACAATCGTACACTATTCTACGTGCATGTAAAGAGGTTTGCGTGCATTGCCTTATCGAACAAAAAAATTTACGTTGGTCAAAGCACTTTTATAGATCTTTGCATACAATTATGTAGATCCTTTAAGAATAGAAAAAAACCTCCCGTAGAATTAGAACATTAACGCTTGAAAATTTCTCCTTTTAAAATACCACTTATTATTCGAAATGCACACTAATAATAATTATTGTAATTTTCTTAAAAACTTCTTTCACTTTCAGGTCTTTTAGTTTGAAAAAAATGCCTTTTTAGTTTTTAGTTTCTAAAATTACAATTATTATAAGTCTAATTATAATTATTGTAACTCTAAAATCTAATGACTAACAAAATTTTGTTTATAATAATGAGTATGAGTAAAACAGATTTTAAAAATTGTAAACAAGAAAATTAATATAATATTCAACACTGGTAATTTTATGCAACTTATTTTGTATTTAATTTTGTTTTCTTTTTTTCTATTTACTTGAACCTTGAACCTGAAGTAAAATCGATTTCCAGGAAAACAAGGGTGCATATTTTATTACAATATAAATGAGTAATATTGAAATGTTTTATTGTGTTTAAAAAATTCATGTATATTTTCTGTATCTGATTTTTTTTTGCTGTTTTTTACTTTTTTGTACTTTTTATGTTTAGCGAAAAAAAGCAAAACAGTAAAAATTAAATTTATTTAAGATTTTACGTAACAATTTTTCTTTTGCAAACAAAGCCGATTTATAAAAATATTCACATGAATTAAAAACAATGAATTTTTGCTAGGATATATGTAAGGACTCAAACTAGGTCGGTAAATTTTTTTGAGTGACATAAAAGTAATTTTTTTTAAAAAACGTCCGTAAAGTCCGCAATTTCTTTGTAAAAGTATAAAAAGTCCGTACATTGTACGAATATAATTAGGAAAATTTTAATAAAATTCTTGGCAATATTTTAATTATTTTCAAAAATTTTCAAAAAGAATTCAATTATTAAAAAAAAAAAATTAATAAAATTCTACTCAAACATTTAATTATTTTCATAAATAATAAAAATTTTATAGGAATTCAATTATTTAAAATAATATTTGCATAAATTTTTTCGAAAAAAAATCAATTATTTAAATTTTTTAATAAAATTCTTCAGACTAATTCAATTACATATTTTCATAAATATTTAAATTCTCTTCAGGGATTCCAATTATTTTTATAAATAATAAAATTCTTCTCCAAAATTCAATTATTTTTAAAAATTTTAATAAAATTCTTGGCAAAACTTCAATTACTTTCAAAAATTTTCCAAAAGAATTCAATTATTTAAAAAAAAATTCATAAAATTCTACTCAAACATTTAATTATTTTCATAAATAATAAAAATTTCACAGGAATTCAATTATTTAAAAATAAAAAAGAGTTTGCATAAATTTTTTCGAAAAAAATCAATTTTTAAAATTTTTTTATAAAATTCTTCGGATTATTCAATAAATTATTTTTTTTTCGTTTTCAAATAATTATTAAATTCCCTTAGAATGTTCTAATAAAATTGATTGTTAAATGAATTTCAGTTCGAAAAGGTTTCACATTAAATTCTTTGAAAATCTGAATTATTTATTCTTTTTCTAATTAAAAATTTTGTAGAACTAAATATTTTGAAAAATTTTAATTATAATTCTTTTGGAATAAGTTGAATTTTTTAGAATAAATATTTAATCATTAATTATTTATTTATTAAATATAATTCAATTTTGAATAAATTTAATTAAAAATTCTGCAGAACTAAATATTTTGACAAATTTTCATTATAATTTTTTTGAAATTAGTTACATTTTTTAATATATATTAAATTAATTATTAAAAATAATGGATTTATAGAAGAATTTTAGTGAAAAACAATAAAAAAATAGAATTTTAGAAAAGTAACAAATAATTGCAAAAATTTAATAAAAATTCTACGTAAATATTTAATTAATTTCATAAATAATAAAAATTTCACGGAACTTCAATTATTTACAAATTTTTTATAAATTTCAACTCAATAATTTATTTATTTATTTATTTATTTATTTATTTAGATATATATACGGGCTGTGCCCATTCGTACAGTGTACTAAATATAATAAAAAGTATGACAGAATTAATTACAAAAATTAGTTGGCCGCAATTTTCATCATTATTATTATTATTATCATAAACAATCGCTCGCAAATTTTTTATAAATGAATTGATTGAATTCAATTATTAATTGAAAATAAATAATTAATAAATAATTAATAAATAATTAATAAAATTAAATAAATAATAATAAATAAATAATAATTAATAAATAATAATTAATAATAAATAATTAATAATAAATAATTAATAATAAATAATTAATAAATAATAATTAAATAAATAAATAATTAATTCAATTATTTTCATAAATAATAAAACTCATCGCAGAATTTCAATTATTATTAATACAATTTTAATAAAATTCCTTGAAATAAATAATTTTTCTTAAAAATTTTATTAAAATTCGTCGAAACAATTCAATTATTCAATTATGTTTCAATTATTTAACAAGTTGTTGATAAAATTCTTTATGAAAATTCAATTTTAATAAATAATCGGTTATTCTACAAGTTATTTATTTTTGTATTTAAATAATTGAATTCTGTTTGAATTTTTTAATAAAAATTGATTTAAAAATGAATTTCAGTTAAAATTTTAGATAATAATTGAATATTAAAAGCAAAATAGCGTGAATTTTTGGAAATAATTAAATTTTGAAAAGGTTTCAAGTTAAAATCTTTGAAAATTTGAATTTTTCATATACTTTGAACTGAAAGTTGTGTAGATTTAACTTTTTTTTCTTAAAAGTGAATAATATTTCAAATATATAACAAAAAGTTATTGATTTTTTTTTAAAATTATTTGAGGTTTTTTTTCTAAAGAATATTGAATTGTAGAATTTCCGAATAATTGAAATTTCGTAAAATTGAATTGTAAACAAATGAATTTGAAAATTCTCAAAGAAAATTTTCAAAAATAATTAAAAATAAAATTGATTTAAAGAAGAATTTTAGTAAAAAATTCTAGAAATTAATAATTGAATTGAAATTATGAAAAAAATCTTGAGGAATTTACAGTAACAATTTTTATTTATAATTCAATAAATTTCAAAAGGTTTGAATTGGAAATTTTGTAAAATCTTAATTCTTATGGAAAAATAATAATGAAATGATTGAATTTCCAAAAGGTTTCAAATAAAAATTTTCGAAAATTTAAATATTTCATACTTTTAATTAATAATTCTGTAGACTTAATTTTTTTTAAAAATATTAATTCATATTCTTCTTAAATTATTTGATGCTTTTATTTTCTACTCTATATTTAATTGAAGAATTTTGGAATAATCGAAATTACGTAAAATTGAATTGTAAACAAATTAATTTTAAAATTCTCAAGAAACGTTTTCAAAAATTTTTAAAAATAATTGATTTAATGAAGAAATTTAGTTAAAATTTCTAGAAATAATAATTAAATCGAAATTATGAAAAAAATCTTGAAGATGTTACTGTAACAATATTTTTATAATATAAAATAATGATTTTATCACTCGGTCATCTTTAATTATTAAAAAACAAGAAGAAATCGATCACTCCGAGTGTTTTTTAATAATAATTCTTATAAATTGTTACATTTGAAAAATGCTTGAATTTAAAATTTTAGAAAATCTTAATTTCTATGCAAAAATAATTATTCAACATTTATTTAAAAATGATGTTATTGATGTCTTTTTAAAAATAATTTTACAATTAAAGAAATTCGTAACTAAATGTAAAAGAACATTTTTTGAGTATCTAATCATTTTTAGAGTGAATCGCAGAATATTCTTGAGGGTCAGAGAAAAAATAAAAATTATGTCTGGAAATCAGGGAAAAAGAAAATTAATTTTTTGTGACAACCCTGTTATTATATATTTTTATTAACGTTAAAAATTGTTTTACTTTCGATGTCAAGTTCGAGTCACCATCTTCCTTAAATAACCGACTTTCAATTAATCAATTAATGAACTCATTGAAAAGTTGATGTGGGAAAAGTTTCTCACGATAAAACTGATATCAAAGTATAAGATCTGTGGTTACACGAGGCTGCATGAAAACAACAACAACAACAACAACACTCTTGGGCTTTTGATTTCACTTATGTTTATGACTAACATGCAATAATAATTACTATGTATCAAAAAAGTTGAAGCATTTGATTAACATTTAAATGATTTTCATTCAGGTTCTCCGTGTTTGAAGAATCCTTGTCACAGTGGTGGCACCTGCTTCGAGGATCAAAGAGGCGATTATAGTTGCAACTGTTTACCTGGATACACTGGGACTTATTGCGAAACGAAGATGGGAGAACGATTGTGCAAAGACAATCCCTGCAGGAATGATGCCATCTGTATTGAGTCAAACAACGATTACAAGTGTGAGTGCAAACCGGGCTGGACTGGAAAAAACTGCGATGTCAACTTCAACGAATGCCACTCGAATCCATGCAAGAACTCCGGAACCTGTATTGATGGAATCAATAATTACACCTGTAAATGCGAAAAGACTGGGTTAGTCATTCTATTCATTTTCTATATTATGTATTTATTTTTATTTTCAGAGTTTGGAAATTATTTATTTTCAAAAATGCAAAATCGTGCGATAAATTACTTTTTGTAGTAAGTAATTCTGTTTACGAGAATAAGACAGGAAAAGATTCGTACAAGAGATGTTTTATAATTGAGATAGAGAAGAAGAGAGTTGTTTCTTTCCTTTTTTGTCTTATTTGCTTTTGCAAAATATCATGCACACTAACATCTTTTCTTAAACGAGCAATTTTACGATAATTCTAAAAACTGCGGGATATTACAGAGTGAGTGAAAGACAAAAGCTACTAAATACATAAGAATATAAGATTCTTATCACAGGGTTGACGCAGGTCACCATAGTAAAAAAAGTTTTATTATTTTAGTTTGTTTTTAAAAAATCGCTTTTTATTTCAATTTTTATAGATATTTATACTGTTCTCTAAATTTGAATTAGTTAAAAATAATTAATTTGATAGTAAAAAATCAGTCACTGATTCAAATATAGTAAGTAAATAAATTTTAAAAAAATTATCGAATTAATAAAAATTTTTTAAGATTCAATTGAAAATAATTAAATATGTTAAAGAATTTCATTAAAAACTTTTTAACAAATCGAATTTTCAAAGTATTTTTTATTAATAATTGATAAATAATTGAATTTTATAAAGAGTCAAATTTCAGTATTCATGTTTCTTTGTGCGAAGATTATTAATTAAAATTTTTATTAGTTAATTTAAAAAAAGATACTGAAAATTTTTTAATAAAATTGAATTTTAGCAAAATTTTTTTGAAAATTCTGAAAAATGAGATTTTTGAAATTTTTCAATTCTATTGTTTCGAGATAATTAAATTTTTATAAACAAATAATTGAAATTTCTTTATATTCTATTAAAAATAATTAACTGCCTTAAAGAATTATATTTAAATTTTTCGAAAATAATCGATTTTCGAGGGAAGTTAATCACCGTAATTATAATTTTATTTTTAAAAAATTTTTCGCAATAAATATTCAATTAATTTCATAAATATAGTAAAACTCATTGCAGAATTTCAATTATTTTTAATACAATTTTATTCGAATTCCTCGAAAAATGTAATTATTCTTAAAATTTTTATTAAAATTCGTCGAAAGAATTCAATTATTTCTAGAAACTGAAAAAAAATCTTCTCAAGAATTCAATTATTTCCATAAATGCAAAATTCTGCAGATTTACTAAATTCTTTTGAATATTATTTTTCAAAGATATTCTTCACAAGAATTCAATTATTTTCATAAATTTCCATGAAATTCTAAAAAATAATTCCATTATTTTCAAAAGTAATAAAATTCTTCGCAAAAATTTAATTATACATATTTAAAATTTGTTTTAAATTCTTCTCAAAATTTAAATTATCTTAATAATTGCTGAGAAAAAAACCCGGAAAAAATTAAGATAAACCTGGAATAACCCGGGAATTTTGTTTTTATTTTTTTAAATTTTGTTTACTGTAAAAAATTAAATTTTTAGAATTCATAAAAAAATTCTGAATTTTGGTGTCTTTTTTGTTTACCTCATAAACTATAAAATTACCATGAATTCTAATACAAAACCTTCAATTTTTTTCTATTTCTCACAATAATTAATTAATTTATTTTTAAATAACTCAATTCTTCAAGAACTATCAGAAAATTATTACTTATAAATTATTATATCAACAATTTTACATAAATATTTCAAAATTAATTGAATTTTAAAAAAGTTGCGATTACAATTTTCGTAAATAGAAGAACTTCAAAAGGTTTCAATTTGAAATTTTAGAAAATTTTAATTTTTAATGAATTTAATTAGAAATTTTAAAGAACTTCGATTTTTGAAAAATTTTAATAATTCAAATTTTTTTAAAATCAGTTACCTTTTTTAATATGTTTAATTTATTAAAGATAATGGATTTATAGAAAAATTTTAGTTGAAAACACTAAAAAAAATATTGAAATTTCGAGAAGTTACAATAAATGATTGCAGAAATCCAATTACAATTTTCAAAAATAATAAAATTCTACGAATAAATTCAATTATGTTCAAAAATTAAAAAAAAAATTCTCATCAAAATTTCAATTATCTTTATAAATAATATAATTTTTCTCCGAAATTCAATTATTATTAAAAATTTTCAAAAAATTCTTGGCAAAATTACAATTATTTTTAAAAATTTTCACTAATTCAATGATATTTCAATTATTTTTATAAATAGTAGAATTATTCTTTTTCGAAATTCAATTATTTTCAAAAATTTTAATATAATTCTTGACAAAATTCAATTATTTTCAAAAATTTTCTTCAATTCAATGATTTTTAATATCGAAAATTTTATTGTTTTTATTATTTTTTTTGACTGACTTAGATTAATTGATAATTATTAAACACATATATCTAGAATTTTAATAAAATTTTCCAAAAGAATTCTATAATTAAAAAAAAAAAAAATTTGATATAATTCTACGGAAACATTTAATTATTTTCTTAAATTCTAAAAAATTTATTATTTACGAATATTTTACAAATTTCTTTGCAATAATTCAATTATTTTCATAATAAAACTCATCACAGAATTTCAATTATTTTGAATACTATACATACAATTTAAATCGAATTTCTCTAAAAATGTAATTATTCTTAGAAATTTAATCAAATTCGTCAAAAGAATTTAGTTATTTGGAAATTTGATGATAAAATTCTTTATGAAAATTCAATTTTAAGAAACATTTAATAATTATTCAATAATCTGAATTTTTCATACTTTTCACTAACAATTCTATAAAATTAATTTTTTTGAAAAAGTTCAATATAGAAGTTTTTTTTAAAAATTATTTGAAGTTTTTATTATCTAATATATTATATTTAATTGAAGAATTTCCGAATAATTGAAATTTCGTAAAATTAAATTGTAAACTTTCTTGAAAATTCTCAAAAAATTTTTTTAAAAATAATTAAAAATAATTTATTTAAGGAAGAATTTTAGTTTCAAAATTGTAGAGAATAGTGATTGAATATAAAATGATTAAAATAATTTTGAAGAAGTTCGGTAACATATTCTTATAATGTAAATTAATGATTTTACTACTAGCTCATCTTTAATTATTATAAAACATGAAGATATATTGATTACTCCGAGTCGAAGACTCGGAGTGATCGATTTTCTCATGTTTTATAACAATTTTTTATAAGTTGTTTAATTTCAAAAAGGTTTTGAATTTGATATTTTTAAAAATCTTAATTTCTATGGAAAAGTAATAATTAGTAGATATTTTTTTTAAAAATGAAGTGATTGATGTTTTCGAATAATTTTCCAATTAAAGATAATTCGTAAATAAATGTAATAGAACATTTCTTTTTGAGTATCTAATCATTTCTAGAGTGATTCAGAATATTCTTTATGGTCAGGGAAAAAGTAAAAATTTTTTCTGGAAATCAGAGAAAAATCAGAGGAAAAAAATTAAATTTTTGTGGCAACCGATTTCTTATTGGTGGATCATTTCAATTTTTGAAGCAATTTTGCGGCTTGTTGCGAAATTACGAGCTGCAATGTTGATAATATTGCTGCAAGTTTAGATATACTGGTTTCTGAATTAAGCGGAAAAAAATTTCAAACCCAACTTCAGAGATCTGAAAAAAGTAGCAAAAACGAAAATGGTGTGAATATTCTTTTCATATACCTCTATTATTACCCAATCAGATAAAATTAGGTAGCTAATTACCGAACAAATTCAGATAAGAAACTCCTCTCTTAGTCTAATAATCGTAATTTTTTTGTTGAATTAGATACCGAGGGCCTCTCTGCGAGATAAACATCGACGAGTGCGAGGATAATCCCTGTCTGAACAAAGGAAAATGCTTCGACCATTACGGAGGTTACACCTGTCAATGTCCCGTGGGATTTGACGGCTTAAATTGCGAGCAAAATGTAAATGAATGTCTCTCGGGTCCCTGTCAAAATGGTGGAGTGTGCGTCGACGATGTTGGCTCCTATCATTGCAATTGCCCTAATGGCTTTGTTGGACGTAATTGTGAACATTCACTTGCCATTCAAGCGCGTTTTGGAGGTGAAAATGACAAATTTTCACCGAACGTCTGTAAACCGGGATTTGTCGGGACTCCACCGAACTGTTCGTTCAATTATTGCACCAGTAATCCTTGTGAAAATCAGGGTACCTGCCGCAATACTAAGGACGGATTTACCTGCTCTTGCCTACCAGGTTTTAAAGGTAAGAGTTTTCTTCTGAATTCAGAATATATTTGTTTGTTGTTTCGTTTTTTTTCTGGGATATTGTGTGGTTGGATTTTTTCGTGTGCATATAGTGAAAGTAATTTTTCTTTCTTAGAAATTTAAAAATGTATTGTTGCTTATTTATTGCAAACCTCTTACAATTTTTTTTCCTTTTTAGTCTCTTTTCAAAAATGAAACGAGGGGTTTTTATTTTGGTTTCTAATTTGCTTTGTGTGACTTAATTTGTTAATGCTATCCTTTCAGTATTTTCGTTTCTTTTCAAAAATAAAAAAGGGATTTTTACTTTGGTTAACCCTGAACAGTACAACTATGTTTAATTTTTCCACTGTTAACTTAAATGTATTAAATTGCAACGAAATGATAACAAAAATGTGGATCAAATAAATAGTTGATCCGGATTTTTAGCATCAATTTAATCCACTTTAGTATCAATTTGATACTTTTAAGAAAACTGCGATAAATTCTTTCTATTTCTAAAAATAATTAAATTTTACAGGTTTGAAATTGAATTTATTTCAAATAATTTAATTCCTGAAAAACTATCAACGAAACGTAGTATTTACATAATTTATTATGAAATTATGTAAATTACAAAATTTTTTTAATTTTCGAATATTAATTTCAATTTTTAAATAATTTCAGATTCAAAATTTAAAAAATTCAACTTTAATCAAATTCTTCAAAACAATTTGGAATCATTTTCAAAAAAATTAATACAATTCTTCGCAAAGAAATTCAATATTATTTTCAATATAATTTTAATAGAATTTCTCGATAGAATTCAATTATTTAAAAAGATTTTAATACAATTCTTCGCAAAGAAATTCAATTATTTTCTTTAAAATTTTAATTAAATTCGTCTAAAAAATTTGCAAGAATTTGATTATTTTCATATATAAAAGAAAATTCTTCGCAGGAATTGACAATTATTTTCTATATAATTTCAATAGAATTTCTCGATAGAAATCAATTATTTAAAAAAAAATTTAATACAATTCTTCGCAATAAAATTCAATTGTTTTCAATACAATTTTAATTAAATCAATTTAAAAAATTTGCAATTTTCATACATATATAAGAAAATTCTTCGTAGGAATTCAATTGTTGTCAATAGAATTTTAATAGTATTTTTTAATAGAATTCAATTATTTAACAAAATTTTCATAAAATTCTTCACGAAAATTCAACTATTCTTAATAGAAATGTTAATTAAATTCCTCAAAAGAATTTAATTATTTTCATAAAATTCTTCATAATAATTAAATTATTTGGAAAAATTTCAATGTATTATTATAAAAATTAAAAAGTTATCAAAAACGTTTATCTTTTAAAATAGAAAAAATTCCACGCAAAATTATGGAAAATAAATTAATTTCTAAATTTTTTTGCACTAATATTAGAAAACTTTATAAAGTTTATCAAAAAATTTGAAAAAAAATGGATTCCTTCGAAGAATTTTAATGTTTACAAAAAGAATTTAATTCTTGGGAATAATTTGATTAAAATTTTTAAAGATCCTAATTAAATTCTTTCAAAGATTTTCTTTGAATTTTTTTAATATAATCGATATTTGTTAATAATTGTAATTTATAATTTTAATATTAAATTTTATTAAAATAATTGAAAAAAATTCAATTCTTCTAAACTTCTTCTTCTAATTTCATTACCTAGAGTTTTTGTATATAATAATTAAATTCTTTGAAAGAATTTCTTTGCAGTTTCTTGAAAATAATGTAGTTCCTTTAATAATTTTAATTGAAAATTTTTAAAATTATTTGAATTTAACAAAGAATTTTTTCAATATTTTAAAATAATCGTTTCTGTTTATAATTGCAAAGAATTTTACTTGTTTATAAAAATAATTGAATTGTTTTCAAGAATTTAAAAAAATTTTCGAAAATAATTAAATTCTTTCGTGAAAAGAATTTTATTAAAAAAAATTGAAAAAAATGAATTTCTTCAAAGAATTTTAATATTTACAAAAATAATTAAATTCTTAGAAATAATTTGATTAAAATTTTTAAAGATCCTAATTAAATTCTTTTAAAGATTTGCTTTGAACTTTTTTTAATAAAATAGACTTTGTTATAATTATTGCAATTTATAATTTTAATATTAAATTTTACGGAAATTATTGATAGGAAATTAAATTCTTTCAAAAAATTTCTTTAAGTTTCTTGAAAATAATTTTGTTCTTTTAATAAGTTGAATTGAAAAAATTGAATATAATTGAATTAACCAAAGAATTTTTTTCAATTTTTTGAAATAATCGTTTTTGTTTATAATTATAATTAAAAATTTCTATAATTCAATTTTATTAAAATTGTATTGAAAATAATTGAATTCCGGAAAAGAACTTGAATGTTTTTAAAGACAATTGAATTCTTGCGAAGAATTTTACTGTTTATAAAATAATTGAATTGTTTCCAAGAATTTATGAAAATTTTAGAAAATAATTGAATTCTTTAGAAAAATGTTACTAAAATTTTTTTTTTTAATTGAATCTTTTCGTGAAATTTTATTTGAAATTGTTATGAAAATAATTGAATTCTTGCGCGGAAAATATTTTGAAAATAATAAACAAAAATAATTATTCAATTAGCAAAGTGAATTTTTTAAGTTTTCATTCTAAAATTATTCAACAATTGAAGTTTATATTTGAAAATGAAAAATTTCGTAATTTCTGTAATAATAACAAAATTGAATATTCTTGTTTTTATGAGATTGAATTGTAAATAAATGAATTTCATAAATATTTTAGGTGAACTTTTTTTCTTTAAATAAATAATTGAATTTTTAAGAAACTTTCTTAAAAATTAAATAGTTGTAGAATTTATCACTCGGATTGGTAATTTTCTTGACATTTTATATTTCTTAAAAATTAATGAAAATTAATTTCAAAAATTTTAATAAAATTCTTCACAAGAATTCAATTATTTTCATAAATAATAACATTCTTCGTAGGAATTCAATTATTTTTATAAATAGTAAAATTTTTTGAAAGAATTCAATTATTTTTAAACAAAATTTTAATAAAATTTCACGAACGAATTCAATTATTTTTTAAAATTTTATTAAATCCTTGGAATAATTCAATTATATTTATAAATATATATCAAAATTCTTATAAAAAATTCAATTATACTCAAAACTATTTCACGAAAGAATTACATTTTTTTAACATTTTTAAAAATATTTTTCGGAAAATTTATTTATTTTATAAAATTTAAATAAATTTTTCGAAAAAATCTAATTATATATTTGTAAATAGTAAAATTCATCTCAAGAATTCAATTATTTTTAATATAATTTTAATAAAATTTCATGAAAGAATTCAATTTTTTAAAAAAAATTTAATAACATTTTTCCAAAAAATTCAGTAAATTTCAAAAAAATTAAATTTTTTTCTTAATTCGTTATAAAATTTTTCAAAAGAATTTAATTACTTTCTAAAATTTTAATACTATTCAATAATTAAATGTTTACTTTCAATTGTTAACAAACACGATGATTTTAAAAACTTGAAAGAAATTGTTTATAAAATTCAATTATTTTCAAAAATTTTAATTAAAATTATTAAAGAAACTCCATTATTTAAAAAAAAATGAAAAAAATTCTTCAATAAGAATTTAATTAGAGAAACCCTGCTTTTTTACCCCGCAGTTGTACTGTCTAGGATTAATTTGCTTTTTGTGATTTAATTTGTTAATATTATAATTGTTGTGTGTTTTGTGTTTGTCGTATTGTTCGCAATCCTTAGGACCTACTTGTCTAACTTCCGTCTCAAATTGGTGTTCGTTTTGTGCCAATGGAGGTACATGCATCGAAACAGTTTACGGTACAATTTGTCAGTGTACGAGATTTTGGACGGGAGCACAATGCAAAGAACCAGTCACTTGTCGTGACATGCCTTGCAATCAAGCGACAATGTGTCGCGATTATGTGAGTTTGTTTTTCCCTTTTGTGTCTAGAAATTATTGTGTTTATTGTGTTTTATTTTTATAATATATATAAACATCTATATATCTGTGCTTTTTGTGTCTGTCTTTATTGGCAAAAATTCGTTTTCTTTTCCCTTGAAAAAAACCAAACAGCCTGGTGGTTATTACTGCAATTGTGAGCCTGGCTGGACTGGAGCAGATTGCAGTATTGAAATCGACGAATGCCTCAGTGATCCTTGTCGTAATGGAGGAATTTGCATCGACCAGACGAATAATTATTATTGCCAGTGTCTCTCCGGTTTTACCGGTAAAAAAAATATTTTTCATTGAAAGTCCTGCTTTCTGGAAATATTTTAACACGCTTTTTTTTTGCTATTACATAATCGCAATTCAAATTTATTATCTGTCGCTTTTTTTTGTTAATTTTTTGCAAAACATTTTTCACGTTATTTTTTTTACACAGGCCTGCATTTATTCAAGGAAGAAATTTAAAACGTTTTGTGGACGGAAGGATTTTTTTGAAATTAGCCATTAAAACATTTATTAGTTTGTTCATTCGAATCAAAAATAATATGACAAATTATTTTTGTTTCGAATGAACAAATAATTTTACAATACTAGCAAATGCTACACGCACGAAAAGCATTGTTCAATTTATTATTACTTTATTTATTTTATTTATTATTATTTATTACAAAAATTTTTTTTTCAAACATAAATTTTAATTTTTGAATAATTTTACATTCAATAAAAATCTAAGAATTCACTTTATTAAGTACACAATTAATTATTATTGTACATTATTGTCAAGAATATTAATAAAATTCTTCTCAAGAATTCAATTATTTTTATAAATAATAATATTCTTCGGAAGAATGCAATTACTTTTTTAAACAGTAAAATTCTTCGGAGGAATTCAATTATTTTCAATACAATTTTTAAATAAATTTCACAAAAGAATTGAATTTTTTTTAATTAAAAAGGAAAAAAGGAATTTAATTATTTTCCAACATATCTTAGTAATATTTTCGGAACAACTCAATTTTTTTATAAAGAGTAAAATTATTCTCAAGGATTTATTATTTTTGTAAATTATGAAATTCTTCTCAGAAATTAAATTATTTTCTAAATTTTCAAATAAAATTATTAAAAAATGAGAATGTAAAACTATATTATTTTCAAAAAACTTCAAAGAAGTTCTCCAAAAGAATTTAACTACTTACGAAAAATTTAATAAAATTGATCAATAGAATTTAATTTTCTATCAATAATTTTAATAAAATTTAACAATAAAATGAATAATTACAGTTATTAACAAAATCAATGTTATTCAAAAAATTAAAGAAATTCTTTTCTTTTAGATTTAATTCAATACTTTTCAATATTTTAATAAAATTCCTTGAATGAATTTAATTATTTAAAAAAATTGTAAAAAAAATTCTGAGAAAAATTTTAATAAAATTCAATAACTCCATTATTTTCAAAAAATTGAAGAAAATTCTTGAAAAGAATCCAATTACTTTCAATTAATAAAGTTCTTCACAAAAATTCAATTATTTTCATAAATAATAAAATTCTTCGCAAGAATTCAATTATTTTCATGAATAATAATATTCTTTAGAGAATTTCAATTATTTTCCATAGAATTAAATAAATTTCCTCTAAAGATTTAAATTATTTTTAAAAGTTTTAAGAAAATTCTTCCAAGGAATTTTAATTATTTTCAAATTTTATAATAAAATTCTACACTTGCATTCAATTATTTTCTTTACTTTAATTTTTAAATTCAAAACATTTAAATAAAAAATTTTTTTTAGAAAGTAAACAAAAAGAAAAATTAAAATTTTATATCTATTTTAAGTAAATTTTTCTTTTTTTTTTGAATAATTGAGTTCTTAAAGAATTCTTTCAAAATTATTAAAAAATACCTAATTATTTTAAAAAAGAATTTCAGTTTAAAATCCTAGAATATAATTTACTTTCGATAAAGTTACAGTAGCAATTTTTGACAATAATTAATATTCAGAAGGTTTCGACTTAAAAATTTTTGAAAATTTTTAAACTTCCAAACAATTTTAGTTAAGAATCCTAGTAATTAAATATTGAAAAAAATTACAGTTGTAATTTTTAAAAATAATAATAAAGTTCTAGAAGGTTAGAAATTGTATATTTTAAAAAATTTAGAACAATTATTGAAGGTTTGAATAAATGAATTTAGAAATTCTAAAAATATTAGATATTTTAAAAATTTTAGATCCAATTTTTTTAAGATAATTAAATTCCGTAAAGTAATTAAGTTGCAAAAATTGTCAAAAAATTGTAAATTTCGTTCAATTTTATTGAAATAAATTTTAAATATTTTGAAGAATTTTATTACAATGTTTTGAGAATAATCGTATTTTTGAAGAAAATGTGAATAAATTTGAAAATTTACAAAATTCAATTGAATTTTACAAATATTATTTAAATTTATTGATTGATTTTATTATTTATTTCAATTTTATTGAAATAAATTCTATATTTTGAAGAATTTTATTATAATGTTTTGAGAATAATCGTATTTTTGAAGAAAAATTTAAAAAAATTGAAAATTTTTTAAAACTTAATTGAATTTTACAAATTTTTAAATTTATTGATTGCTTTCATTATTTAATTCAATTTTATTGTAATAAATTTTATATTTCGAAGTATTTTATTATAATATTTAGAGAATAATCGTATTTTTGAAGAAAAATGCGAATAAATTTTCAAATATATTGATTGATTTCATTATTTATTTCATTTTATTGAAATAAATTTTATATTTTGAAGAATTTTATTATAATATTTTGAAAATAATCGTATTTTTTTAAGAAAAATGCGAATTTGTAAAATTTAATTGATTTTTACAAATTTTCAAATTTATTAATTGATTTCATTATTTATTGTAATTTTATTGAAATAAATTTTGTATTTTGAAGAATTTTATTATAATATTTTGAGAATAATCGTATCTTTGAAGAAAAATGCGAATAAAGTTGAAAATTTGTAAAATTTAATTGAATTTTATAAAAACTTTGAATTGAAGTTATTATCGAAATAAGGGAAATAAGAGTAAAAATGTTTTTTAGAAATGAGAATACAATATTCTTTTTTCTGTACTTTGGATCGATTAAAACAATTTTTTTGCGTCTTAAAGTCGATCCGTGGTCTGTATTTGAAATCAAATCTTAATAAAGTCTTTGATTTATAGCTTTTAATAGAGCTTACTTTTGGGTTCAGATGGTAAACTATTAACGCATGAATACGAAAAGTTAAAGGTTAAAAGTGCATGTGGATTGGTGTCAGGCGTAAATTTACAAAAATTTATAAATTTTAAATTCTACTCCAAAAGTATTAAATTTACAAGAACAATTTTCAATTTTACTGCTTTTGAAAATTTAATTTTTGCAGATTTCTATAAAATTATAAATCAAAACTAAAACAACAGATATATAATTTTTTTGCAGTGAATTTCGATTTTAAATCATTAGCAGAAATTAGAAAAAATGTTTATGATGAAAATAGAGATTCTTCTTTAGAAAGAAGAAGTCAAATTGAGAATTAAATTTTATGTCCCTAAATTTAGTGTCTTCAGTTTTCAATCCTTTTTTTCTCGAATTTTCAATTTATTTCAATTTAAATAAATAAATAAATAAATTTCATGAGACTAATGTTTGTAAATAAATTGCAGGTAAAAATTGTCAAATAAACTTTGATGTCTGCGTGTCTCAACCGTGTCAGAATGGAGGGCAGTGCATCGATAAGGTTCACGGGTATTCTTGCAATTGTACCCGGGACTATATGGGGGACAATTGTGAATTGGAATTCGACGCCTGTGCTGTGAATCCTTGTACCAACAATGGAACTTGTACGCTAATGCCACGATCCAGACGGGACTTTGTCTGCAAGTGTCCAAAGGGATTCGAGGGAAAGACCTGCCAGTTCAACACCGACGACTGCGTGGGAGTTGATTGTCCAGAAGGAAGAGTGTGCGTCGATATTGTCGATGGTTACGAGTGCCGATGCAGAGAAGGTTACACCGGTCCAAACTGCACTGAACTGATTGATCCCTGCTACATGAGGCCGTGCAATAATGGCAGTTGCGAAGATCTCGGCAACAAGACCTTCAAGTGCAACTGTCACGAAGGATACACGGGTATTTAATATTTAAAAATACAGAAAATTAAATACTCAAAAAAAGGCATAGAATTTATTTCTATTCAGTTTTAGGCGCCGGATTTAAATATTTATTTTATTTGTTTAAAATGTGACTTTTTTGCCTTTTTTTGGACTATTTTCAAGAAAAGTTACTTTTTCCGCCTTGTTTTATTCAATCAATGCGAGTTTTTCAACTTTTCTTCCAAATAAGGCGTCGGATCTTAAAAGAGCACATGCTCTAATTTCACACTTAATTATTATCCCTTGATGGTAATATTTATAAATCGTTTAATATCAAATTTGAAAAATCGATTTTTATACATAAAATTTCAGAGCTGGGCAAAATGATTTTTAAAACCAATTTAAAATGTCATTTCAAATAGAAAAAAAAAACTATTTAAAATGACATTTTAAATAGATTTTAAAAACCCTTTTGCCCAGCTCTGTAAAATTTAGAATTAAATAATTAAAAAATTTTACTATTTGAAACCAACAATTATGTCGAAAAATAGACCGTGTGCCCTTTTAAGATTCTATGCCTCAAATATTGATAAGACTGAAGTCCATAATGTTTTTAAAAACGGAAATTAAAAAGCTTTTTTAGAGTACAATTATTATCTATATGGGTGATTCTCCAAAAAACCTCATTTTGCATGTAATCAAGATTTTCTAAATAATTATAATCATTTGGGAAAATACCAAGTCATATTTCCCTATTTTATCACTTTTTCTAAATGTTCTGCAAGAAAAAGTTGTAAAATTTTATTGTTTAATACATTTTTAAAATATTTACCACCTCAAAATCGATTTTCTAACCTGTCATCTAAGTGCTTTTCATTTTTTCAATAGGTAAAACAATTATTTAAAACATGAAAATTGGTACTTTATTAATTTTTTCTAAAAGTTATGATATTTAAGAATAATTTTCAAAAATATAAATAAAATATGTAGTGTAGTTTTTTTAAATATAGAAAATGAAATTTGTCATGTAGTACCGCGTCATTCCTCTCACTCGTTGAATATTATCAAATATTTTTGCTGTGGGTAGAGATATTGATTAATTATTGTGATTAATATTTAAATTAACATCTCTAATATTAATTTCTTAAGTTACTTTTTAAAAAATGTCATTATTTTGCGTTAAAAAAATTAAAATTGAGACATAAGTAGAGATTCACAACCTAAAGCGTCATTCCTCTCACCCCTAATAAAAACAATATTAATATATATAAATTGATCGCAAATTTTTTTCACATAAAGTTATCCTTTATAAACATGATAGGGCATTCTAAGCTGGAGGAAAATTATTTGTCAATTAAATAAAATTAAAAAATGTTGAAATCGTCATTCCTCTCACTTTTTTGAATAAAAATTAAAAATTGATATGATTGTCGGTTGTTTACAAACTGCCAGTGAAAAGTGAACCTAAAATGTATGAAAAATAATTTTTGACAATTGTTTAAAGAGATTTTTGATAACTGTAAGTATTTCAAAATCTATAAAATTTATAGATAATATTAATAAATTATAATTTTTAAATAATTTTTTGTAAATAGAAAAATATATATAATAAAAAACGCCGGCGCCAAATTTTAACCTCTTAATTTTTTTGTAAATTTTAATTTAAAATATATACTTTAAAAGCTAAAAGTTAGCATGATCATGCTATAGAGGTGGTAGATTTTTGAAAGCTCAATATAATTGACTGCATTAATCCATAAATAATAATTTTTTTTCTTTTCTGTTTGTAACTCACAAAAAGGAGTATTTCGGGAGAATCACCCATATAGGTACAAATAATTAAAATTTGGAGACAAAATAAAAAATATCGTCTCATTATTTTTAGAATTCGTTTTTAAACACGTTGCGACTGATTGCAATAATTAAAAATTTTTGAAAATAAATTGAATAATTGTAATAATTTTATTGAAAACAATTGATTTTTTAAAAGTATTTCTTCAAAATTTAAAAAAATGAAAATTTGAAGAATTTTAATTGCAAATTTCGAAAGTAATTAAATTCTCAAAAATTATAATGAAAAATCTTCAAATGGAAATTTTGAAAGATAAAATTAATGACAATATTTGACTCTTAAAACTATATTTCAATATTTTTCAAAACAGTAATTCTTAACATTTTTTTCATTTTAATTTTTAAAATTCAATTATTTTCAATTACATATTTCCGAAAATTCAAGAATCTCGAAAAAATAATTTCATTCAAATTTTATAATTATAGTTTATTCTTTATAGTTTATTCTTGAAAAAAATTTATTAGTTTTTTAAAATTGAAATTTAATTATTTTCGAAAAATGACAATATTTTTTAAAATCTAAATTTTAGAATTTATTTAAAATAGAATTGTCTTCAAATAAAATAGATTAATATTATTAGAAAATCCACTTTTTTTAGAATTATTATTAAAATTTTGGAAAAATCAATCATTTCTGAAATTTTTAATATAAATTCTTCAAAAAAAAATTGATTACACAGTTTTTTTAATTGACAAAAATTCCTTAAAGAAATTTAATTATTTTTGAAAAATGAAATTACAATAATTTCTAAAAATCAATTTTTATAATTTTTTATCATAATTTTTTAAGTTAGAATTATGTAAAAAGAAATAAATAACTTTTTTTAAAATATGTATAAACTTGGGAGAAATCAATCATGATTGACATGGAGAAATTATAAATGAAATCATACAATTTAAAATAAAAATTTTTCTACAACTTAATTATTTTTTATTGTTTTTGAAAAATTATTATAAAAAATTTAATTATTTGTAAATTGTTTCTATTAAATTTCAATTATTCGGGAATTTTTCAATTATACAACATTGAAAAACTGGAAGATAATTAATTTTTCAATTATTTATAATAATAATTTTTTTATATCTTCCAAAAAAATATTTTAAAATACTTTCAAAATCTAATGTTTAAAACTGTTTTATTATAATTTTTAAAAAATAAATTATTCTCAATACTTTGGGTTTCATATTAAATCTTTAAAAAAACCGTATATGCAGTCACAGTTACAATTATGAGAAAAAATTGAATTTTTGTATTTAAATAATTGAATTCTCGAAGAATATTCGGAAAATCATTAAGAATAGTTGATTTAGAGAAAAAAATTAGTTAAAAATTCAAGAAAAATTATTAAATTTTCGAAGGAATATAATTGAAAATTTTAGAAATAATTGAGTTTCAGAAGGTTTTAGATTTAAATTTAAAAAATTGTAATTCTTGTGAAAAAATAAATAACATGTTATTTAAATATTTATTATTCAAAATTTATTGAATTTGGAATAATTGAATTTTGAAATCAATGAAAGATCAAAGAAGTACAAAATGAATTTTTTGTCACAACACTAAATTAAATAAGTGACGACTTTTTCGACTTTTTTGTAGCTTTAATCGACAAAAGCGACTTTTTTGCGCCTTAAAATCGATCCAAGGCTTACATTTTCTATTGATACTGAAAATTTACTTTATTGGAATTAAAAAATAATTATAATAAATTGGTTAAATAATTTTTAACGTCCGAGATCTTTTATAAAATAAGACATAAAATTTAAGTCTTCGTTTATTTTACTTATTAATTTTTTGTAAGATAATTATTAATTATTTTTATTTTATTTATTGTTAAATTATTATTTATTATTTTAATTTTGTATATATTTTTTGGATAGACTCCCTGAAGAGAAAATCATTTAGATTTCGAAAAGTTGGAATAAATATATTTTTATTAATTTGTCGGACTGTTTTCGTTTTATTTGCCTTATATTATAATAAATTATTTAATTAAATTTCTTACAACAATATTTTACGTTTCAGGTGAATTCTGTGACGAAGACATAGACGAATGCGCCCAGAAGAACAACACTCTCTGCAACAATGGAATCTGCGTGAACAAAAAAGGCGGTTTTGAATGTTACTGCAAACCAGGTTATTCCGGAAATTACTGCAACATCGACATTGACGAGTGTCTATGCGGGCCCTGCAAAAATAATGCAACCTGCATCGATAAAGTGAATACATTCGAGTGTGATTGTTCACCAGGTTACACGGGCAAAACATGTGAAATTGATATAAACGAGTGCGAGAGTGATCCATGTAAAAACGGCGCCACTTGCATCGATGGAATTGCCGTCTACAATTGCATCTGTTCAGTAGGATTCACTGGCTACAACTGCGAGACAAATATCGACGACTGCGAATCACAGCCGTGCTTGAATCAAGGAAAATGTATCGACGGTCTCAATTCGTATACCTGCGACTGTGCAAATACTGGCTTTGAGGGTGAACATTGCGAGAATAATATCGACGATTGCATTTCAAATCCCTGCGAGAATGGCGCCTCTTGTATCGATGATGTCAAATCATTCAAGTGCCAATGTTATCAAGGCTACACTGGTAATCGTTGTGAAATTGATATCAACGAGTGTGAAAGTTCTCCGTGTCAGTATAACGGCACTTGCCTGGAAAGATCAAATGAAATGTACTACAAGAGCGATGCCATTAATAAACCGGAGATATTTAAAAAGGAATTCAGCTACTCCAATGCAAGCGGGTGAGTTTCAATTTACTACTACTATTACTACTACTGGTCCTTGAAGTCCTGGAATTCCTGGAAATGTCCTGGAATTTGAAAAAATGTCCATAAATGTCCTGAATCTTGAACTTTTGTCCTTGAATTTTCCATATTTTGCTTTTCAATATTCAATAATTTAAAAATTTTACTCAAATTTAAAAAAATAATTCTTTTCATCCATCAAAAAATAATTTCAATTTTTCATTTGATTAAGGAAACTGGTATCTACAATATTGATTTTTAACTCTTTTTATAATAAGATAAATATTTTTGTTCAAGTAGGTTAATTTAAATTATGTTAATCGTAATATGAAATAATATTGCACTGGGTTGACACAAAATTTTAATTTTGTTTTTCCCTGACTTTTCCCTAATTTCCAGACAAAATTTTCACTTTTACCCTGACCCAGAAGAACATTAATAACTTCTTTTTTAAATAAATATTTATTCATTATTAATTTTCTATAGGAATTATGATTCTCAAATTTCAATAACTTATGAGAATATTATACAATAAAACATGAAGAAATCGATCACTCTTCGACTCGGATTGATCGATTTTCTCACGTTTTATAATAAATTTAAGATGACAAAGTAATAAAATCATTATTTTATTTCACAAGAATATTATAACTAAAAATTCAAATTTTCAAAGACTTTAGTTTGAACCCTTTTCAAAATTCAATTATTTCTTAAAATTCACGCTATAATATTTTTAATATTCAATTATAATTTAAAATTTTAAGTGAAATTCATTTTTAATCAATTTTTATTACAAAATTTCCCGAGAATTCAATTTTCTTTTTCAATGTTTTGAATTTTAAAAATTAATGTTACTGAAAATTACTAAATTTTTGCAAAGTTTTTATCCAAAAATTTGAAAATAATTAAAGTCATTTTAAACGAATCTTATCAAAATTATTTTCAAATAATTGAATTCTTTCAAAAAAATTTAATTAAAATTGTATTGAAAATAATATTGAATTCGCGCAAAAAATATTATTATTTATAAAAAGAATCGAATTCTTCCAAAGAATGTTATTAAAATTATTGAAAATAATTTAATTCTTGCGAAAAATGTTATTAAAATTTTTGAAAATAATAAACATGAATAGTTAATTATGTAGATAGTAGGTGAATTTTAAAAATTTTTGAATCTGAAATTATTCAAAAATTAATATTTATATTTGAAAATATAAAATTTTTAAATTTGCAAAATAATAAATGGAACAGTAACATTTATTATAATAATTAATAATTATTACATTTATTATTATAACCATACGAATATACAAAGAACAAAATTATTTTCTAAAATTTTAATAAAACCTTCGAAACAATTCAATACAAAAATAGGTAAAAAATAATGTATTATTCACTCCTTTTATACAATTAGTTACAATTAAAAATGTGTCCCGAATTCCCGACAATTAAAATGCAAACATTGTGCCACGTTTGTAATTGTGAGCCTTTCCTAATCTAAGTAGTCCCCACACTAATCATTCTCTTAATTTTTAATAATTTGATTCTTTTTTAATACTTTGCATAAAATTGTCTTACACTACCGGTCAAAATTGAGAGACCACTCATTTTAAGGTGATTGAAAAACATTTTAAAACATAAAATGTATGGCAAGTAAAATTTTTTTCTTTTTATTTTTTGAAAGATGATAAAATTTTGAAAGGAACAAGATATTTCAGAAGTCATGTGGCCAATATTTTATTTAGATATTAATTAACGTGTAATTTTTTCTTTAAAAAATGCAAGCCGTCAAACTTGTACCAAAAAAATTCAAATAATTTGTAACATTCTTATTAACAGAAAAATAATTTTTAAAATTCAAACGTATTTTTTTTATTAGATTTTCTTGAAAAATCTACACCATATGATGTTTAATATATTTTCTAGAATAGTTTTTAGTACAGAAAAATTGTTCCAAATTTTTTGAATATTTTTGGTCCAAGTTTGACGGCTTGCATTTTTTATGAAAAAAATTACACATTAATGCCTACAAGTAATTCTTATAGTGTAACAAATGACCTTTAAAATAAGCCTAAGATCATTAAAAAGCGTTCATTATTTTAAAAATTATTCAAATTTTTGTAAAACATTGAAAATTACGATTTTTTAAAAATATCTAAATTAAATATTGGCCAAATGACTTCTAAAAGATCTTGACTATGGGAATTACATTCAAAAGCGCTAGAGTGGGGATAAGTCAGCGTAGGCATAGGATTAAATGTTTTTCAATCATCTGAAAATGGGTAGTCTCTCAATTTTGACCGGTAGTGTACTTTACTGTTCTGTGAAAATTCTAGCGTAATTAATTTTACTAAAACACTAGTCACTCTATTTAAAAATTAATTGTCAAAAATTTGACATGACAATTTTAGCTGTAATGTCACAAAAAATGTGTTTCTTTAATTTTCTAATCTGAATCTCGCATATAAGTTATACACTCTGTTACTAAAATTTCCCGCCAATATTTCAAATAGAAAGATGATTATTGAAATGGAGTATCCGATGCCTAATACATAAGATATTATGAAAAACAGTTTTTCCTGTTTAATCTCTTCTGGCGGTGATATTTTTTCAGGCGGTGATATTTTTTCATTTATCGAATAAACTAGATCAAACAATCCAAAATCTGTGGCTCCTTGGATTATTTTTGTGTACCAATCTGTGAAAGGTCCACTTTCAGTCGTTGTCCAGTAGAAATAATGATAGGTAACAATTTCTGGCAATATTTTAACATTTAACTCTTCTCCTCTTGATGATGTATATGCTCTAACTTGGTTTTCAGCATCAGGAAGAATACAGCTTACGTTTTTAAAACTTGTCAAGTTTTCTAAGCAGTTTTTCGCAAACGGCGAGTCATTATCAAAAATATTTTCGAAAAGTAAAGTTTTAGCTAATAGCTTTTCAACATAAGAAGCGTTATTATATTTTTGTATTTGAACGTAAATATCCGCATACATTAACGGTATTAAAGACGAATCAGCTAATTCTTCCAAAGTCGAAATTTCAGGTGCCGTCCGTAGATTAATGTCCAAAATGACTGAATAGATGAAACCTGTGTAAACAGTGCATGCAATCAATAAAGAACCGAATACAATTCTTTCTAACCCGTTATTTGGTTCTTGATTTGCAGGCATTCCAATTATAATTTGACTGATGTTTAAAAATTGCCATGTAGTCCTATCAAAATTCAAGAAAAATGCTACCAGCAAAATGATGACAATCGTACAAAGTGTTACTATTGTCATGTGTAAAAATTCTGGTGAAACAACTATGTCTTCTGTGATCTTTTCCATTGTTGGAATTATAGCTTTAGAAGTACCAATTTCTTGCAATAGTAAAAGTTTATAACTATCAACTACTATATCGGTGTATTGGAGTTGGGCTGTCAAATGTACTGGAAAATATTGTTTTGGTCGTATAAGTTTACAATTCATTGCTCGAGAAAAAATTTCTATAGTTCTTTTTTCCATCCACAGTTTTTGTTCACGATTTAGATCAAAAGTATCAGCTTCGAAATGAAAATCAATTTCCTGACCTTTTAGATCATTGAATTTATCCGGAAACCATTGAGTGTTAGATGTTATCTCCTGAGTAGTGAAGGTTTTCGTAAAAGGATTTATATAACTCAAAGAAGGTTCAACTTGGTGTTTTTCATTGTACGTCATGATTGTTATATCCAAATATTTCCATTCCCATAAGGAATACAAAGTACTGTTAAGATACTCATGAGTTGAATTAAAAGAATTCATAATTAAACATCTCGGTAATGCAAATGGGTCCCAATAATTTATATTTATAAGGATTTTTGCAATTGAATCCATTGTGTTATTGTTGTTTGCTTGGAAAACAAATAGATTCGATCTTCTGTAATGCTGTTCCCAATAAAATATTTCTGTTTTCCGAATTCTACAAAGGAAAGAAGTAAAAAATAATTATAATTACTTAGAAAAATTGTAAACCTTAATTTGATCTTATGATTTTTGATGTAAAAAGAGAGTCTTTTGCAATTTTATCATATAAAGACGATGTTTTTTTTCTCAAAATTAACAAAATAATTTTTGAACTTATATACCTTTCATACCAAATTGAAATTTCATCGTAGTTGCTGCTGAAAGATGGAAAATGTTGATTGACATTTTTTATTAGCGAATTCATCATTGGATCTGTATTTTCAAATTGATCTTTAAGAATAAACATAACTCGATACAATTTAGATTCGTTGATCAGATAATTTACCAATCCATCGAAGTAATCTGTTCTTGCAGGTTTTTCTAAACTAATTGTTGGACGTTCTGCAAGAATTTCCTTCCACAAAATACAAATAAAAAAGTATATTTCACTTAACTTCATTCTTGACAACCACTTTCTATGACTGACAAAAAATGACTGCTTGAGTGCCAAACAAAAAATGAAAATACTGTTTTTAGTTGATTATTTTTATTGAATTAGATGAAATTAGATTGAATTAAATTAAATTCATGTTCAAAATGATTAACTCTTAATTTCTAAAGTGTCTTTCATGATAAGTGTTTGTTAATACGATTTCCAACAATTTACTCGAAAAACCCGAAGGGTACCTTAAGTGCACAATATTGTATTGCTTATAGATTTTTTGTTATTGGCCTTTAATCATGGACAATTATTATTAAAAGTGTGTTGCGTGTTTACAGCTGATTGCTCTCAATATTAGACATACAATTCTTATATTTCTTTTACATTTACATAATTGTATATGAAATGAAATTAATATTGGAGTAAAAAAATTTAATATTGAGAATTACCGGACTTTTTCATTTTGTTTTCATCAATTTTATTGGAAAGCTAAATTATTTCTAATAAATTATTTAATAATAAATTAATAAATAAAAAAATTATTTATATTTATATTTTTCAATTTTTTCAAAAACCACCCCTTTTCATATTTGTAATAATTTTCAATAAAAAGCTAAAACCTACTATTTACTACTTTTCTTAAAAAAATTTGTTGCAATTTGTATACTTTTTATAAATATTTGTGTCACTAAAAAGCTACTTTCTCTCTATTTCTTGAAAATTTAATCTTTGACGTTCAACATTTTTGACAAAACAACGTAAATAAAATGAAAAAATTCGGTCAATAAATAAATATTCATTTTCTTTAAAATAATCATAAATTATGTTACATTTTATTCAATTAATTCCACAAATAATAAAATTCTTTTCTGAAATTCAATTATTTTAAGAAATAATACAATTTTTACAGAAATTCTATATTATTTTAAATGCAACTTTTATGACATTTTTAGAAATTAATCAATTATTTTCAAAAAATTGGATGACATTTTTTTAAAAAGAATTCAATTATTTTAGAAAATTTTAATAAAATTCTTGGAAAAAATGTAATTATTTTTCAAAAATTTTAATAAAATTATTCGCAAAAATTTAAATTATTTTCACAAATAATGGAATTCTTCGCAGAAATTACATTTTTTTAGAAACATTTTAGCAAAATCTTTCAAAAGAAGTCCAATTAATTTTCATAATTTTCAAAAAATTTGTTTATGTGGAGACAATTATTTTTCAAATAATTGTATTTAAATTCCTCAAAAGAAGTCAAATATTTTTAAAACTGTTAATAGAAAAATATGCGAAATAAATGAAAAATTCAATTATTTTCAGAAATTTTGTTGTTTTTATTTATTTAAATTTGTTTTATTTATTTAATTTTAATTATAAAATTCAACAAATTTTGATAAAAATTCCGCCATAAAATTCAATTATTTACAAAGAATTTAATTATTTTCAATACAATTTTAATTATCTTCCTCGAGATATCCAATTATTATTAAAAATTTTATTAAATTTCTTCGAAAGAATTTAATAATTTACAGAAAATTTGATAAAAAATTCAATTATTTTTGAAAATTTTAATAAAATTATTCACATGAATTTAATTACTTTCAATGTCTACTATTTTTTTTTAAATTTTTCGAAACATTTTAATTATTTTGAAATATTTTAGCAAAATATTAAAAAAAAATCAAATTACTTTTAATAATTTTAGCAATTTTAAGAATAATAGAATTTAATAATTTGTAATTCAAATTTTTGTTGAAAACTCTCAAAAAATTCAATTTTGGAAAAATTACAAATAATTGCAGAATTTCAATTTTTTTAAGACTGATAAAATTCTTCTCATAAAATTCAATTATCTTTCAAATTAAAAAAAAAATCTCATCAAAATTCCAATTATATTTATAAATAACAAAATTCATCTCCAAAGATCAATTATTTTCAAATCAATTTTAAATTCCCAAAAATAGTACGCAAACATTTAATTATTTTCATAAATAATAGAAATTTCTCAGGAATTCAATTATTTACAAATTTTTTATTAATTTCTTCGAAATAATTTAATTATTTTCATAAAAAATAATTTAAAATGGTAGAAAATAATAATTGATTTGAAATGATGAAAATAATTTTAAAAAAGTTACGGTAATAATATTCTTATAATATAAAATAATGATTCTATCAGTTCAACCTTTTTAATTATTATAAAACATAAAGAAGTCAATCACTCCGAGTCTTCGACTCGGAGCAATCGCTATCTTCATGTTTTATAAAAATATTCTCAAAAGTTATTGAATTTAAAAAGATTCTTAATTAATATTACATGATTATTATAGTATCCGGACAAGAAGTCCAAAACAAAAAGTCTAAATTAAAAAATCCAAAGTAAATGAAATCCAAGAAGGAAAAAAAAAGTTTCACTTTAAATTTATTTTTTTGGATTTTTGTCCTTGTCAAAAAGTAAAAAGAAATTAAAAATCCAATAAAAAAATTGAGATATAAAAATATAAATGATTACCTTGAATGAAATTGTCCTTTTTTTAAAATATTTTATTAAATAATTGAAATTCTTCTAGAAATTTTTTTTGTTTATGAAAATAATTGAAATTTTGGGAAGAATTTTTTTTATTTTGAAAAAATTGAATTTTTGTAAAGAATTGATCAAAATTGTTGGAAATAATTGTATTTTTTGGAATAATTGTTTTAAAAATTTTATAGAATAATTTTAATTCTTCTAGAAATTTTTTTATTTTTGAAAACAATTGAAATTCTCTAAAGAATTTTATTATTTTTGTAAATAATTGAATTTTTGTAAAGAATTTCTTTAAAATTGTTGAAAATAATTGTATTTCTTTGAAATAATTGTTTTAAAAATTTTATAGAATATTTCAAATTCTTCTAGAAAATTTTTTAATTTTGAAAATAATTGATATTTTGTGAAGAATTTTATTATTTTTGAAAGTAATTGAATTTATAGAAAGAATGTCATCAAAATTGTTGGAAATAATTGTGTTTCTTGAAATAATTGTTTTAAAAATTTTATAGAATAATTGAAATTCTTCTAGAAATTTTTTTATTTATGAAAATAATTGAAATTTTGGGAACAATTTTTTTAATTTTGAAGAAATTGAATTTTTGTAAAGAATTTCATCAAAATTGTTGGAGATAATTATGTATTTCTTGAAATAATTGTTTTAAAAATGTTATAGAATAATTTAAAGTCTCCTAAAAATTTTTTTGTTTATGAAAATAATTGAAATTTTGGAAAGAATTTTTTTATGTTTCAAAGAAATTGAATTTTTGTAAATAATTTTATCAAAATTGTTGAAAATAATTGTATTTCTTGAAATAATTGTTTTAAAAATTTTATAGAATAATTGAAATTCTTTTAGAAATTTTTATATTTATGAAAATAATTGAAATTTTGGGAAGAATTTTTTTATGTTTCAAAATACATGAATTTGTGTAAAGAATTTTATCAAAAATGTTTAAAATATTCCCAATTTTATAGCGTAAAAGTAAAAACGTGGCTTTTTCATATGTTTCATTATTTATTTTGGACGTTTTTATTTATTTTTGATTTTTTGACTTTGAACATTTTTATTTTGGATTTTTTGTACTTTGGACTTTTTTTCTTAGACTTTCCGATCTGGATTTATTGAATTTGGATTTTTTGTCCTGTTATCGATTATTATACCCAATTATACCTAATATTACAGGTGATTCATGAAAAGAAATAAATTTTTAAATTGACTATATTAAAAAAAAATAATCCATTTTTCTTGCAGGTACGAGTGCCTTTGTGTCCAGGGTGTGACGGGTAAAAATTGCGAAATAAATATCAACGAGTGCGAAAGTAATCCGTGTCAAGAGGGGACGTGCACTGATCGAATTGGAGGCTACACCTGCGAATGTAATGAAGGCTTTGAGGGTGATCACTGTCAGCATGATATCGACGAATGTAAACGTTACACGCCCTGTGTTAATGGAACTTGCATCGACGGACGGGCCGATTACTTTTGCACTTGTGAACCTGAATACGGTGGTAAAAATTGCTCAGTCAAACTTACTGGTTGTCAGGGGAACGCTTGTCGTAATAATGGTACCTGCTGGCCTTATCTGGTTAACGAAACGGAACACTTATTCAATTGCACATGTCCCAATGGATATCATGGCGAGACATGCGATAAGGTAAAGCTCATCAATCTCAATATCCTCTTTAAAATCTCTTGGTCATTTCAATATTTTTTTCCTGTTAGGAAAAAGTATATTTGGGATACCAAATATAAAATTTTCCCGTTAATCAAGATTATAAGTATACGAATTCTTTTATCTAAAAATTACAAGTGTATGAATTTTTATTCCTAGAAATTATTCGTATATAAATTTTTCTTCCAAGAAATTATAAGTATATGAATTTTTAAAAATTGCATTAATTTTGACTCCCCTTAAAAAAATTATAAGTTAATTAAATTGCTTTAAAAAAATAAGACATTTTTACGTATAATAAAAAAATTATACCGAGTTTTACCTAGAAAAGAAAATGATTCAGGAAAGTCAGGGAAAATTCAGAAAAAGTAAAACTGTCCAGGGAATTAGAGAAAAGTCAGTTTTATTCATTAATAGTACCGGAAAAGATTAAATTTTTTGAATTAGTAAACAATTCTGAATTTTGGTCTCTTTTTTAAAAAAAAATTATTTAATACAGCTATTTAAAATTAAATAAAATTTTAAAAGAGTTGCGTTTCGAATTCTCATAAATAGATGAACTTCAAGAGATTCCAATTTGAAATTTTATAAAAATTCAATTTTGAATGAATTTAATTACAAATTTTAAAGAACTTAGATTTTTGAAAAATTTTAATAATTCGAATTCTTCTGAAATTTGTTAATTTTTTTTAATACATATTTTATCAATTATTAAAAATAATAATGGATTTATAGAAGAATTTTAGTTAAAAATAATAGAAAAATTAAATTTTGGAGAAGTTATAAATAATTGCAAAAATTCACTTATATTTTCAAATAGTAATAAAATTATTTACAGAAATTCAATTATGTTCAAAAATTTTATGTAATAAAATCATTGGATAAAATTCACTTATTTTCAAAAATTTTCCTCAGTTCAATGATTTTCAATATCTTCTATTTCAATAAAATTTCCCAAAAGAATTCAATTATTTAAAAATAATTTTGTTAACATTCTACCCAAGCATTTAATTATTTTCATAAATAATAAAAATTTCACAGGTATTCAATTATTTATAAAATTTCTTTGCAATTTCATTATTTTCATAAATAATAAAACTAATCGCAGAATTTCAATGATTTTTAAGACAATTTTAATTAAATTCCTTGAAAAGTAAAATTGTGACGCGACCCGAAGAAAGGTACCTAAGAAGGAAAAAATTTGAGGTTATGTTTTGAATTTTTTGAGTAAAAATACAGAAAGAGAATCAATTAATAATTAAAAATTGTTGATCTTCAAGTCTTTATTATATTCAAAATATTTAATGAATATTGGTTTCAAATTCAAATAATTAAAAATGAACTTTTAATCAAGATAAATCTAACTCGAACCCAACCTATAATTCGTTTACTTCTTAGGTACCTTTCTTGGGGTCGCGTCACAATTATTTTTACAAATTGTATTAAAATTCGTCAAAAGAATTCAATTATTTAAAAATTTGTTAATGAAATTCTTTACGAGAATTCAATTATAAGAAACTTTGAATTATTCAATAAATTATTTATTTTTGTATTTAAATAATTGAATTCTCATGAAATTTTCTAATAAAAATTGACTTAAAAATGAATTTTAGTTAAAATTTTTGAAATAATTAAATTTTGAAAAAGTTTCAAATTAAAATCTTGGAAAATCGAAATTTTTCTTACTGTTAATTAACAATTCTGTAGAATTAATTTTACTGAAAAAGTCTAATTTCAATTCTGTAGAATTTCATTGAATCTTTTATTAAATATTTGATATTATTTCAAAAAATTTACTGCAATTCTTCAAAAAAATTCAATTATCTTGATAAATATAGAAATTTTTCCCAGAAATTTAATTATTTTAAGGAATTTTAATAAAATTCTTTGCAAAATTCAATTGATTTTCATCAACTACAATATTCATCACAAGAATTTAATTATTTTCAAAATTTTCATTGTAAAATTTCAATTATTTTCCTAAATTTTCCTCAAATCAATGATTTGCAATATCTAATATTTTAATAAAATTTCCTAAAAATGAATTAAATTATTTTGAAAATTTTTTAATTAAATTCTATAAAAACCTTTAATTATTTTCACAAAATAATAAAAATTTCACACGAATTCAATTATTATTGAAAAACAGAATTTAAATACATTTATAAAAAAAATCAATTGTTTAAAAATTGTTTATAGGTATAATTCTTCGCAATAATTTTATTATTTTCATAAATATTAAAATTATTTTGAGGTTTTTAATTATTTTCATAAATAATAAAATTATTCTTAGGAATTAAATTATTTTTATAAATAATCAAACTCATTTAAGATTTTCAATTATTTTTACTTCAATTTTAATCTAATTCCTCGAAAAATGTAATTTTTCTTAAAAATTTTATTAAAATTCGTCGAAAGAATTCAATTAAATTAAAAAATTTGTTCAAAAAGTTCTTTATGAAAATTCAATTTTAAGAAACATTAAATTATAAATATCTGATTAAAGAATTTCAGAAAAATCAAAATTTCGTTGAATTGAATTGTAAACAAATGGATTTGAAAATTTTTAAAGAACTTTTTAAAAAATTATTAAAAATAGTTAATTTAAAGAAGAATTTTAGTTGAAAATTCTAGAAAATAATAATTGAATTAAAATGTTTTTGAACAATTTTACATTTAAAGAAATTCATAAGTGAATCCAATAGAACATTTTTTTATATAATCATTTCTTTAGAGTGAATCAGTATATTTTTTAGAGTCAGGGAAAAAGTTAAAATTTTCTCTCGAAATCAGGGAAAGTTAGGGAAAAAAATTATATTTTTATGGCAACCCTGAAAAATTATAAGCATTCGAATTTTAATCTCTAAAAATTACAAGTTTACGAATTTTTTTTCTCTAAAAATCACAAGTATACGAATTTTTTTTCTTAGAAATTATAAGTATATGAATTTTTATCCCTAAAAAATGATAAGTGTAGGAATTTTTGCCTTTAAGGGGATGTCAAAGTCAATGCGATTTTTCCAATTATATGAATTTTTACCTAGAAAGAAAATGATAAATATACGAGTTTTTATGTGTTCCAAAAAAAGGATAGAAATTTTTACTTCTGATAAAAAAAGTACAGGAATTTTTTTTCCCCCAAAAAAATGATAATTATATTTTTGACCAAGAGTTTTTAACAAAAAAAAAATTATTTAAATTGCACTGAATTGAATATTTAATCCTTGCACAATGCTCCTTAAAAAATCTTGAGACAGAGTCAGGTGCGTAATGAAATTAACTCACAATGAATGAAAATTCTAAAAATAATATTCTGGTTTTTCTTTTGTAGATAACAAAAATGTCGCTGAGTGGAAAATCGTATGTGATGGTGAATACAACTCGCGACGAGGGTTACGATATTCAATTCCGATTTCGAACAACACTGCCCAATGGTCTTTTGGCAATGGGAAAGGGTCTTACCTACTATATGTTGGAACTTGTCAATGGAAAATTGAATCTACACTCGAGTCTTTTGAATAAATGGGAAGGAGTTTTCATTGGAAGTGGCTTGAATGACTCGAATTGGCAGAAGGTCTTTGTCGCTATTAATGCAACGCACGTTGTGCTCTCTGCGAATGAGGAGCAAACGATATATCCCATTAATTTGAACGAAGGTTCGAATGCATCTCATACTTCGTTTCCAACTACTTTTGTCGGCGGTACGATTACGAATTTACGAAAACTTCCGCATGGACCGCCATTCTTTGTTGGTTGCACGGAAGACGTTGTCATCAACGGCGAATGGGTAAGCGAATTATCTTAATTTTTTTATGTTCTTATTTCTACTGTATTTCTTTTTTTTTCGTTTTTGGTCAGTTCATTACATTTCGATTAAAATCATCGAGCTTACGGTTTTTGATAGTATGAAATTTTCGACTTTTGTTTAATTATATTAAAAAAATGCGACTCTTATCGACTTATTTTGATAAAATGCGACATTTTCAAAATTTTCTTTCAAAAATTGCAACAAAATACCACATTTTTTCGTATAAAATTCAACTTATTTCAATTTTTATTTTTTATAGTGTGAAAAATAACTAAAATCAAATCTTTTCCTGCAGAAAGTCTTCCATTTTCTTGATAAGATTCGAAACTCCTTTTTTTTAATTTGACAACTAACTTTTCCGTAAAATGCTAAAAAGGGAAATTATTATTTTTTATCAAAACAAATTTAAAAAATTTAATTTTAAATATTTTTTAAAATTTATTGTATTTATATTTTATTTTTGAATCTCAATTGTTTTTAAATTTTTATGAATTTTGACAATAACAAAGTTGCCGCTGATCAGGGAAATCCTGTGAAATTTTTATTATTTTATGATAATAATTAATTGTTTATGTCGAATTTTATCAAAATTATTTTTAAATAATCGATTTCTTTTGGAAGATTTTATTAAATTAGTAGATACCTTGAAAATCATAGAATTGAGAGGAAATTTTTTTTAAATAATTAATTTAGAGAAGAATTTTATTTATTTCCAATTCAAATTTTTAAAAATTAAAGATTTTAAATCATTGGAATTTTTTTAAATTTCAGAAAAATTAATTGATTTTTTAAAAATATTCCATAAAAATTAAAAAAAAAAAATTTCGAAGAATTTTTTAACTGAAATTTTGAAAGTAATTGAATTCTCAAAAATTTTAGTGAAAAATCAATAAATGGAAATTTGAACATGAAAATGAATAAACATTTGTTTTATATAAAATGATATTAAATATTTTTTAAAAAAGTATTTTTAGCATTTTTTCTTCATTCAATTTTTTAAAATTAAAATATTTTAAATATTTTCAAACACATATTTTCGAAAATATAAATATCTACATAAAGTACCTAATTACATTAAACTTTTGTAAAAAATATTTAATTTTTTAAAATAGGTATTAACTAAAATTTTTGGAAAAATAAATCATTTTCAAAATTTTTTATTTAAATTCTTCAAAAAATTGAATATAGTTTTTTAAATTTACAAAAAATTATATTACAAAACTCTTTTATTTTCGAAAAATTACATTACAATTTACAATATTTTTAAAAAACTAATCACAAGAATTTTTTAAAATTCACAATTTCAATTACATATATATCTTCAAAAGTAAATTTAAATTTATGAAGGATCAACTTTCTCTTACCTATCATTAAAGTTTCAGATAATTATTATTGTTAACATTTTCAAAAATGTTAATATAATTTTTCGCAAGAATTCAATTATTTTCATAAACAATAACATTCTCCGAAAGAATTCAATTATTTTTATAAATGGTACAATTTTTTCCAAAAATTCAATTATTTTCTAAAATTTTAATAAATCATTCGTAACAATTCAATTTTTTTATTTTTAATAAATTTTGTCGAAAGAATCCAATTATTTTCTGAAATTTTAATACATTAATCCTTCTAAACAATGCAATTATTTTTTAAATAGTAAAATCTTTGCAAAAATTCAATTATTCTCTAAAATTTTAATAAATTTTTCGAAATAATTCAATTATTTTTATAAATAGTAATATTCATTGCAAGGATTAAATTGCAATGAAGAAATTAAATTATTTTCAGTACAATTTTAATAAACTTCAATAATCAAATGTTTAATTATAATTATTGACCGATACGATTATTTTAAAAACGTGAGAAAAATTATTTGATTAATGTATTTATTTTAAAAATTTCTAATCAACATTTTTAAAAAGTTATATTATTTTCAATAAACTTAATGAAATTCTTGAAAAGAATTTAATTGTTCAACTCTAATAAAATTGTTTATAAGAGTTTAATTTTCTGTCAATAATTTAAATAAAATTTTAGTAGTAAAATTATTAATTTAAATTCTTAATAAAATCGATTATATTCAATAAATTAAAGAAAATATTTTTTCTTCGAAGAAATTTAGTTATTTTCTATATTTCAATAAAATTTCTTAAATGAATTTAAATTATTTTAGAAAATTGTAATAAAATTCTGAGAAGAATTTAACATGTTTCTAAAAATTTTAATAAAATTCTATAATTAAATGTTTAATTTTAATTCTTAAGAAACATGATATTTTAAAAAACTTATAAGAAATTGTTCATGATGTTCAATTACTTTCAAATTTTCAATGAAAATTATTAAAGAAACTTCATTATTTTAAAAAAATTTAAAGAAATTCTTTAACAGAATTTAATTAGGATTTTTAAAAATTTTAATAAAATTCTTCGCAAGAATTCAATTATTTTCATAAATAATAAAATTCTTCGAAGAAATGCAATTATTTTCAAATTTTTTGATAAAACTCTTTGAAAGAATTCAATGATTTTCAAAATATTAGTTTTAAAATTAAAAATATTTAAAAAGAAAAATTATTTAAAAATTAAAATTTTTTTTTAAATTTTCGATAAAAAACTCTACGCTAGCTTTTAATTATTCTTTAAAATTTTATTAAATCCGTTAAATTGAATATTAAAAGCATTATAGCATGGATTATTTAAAATAATAGAATTTTTAAAAGGTTTCAAATTAAAATCATTGAAAATTTGAATTTTTCATAAGATTATTATTTTTTGTAGGTATATATTTGAATTTTTGGAAATTTGTATTTTAAAATATTGAAAATAATTGAATTTTAAAAAATTAGAATGCAAAAAATTCTAAGAATTATTTCTTTCAAAAATATTTTAATATAATTTTTTTGAAGCTAATTTTCATTAATTATTATTTTTAAATTTACACTTGAAGATTTTCCATTAAAATTTCTGAGAAATCTATTATTTTCAAAATTTGCAATTAAAATTCTTTTAAAGTTCATTTTCAAAAATTTTTATCAAACACTCTGAAAAAAATCAATTATTTTCAATTAAATTTTACAAAATTTCAATTATTGAAACTCTTTTTTATTGTAAATTTTGAAAATTTATTTAGTATTTATAAAAATAGATGAATTATTTCGAAGGGTTTAATAAGATTTTAGAAAATAACTGAATTTATTCGAAATATTTCAATTATTTTCAAAATTTGCAATTATAATTCTTCAAAAGTTAATTTTCAAAAATTTTTATAAAACACTTTGAAAAAATCAATTATTTTCAATTTAAATTGACAAAATTTCAATTATTGAAACTCTGTTTTATAGTAAATTTTGAAAATTAGTTAGTAATTAATATTTATAAAAATAGTTGAATTGTTTCGAAGAAATTATTAAAATTTTAGGAAATAATTGGATTTTATGAAAATATTTTTGTAAATATTTGAATTCTTCCGAGAAATTCAATTGAAAATGATTTGAAAATAATTGAATTCTTGTAAAGAATTTTATTATTTATAAAAATAATTGAATTGTTTCGAACGATTTATTAAGATTTTAGAAAATAACTGAATTTAATCGAAATATTTCAATTATTTTCAAAATTTGCAATTATAATTCTTCAAAAGTTGATTTTCAAAAATTTTTATAAAAAACACTTTAAAAAAATCAATTATTTTCAATTAAATTTTACAAAATTTCAATATTATTTATTGAAACTCTTTTCAATTGTAAATTTCAAAAATTTAATTAGAGAAATTATTAAAAAATAGTTTTTAAAAATTTGTCTATAATTATTTTTCACACTATATATCAAAATCGAAATAAGTTGCATTTTATACTAAAAATTATTGCAATATTTGGAAGAAATGTCGAAAAAAGTCGCATTTTTTGAAAATAGGGGAGACTGGGGCTAAACCGGACACGTCAAATATTTCCGAAACCATGAGGAATTTCAAATAATGTTAATAACCTTTGAACGCGCTATTTCGTGAAGCATATATTGCATGAGGTTTTAGGGACATGTCATTTTTCTTGTAATAATAGTTGCCGTTAATGTGTGAAAATGTCATTTTTCGAGGTAAAAGTAAAAATTTTTTTTTCTCATTTTTTTGGGTTTTTATCGTTATTATTAAAGTGCATATATCATATGGAAATTTTTTTATTAGCTGAAGGTGTACTGAGTTTAGTGGAAAAAAAGTTTAATGGAAAACGTTAAGAAGAAAAAAATTATTGCAGGTTAATTATTAGATGACGGTGTGGGGCTAAATCGGACGTCGTGATAAAAAACAATCAAATTTGCGAATACTATAATTTATTTGATATTAATGACCTATTTTATATTATATTCTTTGCATAGAACCACTTTATTAATAAATAAATAAAGAATTTATTTTAAAACACGAATTAGCAAGCAAGTTGCTGAAAACAAGCAAGTCTGAAAACTGTAATTCATTTTATATTATATTAATTACATACTAGCAAAAACTGACGCGCGCGAGCGCGCGTGCATTTTTTTTTCAACGTTTTATTTTAAATAATTAAAACTTTATTTTTTCAGCGAATTTGAACCATTATGATGTCACAATTTTTTAGCAAATGCTGTGAACAAATTGTGACGTCATTATGGTTCAAATGCCATTAAAGAAATTATTTCATCTTCTATTAATTAATATATTTTTGCATTTTCTTTTTTTATATAAATAAATTAAAATTTTTATTTACTGTTCGCAGTTTATATTTTTTTTTTGTTTAATATTTTAATAATTTTATGTTTTAATATATATATAAATATATTTTTTCTATTAAAATAGCAATTCTTTAAAATGATTATTATTATTTTTAAGGGTATTTTAATTATTATTATGACGTTATAATGTTTTAAATAAATTTAAAAAATGGAAATGCTGGAAAGAATGAAAAATACATTTTTTTTAGAAATATAAAATTATTCAATTAACATCTTCTATCTTTATATCTTCTCTCTATATTAATATCTTCTTCTTCTTCTATCTTCTTTGATTTAGTTGTAATTTACTTTTTTGTTTCCTATCTTCTTTAATAATTTTATGTTTCAATATTTTTAATTTTAATTAAAATTAATATATTGAATTTCATTTAAATTCTTGCAAAAAATTTGAGAATCATTGAATTTCTTCAAAAAATGTCATTATTTATGAAAATAATTCAATTTTCGCTAAAAATCATTAAATCAATTTTGGAAACCCTAATTAAATTTTTCTGAAGAATTATTTTTTATTTTTTGTTTAATAATTGTGTTTCTTTAATAATTTTAATTGGATATTTTTAAAGTAATTTAAATTTATGAACAATTTTTTTCAAGTTTTTAAAACTAATTTTTAAATTTGTAAATTTAGTTGAAACATCTATTGTTTACATTTATCCCTTGTTTACAATTACCCCAAATGGCCCTAATTGTAAATTGATTGTTTTGTTGATTTTTGAATTTTATTTCGGAATAATTCAATTGAGCTGCCGGATCAAAGAAGGGCACATAACCAATGTAATTCAAATGGGTTATGTGCCCTTCTTTGATCCGGCAGCTCAATTTTTTATTATGTATTTTTCATGATTTGAAGACTTTATATAGTCTTTAAAAGACTTGATATAGTATTTAAATAGTTGAAATGAAAGGCGGTGCCTAAAGTATTTTTTTTAAGTTCATTATTTTTTTTTCTTTTTAGAAAATCTATTTTCTATAATATTGTGTTAAAAAAAACGTTAACATTTTATATTTTATTTGAACAGAAGATAACGATAAGTTTAATTCTTGCAAAAGAAAGCACTTATAAGTTAATTCTACACACAAACACACACAGAAATACGTTTATTTTTTACGTAAGTGCCAATAAATTAATTTCAATTTTTTATTTAAAATGAAATAATTTAATTTTGAATTAATTGTATTTTTGATATTTGAATAATTAATTATTATTTTGAACAATTACATTTTTCAATGATTTTAAAATAATTAAATTTTTATTAAAAACAGAATAATTTATTTTTGAATTAATTAAAATTGTTTGATTTATTTTTGAATAATTAATAATTGACTTTTGAATTATTTAAAATTCAAATATTGTAAAAAATTAATAAAATATTTAAAAAAAACAATTTATTTTTAACATAATAAAAAAGTAATTTATTAAAATACTAAATTCAAATAGATTTTGAATTGCAATTATTTTTAAAAATGAATAAATTTTTTGTGTAAAATCATTTTTTTAAAATTAATTAAAATTTGAAACAATTGAATTTTTTTTTTTCATTTTTGAAAAATTAATTATTTCGAACAATTTTTTAAACATAAAAGAACCAGGAGCTATTATCACTCATAATAGCAATCAAAAAAAGCACACACTAAAGGGATCGCTCTTCCCAAAAAATTTAGACTCTAGATCCTGCACTGTATAAGTTAATAATTGAAGATTAATTAAATTTTTGAAAAATTAAATATTAAAAAATTAATTATTTTGAATAATTAATATTATTGAACAGTAATTTACGAAAACGACCAATGTAATAAAATTTAGAACGATATTTTTTATTGATTCAGGAAAATTGAATTTTTTAATTAAAATTAATAATCGTTGAAAATTGAAAATAATACAACTTTTATTGACAATTCGATATTTCAGTTTTTTTAGATTTTAAAAATGCATAAAATTTTCAATAATAATAATAAATCAAAATACAATAAATATTATCAATTATAATTATAAATAAAAAAAAATAATAATAATAATAATAAGATATACGAATAAAATTTGTTTTTAAGTTATTTTGAGATTTTTATTTAACAAAATAAAATGAAATAATATAAATGATTTAATTAAGAAGAAAATTTTAATTAATAATTAGAATTTACCAATCTACAGTTTTTTTTCCACTGAAAACGGTAACCTCTCGCCTGATACCAGATATTTTTCCACGATTTTTCAAACACAATAATTCTTGTCACAATTTAACGTTTTTTAAAAACACCCGCACTACCGCATAACATAACATCGGAAATGTCAAAACATCACGAAAAATATAAACAAACAAAAAAATCATGATAATAATTCGCAAATGATAACTAACAACTAACTTCATACTGCGAACGGACAGAATGAAAAACCACAGACTTTAATAAAGTTAATTTTACATTTTATATTATATTCTTTGCACATAACTACCTACAAATAAATAAACAAAGAATTGTTTTGACTTTTCTACAAAAAAAACGAAAATTTGTCTCTCTCTCTTTAATTAATTAGCCGTGTCCGATTTAGCCCCATGGGGTGTCCGGTTTAGCCCCACCAATTTTGGGATTTTCGTTTATGAGGTAGTCACCTTCAAAGCAATATATCTCCTAAGCTATTGTAGTTTTTTAAAAACGAACAAGTGCGATTTGTAGGTGAAGGAACAAGCTTTAAAACGGTATATTACTCTTTAGCAAAAAAAAAATTTTTCTATGAGTTTTCTGGTCAAAGACCAAATCCGTCCGGTTTAGCCCCAGTCTCCCCTAGTCGAAAAAAGGCGAAAATGTTATAATATCCGAGGCCTGAATATAGAAATTTTCCCCAGAAATTCAATTGTTTTCAGGAATTTTAATAAAATTCTTTGAAAAATTGAATTATTTTTAAGAATTATTTAAAAAGTTGAGAAATAAAAAATGAGACACAACCTCAGTCGAAATACATGAGACGGACGTTTTTAAAAACTTTTCTCGAAATTTTCTTCATTTTTTCTATCTTCATATTTGACATCGTATAATAAAAATGATATTTTGTTTCCAGGTTTATTCAGGAACAGAGTCAAAAACAGTTTTAATGGAGAACGTAGAGTCGGGCTGTTCGAGAACCGATCAGTGTGAACCGAATCCATGTCAAAATTCAGGACACTGCACGGATATTTGGCGAAGTTATAAATGCGCCTGTGAGAGGCCTTATTTGGGAAACGCCTGTCAGTACAACATGACAGCGGCGACTTTCGGCTACGAGAACATAACAGACGGTTTCGTGACCGTAAAAGTACACGACGCCGCCAGAAGAGCAGTGAGATCGATCATCGACATTTCAATGTTCATTCGCACCAGACAAGAGAGAGGGGACATTTTCTATCTGGGTTCAGAGCAAAATACTCCCTTCGATCTCAAGAATCAGGATAAAACCTACATCGCCGCTCAACTGAAGGGCGGAGAACTTCGTGTAACGATACAATTTAACGGAACCGAATCGTACACCGTCGTTGGCGTTAAACTGAACGATGGAAATAATCATCTAATTCAAGTAATACGAAACGTGACGATTGTTCAGGTGAAGATCAACGGTACCGAATATTTCCGCAAAACAATAAATGCGATTGGTTTGCTCAACGTGACAGTATTGTATTTAGGTGGTTCTCCCCACTTTTCGCGTAATATCCGTCAAGTCGAAAGTAGATCAATGGAAGCGCCAGAACCGCTAGTCAATTTCAAGGGTATCATTCAGGACGTGCAAATATCAAATGGCGTCGAAACAATGGTCGTGGAATTTTTCCCACTGAAAGCGACAATAAGTCCACGTTTGAAAGACTTTGGCGAAGTAATCATTGATCAGACGAAAGTTCTCGAGAACGTGAGATCGGATAATGTCTGCATTAGCAGTCCTTGTTATCACGATGGTAAATGCCACGTGACTTGGAACGATTTCTGGTGCGAATGCCCTCGCGGCTACACCGGCAAGACATGCCAGGAAATGGAGTTCTGTCAACTTCAAGACTGTCCCATTGGCTCAAAGTGTCAGAATTTAGACGACGGTTACGAGTGTCTGGCTAATGCGACATTCGACGGAATTAACACGTCCTTCAGCTATGTCTATAATCGAGAGGACTTTGAAATGAGTGAATTGGACGAGGTTATTGATTCGATTAAAATTTCCTACAGATCGAATACTGGCGGTACTCTCATGCATATGGCCTCGCCATCCGGCGATCATTACTTCACTATTTTTGTTTTCAAGGACATGGTGACTGTTTCTTGGAAATTGAGTATCGAGGACACGGGAATTTTCACTTTTGGAAAAACCGAACCCGACGGCAAGTGGACGTCGATTGTATTGAAATTGAGCAATCATTCGATTGAGAGTATTCTTAATAATATGAATGATGACTCGGTGCCGCATACGAGTCAGAACTTTAATTTTTCACTTTGGTACGAGTTACTTGTTAATGGTTCTGTCACTCTCGGTGGACTTGGAACGACTTTGTCTGAAAAGCATACGTACGACATGATTGGAACTGAGAGGCATATTGAGAGTAGGGACAGAATTAATGGGAATTCGGTGGATTTTGGTGATCAAAGATTGACGACTGCATTACCTCCGCACAGTATGATGACTGGTGAGTACATTTCTACTGATTTCAATTTTAAGTCTCGAATAGTAAAAATTTTTTTCCAGTTCTTTTAAAAAAAGCGATATTTTTCGACTACAATTAATGTTTGTAAAAATCTTCGAAACAATTTAATTATTTTGAAAAAAAAAAAATTCTTCGAAGCAATTCAATTATTTAAGAAATTTTAATAAAATTCTTCCCAAGAATTCAATTCTTTTCAAAAATAAACATTTTCACAGAAATTCAATTATTTGGAAAAAATTTAATAAAATTCTTCGTCAGATTTCAATTATTTTCAATGTTTTAATGAAATTTGTCGATAAAATTTAATTATTTTCAAAAAGTTTTAAAAAATTCTAAGATAATAAATTATTAAAAAAAAATTTGCATCAAATTCTTCACAAAAAATTAATTATTTTAATAAATAATATTTTTCTCCGAAATTCAATTATTTTTACAAATAAAATTATTCACAGTAATTCAATTCTTTAAAAAAATTTTTTTATTAAAATTCGTTGCAAGAATTCAATTAGGTATTTTCATAAAGAACAAAACTTATAGCAGAATTTAAATTATTTTTTATACAATTTTAAATAAAATGTTAGAAAACTGCATTTATTCTTAAAAGTTTTTTTAAAATTTGTCGAAAGAAATATATATTATTATTAAATATATATATTATTTTTAAAAATGATAATAAAATTAATCATGAAAATTCAATTTTAAGAAATATTCAATATATACCTACTTAATAAATGATTTATTTTTGTATTTAAATAATTGAATTCTCGAAAAATTTTCTGGGAAAAATTGATTAAAAATAAATTTTGTGACGTTCAATTTATTATTAGGTATTATTATGCAAATTACAAAATTTTTTATTTTTAAATACGAATTTTTGAATAATTTCAGACTCAAACTTTAAAAAAATTCAATTATTAACTAATTTACTAAATAATTATTCTTGTTTATTAATTCATTCATAAATAATAACATTCTTTGTAAGAATTAAAATTATTTGTTATAAATAGTAAAATTTTTTGCAAAAATTCAATTATTTTTAAATAAAATTTGAATATAACATTTTCACGAACAAATACAATTATTTTCTAAATTTTCAATAGAATCCTTCGAAACAATCCACTTATTTTTTTTAAATTTGTAAAATTCTTTACAAAAATTCAATTGTTTTTACAATAATTTAACGAAAGAATTCAATTTTTCTCTTAATTCATTCTATAAAGTTTTTCAAAATAATTCAATTTTCTAAAAAATTCAATTTTTTTCTTAATTCTTTATAAAAAATTTCAAAAAAATTCAATTATTTTCTAAAATTTTAATAAATTGAAAAAGTCTTCAAAATTCAATTAAATTTATAAATAGTAAAAATTCTCTGCAAAAATTCAATTATTTCCTAAAACGTTTTGAAAGAATTGTTCATAAACTTCAATTATTTTAAAATTTAAAAAAAAACTCCATTAGGTATTAAAAAAGAAATTCAAAAAAATTCTTTAACAAAAATGAAATTAAAATTATCAAAAATTTTAACATAATTCTTCACGAGAATTCAATTATTTTCCTAAATAGAAAAAATTGTTCGAAGGAATTATATATTATATAAAAATTCAACTTGTTTTGTTTTTATACTATTTAATTTAATTTTTCTAAATTTTACTAAATTTTTCAACAATTATTTTTGAATAATTTTTTCAATATAATTAAGTTTTTGAAATATATCTTCAGAAAGTCTTTAAATTAATTTAAATTTTGTAAAATTTTGTTGAAAATAATTAACTTTTAAAGTATTTTAATAAAATTTTTGTAAATCAAATTTTGAAGCACTGTAACTGCAAATTTTAAAAGTAATTAAATTCTCAAAAATTTTAATGGAGAAAATTGTAAATGAAAATTTGAAAATAAAAATTAATAGAATTTTTGTAAATAAAATTTTGAAGGAACTGTAACTGCAAATTTTGAAAGTAATTAAATTCTCAAAATTTGTAATGGAAAAAATTTTAAATGAAAATTTGAAAATAAAAATTAATGAAAATTAGCTTCAAAAATTTATATTAAAATAATTTTTTAAAAAAAGTAATTCTTAGAATTTTTTCATAATTTTTTTAAAATTTAATTATTTCCGACATTTATAATTACGAAATTTCGAAAACTAAATTTTTACAAAGATTTATTAAAATTTTTGGAAAAATGAAAAGAATTCATTTAAAATTGTATGTATTGAAATAATTAAATTGTTATAAAGAATTTTATCAAAATTTTTGAAAATTTAATTTCTACAACGAATTTTATTAAAAAATTTTTAAATAATTTGTTTCTTTCTAGTTGGTGTTATTAAATTGTATTGAATAATAAATTATAATAGTTAATTATTTTATAAGTGGATTTTTAAATTTCGAATTATTAAAAAATCGAAGTTAATATTTCAGAATAAAATGTTTTTTTAATTTGACTAATAATAATAAAAAATTATTAAAATTCCAATATTGAATCATGTTTTTCTTTTAAATTTTAGGTGAACCGTTCAAAGGATGTTTGGGAGAAGTGAGAATCGGAAAAATGCTGTTGCATTTCTTCACAATGGAGGAGGTTTATCAAAATGCTACCTTTACGCCAATTGAATATTTATATCTTAAAAGAGATAACTCAACAGGAACGTACAGTCGAGAAGATATAGGATGCAGTCTCTGTTTCGAAAACGATTGTAAAAATGACGGTCATTGTAAAGATAAATTCAACAGTTACATATGCGAGTGTCCCGCAGGATTTGCTGAGGACGATTGTTCAGTGGACATCAATGAGTGTGAAGGCAATGAATGTCAAAATAATGCCACTTGCTTTGATAAAATTGCAAAATACGAGTGTCTCTGCAAAGAGGGTTGGAAGGGCCAGCAGTAAGTCACTTTATTTCATTTTTTCCAAGATTATTACATTTTTTCGTTTTTCATTATTCAATGAATTAAATTTAAGTAATTTAACTGTTTAACTATTTAATCAAGTAACAATAATTTCTGTCTTGATTTACAATTAATTTCTTCTATATTAATATTGTTTTCTTCTTCGATTTATTCCGTTTCTTTAATTTTTTCCACTTCTTTAATTTTTTTATTTCTTTAATTTTAACTGATTTTTCGATTTTTTTTGTTTCTTTAATTTTTTCCACTTCTTTACTTTTTCATTTTCTTAGTTTTTCACCATTTCTTGAATTTTTTCGACTTTAAAATTTTTATTTCTTTAATTTTCACATTTCTTTAATTTTTTCCACTTCTTTAATTTCTTTATTTCTTGAATTTATTCCCCTTCTTTAACATTTTAATTTTTACCGTTTCTTGAATTTTTCCGACTTAAAAATTTTTATTTCTTTAATTTTTACCGTTTCTTGAATTTTCCATTTCATTATTTTTACCGCTCCTTACATTTTTCCCATTTATTTAATTTCTTTATTTCTTTAATTTTTTTCACATCTTTACTTTTTAATTTTTACCGTCTCTTGAATTTTTTCATTTCAGTATTTTTACCGCTTCTTTAATTTTTTTCTTTTCTTTAATTTCTATATTTCTTGAATTTTTTATACTTCTCTTCTTTTTAATTTCTACCATTTCATGAATTTTTCCGACTTTAAAATTTTTATTTCTTTAATTTTTACCGTTTCTTGAATTTTTCATTTCATTATTTTTACAGTTTCTTAAATTTTTTTTTATTTATTTAATTTCTTTATTTCTTGAAATTTTTATACTTCTCTACTTTTTAATTTTTATCGTCTCTTGAATTTTTCGACTTTAAAATTTTTATTTCTTTAACTTTTTATCGTTTCTTTAATTTTTTTCAACTTCTTTAATTTCTTCATTTTATTATTTTTACCGCTTCTTTAATTTTTTTCACTTCTTTAATTTCTTTATTTTCTCAACATTTCTTTAATTTTTACAACTTCTTTAATTTTTTTATTTCATTATTTTTACAGCTTCTTTAATTTTTTTCACTTCCTTAATTTCTTTATTTTCTCAATTTTTTCTACTTCTTTACTTTTTAATTTTTTTAATTTTTCACCATTTCTTGAATTTTTTTGACTTTAAAATTTTTATTTCTTTAATTTTTTCAACTTCTTTAATTTTTTCATTTTTTTATTTTTACCGCTTCTTTAATTTTTTCACTTCTTTCATTTCTTTATTTCTTGAATTTTTTCTATTTCTTTACTTTTTAATTTTTACCGTCTCTTAAATTTTTTTGACTTTAAAATTTTTATTTTTTTAACTTTTAGCGTTTCTTTAATTTTTAAATTTTATTATTTTTACCGATTCTTTAATTTTTTCACTTCTTTAATTTCTTTATTTATTTAATAATTGACACTTCTTTACTTTTTATTTTTTGTCGACTTTTAAATTTTTATTTCTTTAATATTTACCGATTCTTTAATTTTTTTGTCCTTTTAATTCTTCACTCTTCTTTAAATTTTACCGTTCCTTACATTTTTTTCACTTCTTTGCTTTTTAATTTTATTTCGACTTTCAAATTTTTATTTCTTTAATTTTTACCGTTTCTTTAATTTTTTCCCGTCTTTTTAATTTTTTCTACTACTTTAAATTTTACCGTTTCTTTAATTTTTTTAACTTCCTTACTTTTTAATTTTTTTTTTGGCTTCAAATTTTTGATTTTTTAATTTTTACCGTTTCTCTAATTTTTTTCACTTCTTTATTTTTTAATTTTTTTAATTTTTACCGATTCTTCAATATTTTTTACTTTAAAATTTTTATTTCTTTAATTTGTACCCATTCTTTAATTTTTTCTTTTTCTTTAAATTTTTTTCCACTTATTTAATTTTGTCATTTCTTTAAATTTGAAAAATGTTTAATTATTTTCCCTGTTTGATTGTGTTAAATTTGATTAATTTCGTAATTTTTTAAGTTTCGTATTTTAAAGTACACGTATACATTTAATTTAATTAATGTTAAATTTAGAACATTTATAATGAATAAGTAATTCAATTTCGTAATTAATTAAATGAATTCAATTTCATTTTCTAACTTTTTTTGTTTTACTGTCAACAGTTGTAATGAAGATGTGGACGAATGTGAAACGAAGAATCCCTGTCAAAATGGAGGAACATGCAACAATCTTCCTGGCTCTTTCAGTTGTGAATGTCCAAATGAATTCATTGGTGATCTCTGCGAAACTGTCAAATTAATTACGTGCAAAGATAATCCTTGCAAAAATGGATCAACTTGTCTTGATGTCGTCAATTCAGAAACTGGGGATAATTACACCTGTAACTGTATGAAGGGATATGAAGGAAGAAATTGCCTTCCCTATTGTCTCATTAAAAATTGCGAAAATAACGGAACGTGCATGACTTCCTTTGACGTAAGTTATTCCACTTTTTTTATTCTATTGTTACTAATTTCGTCTTATTTCAAGTCTTACCTATATTTTTTTAATATTATATTCTTATTAATTATAATCTAATTGAAAATAAATTTAAAACTACGAAAAAATGGGGGACTAACTCTGATTGTTTTTTTGTGAAAATTGTTTTGTGAAAAAATTCTGAAAAAATTCAAAATATCTTATTAATAATAATATAAATAATTATAATATTATAAATTATAATTATTAGGAAAATAAGTAATATATTTTACATAAAATAATTAGTTTCGATTATGTTTGATTGAGGGACCTCAATTTTTGTCAAATAGTATTTGTAAATTACATTTTATTAATTATCTACAATTTACAAAGCTAGAAATTATTTCTTATTTTATAATAAAAAGTCCTAAATACGGTTATTTTTGTTTCACAATTTTAACGAAAAGCAAATAATTATTATTACATTGGAAACTAATTATTAAAATAGAAAATAGAAAATAAATTATAAGAATTTGTCCCTCCGAGATGTGTAAATTAAAGACGAAACCAACAATTACGACTTGGATAGAATGATAATTGTTATTTCCATTTTTAAAACAAAAATAAAATAGATTAGTAAATTTTTTTTTAATTTTGTGTTACAGCCTCCGGAATGCACCTGTCATCCTGGATTCAATGGAAAGTTTTGTGAGAATAATATTGACGACTGTGCACCCGATGATCAGGGCAATGTTCCCTGTAAACATGAGGGTTACTGCATTGATCAAGTGAAGGGTTTCCTCTGTAATTGCACGAACACGGGATATGAAGGTGTAGATTGTACAGAAGATATAAATGAATGTGAATTAGGAGCAAATTGTGGCAATGGCGTCTGTATAAATTTGAATGGAACATTCCGCTGCCAGTGTAACGAAGGATATTGCGGTATAGACTGTCTCAATACAAAACCATGCAAAGAGGTAATTTCCAATTTCATTCATTTATGAAAAATTTTAAAAACTTGAAATTTCCTTGAATTTTTTTTCAACTTTGTAAACTTTTCAATCTCTATGAATTTTTAAACAATGCCTTAATTTTTCCTATTTCTGTAATATAATGAATTAAATTTAATTTAAATAAATAATTTTCTAAAAATAATATTAGATTTTTAAAATATTTCAATTCTATTTTTTAAAAATATTATTCAATTTTAATGAACATGTAATTAAAAATGTTTAAAATAATTGAAATTTCCAAGAATTCGGTATTCCATTTATTACCTATTATTTTGTCAATTAAAAATTTTAATATTTTTAAGAATAAACATCAATTTTTGAACGATTAAAGATTCAAAATTTAAAGAATTAACTTATTAAGTTCATAATATTATTTAATATTTTTGTTTATTATTATTCAAAAATTTTACAAAAATTTCTTGAAAGAATACAATTATATTTAAAAATATTAATTAAATTCGATTATTTTCAAGAATTTTAATATAAATTCAATTATTTTTAACAATTTTGATGAAATTTGTTAAAAAAAACATTATTTTAAAAATTTTTTAAAAAATGCCTTCAAAAAATTAAATTATTTTTAAAAATTCAGAAAAAATTCTTCGAAACAATTCAATTATTTTTGTAAATTGTAAAATTTTTGTCAAGAATTCAATTATTTTTGTAAAGTATAGAATTCTTCTGAGAAATTCAATTATTTTCAAAATTTTCAATTAAAATTATTTTTATAAATGACATTCTTTTTACGAAATTTAATTAAATTAAAAAAAATGTAATTATTTATAAAAAACTCTAATAAAATTGTTTAAAAGAATTTAATTTTCTATGAACAATTTTAATATGATTACACGATTTCAGGCTTCACAGTCTGTCCCCTATTTCCCTAAAAGTCCCCTTTTTTCAATTTTGGCCCCTAAACGTACCCTATTTTGAAAATTTCCCCTATTTTTCTCGTCGCAGGAAATTAATTTTTTTTCAATAATTTTTAAGTAATTCTGCAAAAGAATTCAATTATCTTGATAACCAACAAAATTCTCTGCATAAAATCAATTATTCTAAGGATTTTTAAAGAAATTCTTTTCCAAAATTCAATTATTTTGATAAATATCAAAATTTTTCTCAAGAATTCAATTATTGTCAAAAATTTTAATTAAATTCTTGGCAAAATTTCAATTATTTAAACAAAATTTAATAAAATACTTGGAAAGAATTCAATTATTTTTATAAATTTTAATGAATATCTCGTCAAGAATTCAATTATTTTTATAAATTTTAATGAATATCTCGTAAAGAATTCAATTATTTTTATAAATAGAAAAATTTTTCGCCAAAAATTCAATTATTTTCAAAAATGTTAATAAAATTCTTTGCAAAATTTCAATTATTTTTAAAAGTTTTTCGCAATTCAATGTTTTTAAATATTTACTATTTTCATAAAATTTATCAACAAATTTAATTATAAAAAAACTTGTTGATACAATTCTACGAAAAGATTCAATTATTTTCATAAATAATAAAATTTCATTTACGTATTTAATTATTTTCATCGTATAATTTCAAATATTTTTAATACAATTTTAAATAAATTCCTTGAAAAATGCAATTTGTATTACAAATTTTATTAAAACTTGAGGAAATAATTCAATTTTAAGAAACATTCAATTATTTAATAAAACAATAAAATTCGTTGCAATAATTCAAATATTTTCATAAATAACATTTAATTCGTCGCAGAAAATCAATTATTTTCAAAAAATTTTAAATAATTTTGCAAAAGAATTTAAATAGCTTGATAAACAATAAAATTGCACTAATTCTTCCCATAAAATCAATTATTCTAAGGAATTTTAATAAAATTCTTTTCCAAAATTCAATTATTTTGATAAATATCAATATTCATCGCAAGAATTTAATTCTTTTGAAAAGTAATAAAATACTTTGCAGAAATTAAATTATTTTCAAAATTTTTTGAAAATTCTCGTCAAGAATTAAATTATCTTTATAAATAGATAGGGAAATTCTTTTCAAGAATTAAATTATTGTCAAAAATTTTAATAAAATTCTTTTTATGAATTCAATTATTTTCAAAAATTATTATTTAAATTCTTCTTAGGAATTCAATTAATTTTAAAATTTTAATTAATAAATACTTTGCAAGAATTCAATGATTTTCAGTACATTAATTTTAAAATTGAAAACATTTAAAAAGGAAAATTATTTCAAAAGTTAGGAAACAAAGAAAAGAAACAACAAATAACTTTTAACTGCGAATAGATTATCGGAACACAACGATTATTATTAATATAGATTTTTTTTATAATCAAAAGCTATTTTTAAACATTTTTTCTACAATACATATTGTAAATTCTGTTATATTGTAAACAATCTTTTTTTTTGTCTCTAAACAGGACGAGGAATCAAACGAAGATCATCTGCTTGGAAGTCAAGCGCTGGACATTGCACTGATCGTTGGACCAATCGTCGGCGTTTTATTCCTCATTGCCGCAGGTTCGTTGATCGCATTCTTTATGATGGCACGAAAGAAACGTGCCACACGCGGAACCTACAGTCCCAGCGCTCAGGAATTCAGTAATCCTCGAGTTGAAATGGACAATGTGATGAAGCCACCACCAGAGGAAAGATTGATTTAATTTCATTCCAAAAAGTGGTAACAAAGGGACGAAAAAAAATCCCCACTCCCTTTTACTTTCAATTGGAAACAAAAAATCCGATAGTAAATTCAATAATTCCACGAGAGATTTCTGTATGAGCCGTGATCAACTTTGACAAAGTTTCTCTCGCCCTTCTAGTCCTCGTCTCACGATTTTACACACGAAACTTTGTTCATTTCTATCTAATAGCAATGTTACAAGTTTACAAAACAAAAAAAAAAGTTTTAAACTAGGCTCTTTTTTATCAATGATTCATTTTTAAATTGAAAGGATATTTTGGAGCTTTAATGAAAGTCTTCTTTGCGAAGACAAAAAACAAAATGGAAAACAAGACTCACGACCCTCTTGGTCGTTTGGTTTTCGTATCGAAAACTGTTTAAAGTGTACTTAAAATACTATTAAAGTGTTCTTATCTTATTGTTAGATTGAAGCTCTAGAGCGGAAACAAAACCCGTCCATTTAGTGCCTAATGTACTCAATTCATAATTTTTTTTTTTAATAATTTATAGGCAAATGAAACTTAATGCAATAATCACATTCCGAAATATCACGTGTCTTAAGACAAGATCTCCAAAGCATAATTGTGAACTAAAAGATGAATTCGCTGCGAGATAAAAGAAAAGTTATATAAATACACTCATACTTGAAGCGAATGTTCTTTTATCAGAACTCATGTTTATTTTGGAATTCATCTCTTTTTAGTGTTCAGATTCTTGACAAAATGGAATAATTTCTTTTTTAAAGAAAGCAAAAATTTTTAATTGTGTAAAACTACTTTTTTTACACATCTGTTCGAATTTTATTAACTCTATATTTTATGTTTCCATATTTTAGTGACCCTTTTCGGTCAATTAGATTTTTTTATTTTTCTAATTACAATTTTATTGTATTGTACTTTTTTGGTTTTTATTTTATTTTTCTGATTACAATTTTTTTTTATTGTATTTTTTCTGTACTTTATTTTCTTTTTTTAATACAATTTTATTTTATTGTATTTTTCTGGTTTTTATTCTATTTTTCTAACTAGTTTTATTTCATTGTACTAGCAAATGTGATATTTAATTTATTATTATCATTGTTTATATTTTCAAAAATTTTAATAATAATTCAATAATAATATTATATGTGAAATAAAATAAAGAAATAAATCATTTTCTAAAACAATTATTTTTTTAAATAGTAAAATATTTGCAAAAATTCTATTACTTTCAATAACATTTCACGAAAGAATTCAATTTTCTTTCTTAGTTCGTTAAAAAATTTTTCAAAGGAATTAATTATTTTCTAAAATTTGAATAAATCCTTTGAAGCAATTCAACTATTTTTAATATAATTTTAATAATACATTTCATGAAAGAATTCAATTATTTTTAAAAAAATTTTAATATTTTTCGAAAAAATTCAATTATTTTCTAAAATTTTAATACATTTTTCAAAACAATTCAATTATTTTTATAAGTAGTAAAATTCATCACAAGAATTAAATTAAATCCTATTATTTTCATATTTTTTGAAAAAATTATTTAAAATGTTAGGAAACAAAAAAGCAAATAACAACAATTATTGTTTTTTTTTGCATTTTTATCTGTAATTTTTCTTTTTACTTTTTATTTTACTATGTACAACTATTTACTCCGAAATTTTACAATTTTACCATTTTTTAATTTTACAAAATTAAAATTAACAAAATTTTTAAAATATGTATCATTTTTATTTCGTGAATTTTTTTATTCCAATTTAATTGAATTAAATTAATTTCTAAAGAAATACGGAATTTGAAAAAATAAATTTTGTCAAAAAAGAGGGTAAACAATGATGACTACTGAGAAATAGAAATTTTTAATAGAAATTCGGAATTGTGATAAAATTTGGAAACATAAAATGTAAAAATCAATACAATTGCGAAAGAAAATTCGAATTGTAGAGAAATTGAGATTAATGTCATTTTCAAATTATTTAAATTTAAGTTTAAATTATTAAAATTTTAAATTCTATTATAAATATATTTTTTTAAGTTCAATGAAGAAAATTTTTCAATTCAAATATATTTAAATATTTTCTTTAATTTAAATGTATTTAAATATTTTTTTATTTTAAATTTATTTAATAATTTTTTAATTTAAATGTATTTAAGTATTTTTGAAACTTTTATAAACTTAAATTACATTCGTCTGTAAATAGAAAAATAGAAAAAGTAAAAAAAAAGAAATATTTAAAAGCGAAAATATAAAAATCGATGAAGAAATAAATTATTCGATTTTAAATTCTGAACAATGGGCTAAAAGTGTAGAATTTACAATATAATCATGCGCTCAATTTTTATTATTATAATTGAATCTAAAAATATTGAACGACACGTTTTAATTGAAACTAAATGCTCAGCTTAGAAATTTTAGGAAAAATTTCAATTTTCAAAGTTAGAAAAATAATTATTTTTCTAAAAAAAATTGTTATTGTAAATTAACGTAAAATTTAATTAAAAAAAAAAGAATTGTTTAATTTTTAAAAGCAGATTGCTCATTTTTAACTATATGAAATTTCATCGTGTCGTTCAGATTGTTAATTTTGTAAATACTATAGTTAATAAGTTATAAAATTTAAAACTATATTTTAACGATATTTTATATGGAGAATAGTATTTAACGATAAACGTATTATTATTTGATATATTGAATATTTACCGTTACGACCAAAGTATTTTTTGATCGTGGGAATAAAACGATTTATCGACTTAAAAAAAAAAAATATTCGTGAATGGAAAAATTTATTTTCGAAATTTTAAAATAAAATATTGCAGATTGTTACAGTGTTTTACACACGTTTTTTTTAATGTAATGTAACTGTTTTTTTTAGTTCCATTCTGTATTTAATATCAAAAATATATAACTTATTAAAATACAAAAAATATTTTGAAATTATAAACTATTTGATTTCATATTGTTTTAATAGAAAATAATGTGAAGTAAATCTATTTGTACATCTGCGATTTCGCAAGACTGAGAGATGTGGATGTGTGGTTAATTTTAAAAAAGCACTGTGTGCTTGTCATTTAGAAATTTACTCAATTTTTGAGATTGTTATTCGACTATAAGCAGATAATTAAAAAAAAAAAGAAAAAATTGCTCTTAAATAAAAATTCATCAAAAGCTCGAATGTATGAAGGATAAAATATATATATTTTAACATTCAAGACTTCGTCGTTATACATATCTGACTCTTAAGTAACATTTATAGCGTTAAATGATATGCAATTTGTTTGAATTAAAATATATATGTATATATAAAACAGTTCATTTACAGATATTTACATTTTTCAATTAAAATAAATAAATACTAAAAACAGTTTCGAAATTAAGACGATGTTAAATTTTTTTTCTCGATCTTTAGAAAAGAAAAAATTCTGAATAATCATAATCATTGGTAGATAATTAAAAAGAAAATGTGTATAACTTAAATTTTCCTAGATGTTTACATTCTATGTACATAGTCAACGATATTGCACTTTAGATGCGCATCGATATTGAAATTTTTTTCAAATAAAAATTTTCGAGACTGATTAAAATTTGTTCCTAAAATTTATATCCTATATACTCGTTTTTCATTTCCAATTTTTTCCATTTACTTTGTGGAGTTTTTCACGTGATAGTCTGTCAAAAAATAGAAGACCTGCCGCTCGTTCGATACTCTCAGGCGGTACCTATAAGAATAAAGAATTATTAGAATTTCTTTCATTAAAATAAAGAATAAAATTGTTAGTAATAATTATTAAAGTAGTATTTTTATTAATTATTAGAAAAAAGAGTAAAAGAGTATTTATTTTCTTATTTACAATTTATAAGATTTACTCTCTTGTGATGATAATGTAAAAAATTTAATTATGGTAATTGAGTTAATTAATTACACTCAAAGCTTTAAAATACGTTAATAAAAATACTTCCTGTATGAGGAAGTAATAATTATAATTCTTTTCAATTCAAAGTTAAAATTTAAAATTCAAATTCAAAATTTTAAAATTTTTAAAAATTCTAAATTGTAATTTTTTAATTATTAAGTTAAGTGGAGTAATTATTATTTTTTATTTAATTTTAATGAGCACGTACATAGTGAATTTATTGCTATTGCAATTAAAAGAGGTAATTACCTGGAAATTCTTAAGTGGCGCTTTATCGTCAATTGGTGAATTTGGCATGACAAAAGCTTCCATTTCAAGTTTATTGTCGGATGTTTCTCCAACAACCACTTTATAAAAGTGAGTCGGTACTGCAACATGATTGTTGCCAATAACTTCGTATCTAACGTATTTTTTACCATCTGCCTCCATCCTGAAAATCAAAAATTAAGTTTACTAGTTTAAAAAAAAAAATTTCATCACACACTTATACGTATATTTCATTTTGAAAAAGGGAAATTAAATTTTTTTCAAAATTAATAAATGAAAATGTGTCTTTTCAAATAAAAAAAAAAGGTGAAGAAAAATTATTCTTAACGTCACTTTCAGCAACAAAAATTTATTTATTATTCTTTTAATTTTTAATAAAACAAAAATAAATATTTCGTGAAATTATATAATACAATAAATACAATATTAAGATGCAAAAATTAAATTTTTTATTTCGTTGACCTTACACTGATTTCTAAATTCAATTATTCAAGACTTGAATAATTTTGTTAAATAAATATTCAAATACTTCTCCTTTGCTTTTCCACGAAAAATAAAATTTTAAAAATTTCAATTTAAAACCTTCTGAAATTTAATCATTTCTAAAAATTACAACCATAACCCTTCTACCATTCAATTATTTTCTACAATTTTCAACTCATCTTGATCCCTAAATCAATTATTTTTAATAATTTTCCGAAAGTTCTTTGTAAGTTCAATTATTCAAATACAAAAATTTAATTTTTAATAATAATTGTAACTAACTGTCCATACTTTTTTTAAAAAGGTTGTTAAAGTAATATTTTCAAAAAATTATAATAAAGAAATCCTTAACATTTATAATTTTTCAATTAGATGGAATGGAAAATTTCCAAACAATTGAAATTTGGTAAAACCTTTTAAAAATAATTTAATTTTTAAAAAATTATAAAAAAATAATCAAATTTTTGAAGTCGAAAAAAGTAAATTTTTAAAAATTCAAATTGACTTTCTTCGAATGTAATTCTAGGTACGAATTACTTTTTTCAAAAATATTTTAATAGATATAATTTTTAGAAACTAATTAATTTTCATTTTCAAATTTATAGATACTTGAAAAATTTTCATTAAAATTTTTGAGAATTCAATTATATTTAAAATTTGCAATTAAAATTCTTTAAAAGCTGATTTTTAAAAATTGTAATAAAATACTTGAAAAAAAATCAATTATTTTCAATTAAATTTTACAAAATTTCAATTATTCAAAAAATAATTGAATCTTAAGAAAATATAATTCATTTTTAAAAAATATTGTAATGTAGTTTTTGGAAAATAATTGTATTTCTTAAAAGAATATTTGTATAATTTAAAAAAATCTAAAATCTATTTAATTTTTACAAGAATTTTAATTAACAATTTTGAATATGATTGTTGTATCTAAAATATTTAAAATAATTCTAAAAAATTTTTAATGTTATTATGTTTTATATTTATTTGAATTTTCTAAAATATGTAATTGAAAATATTGCAAATAATTGAATTTTAAGAAATTAAAATGGAAAAATTCTAAGAATTACTTTTTCCAAAAATATTTTAATATAACTTTTAGAAGATAATTTTCATTAATTTTCACTTTTAAATTTAAACTTGTGAAGGATGGCCAAAAAAATAGACTTTAAATAAATTAACCATATAAATATATTTTTGTCAGGTACAATCTTAATCTTGTCGCTCGCACACCCGATTAGCAACTGCCCCCTTGCTTCGTCAAGACTTAGCCCCCCACAATTAATAAAGAGGGAGAGAGACATGCGCGTAAACGTTATCATTCTCACAAACTTGAAAATTTTTCATTAAAATTTTTGAGAATCCTATTATTTTAATAATTTAAAAATAAAATTCTTCAAAAGGCGATTTTTAAAAATTGTAATAAAATACTTTTAAAAAATGTTTGAAAAATTTGTCTATAATTATTTTCCACACCAGAAAAATCGAAATAAGTTGCATTTTCAGGCCTCGGATCGAATTTTAAGTGCAAAAAAAGTCGCTTTAGTCGATGTAAAATAGAAAAAAAAGTCGAAAAAATCGTTCATTTAATTCAGTGTCGTCACAAAAATGTTATTTTGTATTCTTCTAATCTTTCACTGATTTATAAATTTAATTATTTAAAACTTGAATAATTTCGTTAAATAAATATTTAAATACTTCTTGTTTGTTTTTATACGGGAATAAAATTTTTAAAATTTCTATTTAAAACCTTTTGAAATTTAATTACTTCTAAAAATTACAACTTTAATTCTCTTAAAATTCAATTATTTTCTACAATTTTTAATCAAACCTCTTCTCGAAATCAATTATTTTTAATAATTTTCCGAAAGTTCTTAAAGAATTCAATTATTTAAATAGAACTTAGAATATTTTCAGGACCTTAATTTTTGTCAAATAAATATGTTTATATTGTGACCTTAAGGCCACAATATAAACAGATTTATTATTTAAATACAAAAATTCAGTTCTTTATAATGATTCTAACTGTCCATGTTTTTTAAGTTATTAATTAATTTTCAAAAAATTATAATAAATAAATTTTTAAAATTAAGTTTTCAAAAATATTTTAAAAATAATTTATGAAAGATAATAGTTTTTCAATTATATAGAATTGAAAAATTTCCAAACAATTGAAATTTGGAAAATTCTATTAAAAAAATAATTGAATTTTTAAAGAATTTTAATTATTAATATAAACGCAATTTCTACAAAATTTTAATAAATCTAAAAAAGTCACATGTTGTTAAAATGTTAAAATTAATTGTAAAAAATTGTAATGTTATTATTTTTTGTATGTATTTGAATTTTTTGAAATTTCTATTTGAAAATATTGAAAATAATTGAATTTTATAAAATTATAATGCAAAAAATTCTAAGAATTATTTTTTTCAAAAATATTTTAATATAATTTTTTTGAAGCTAATTTTCATTAATTACCATTTTCACATTTACACTTGAAGATTTTTCATTAAAATTTTTGAGAAGTCAATAATTTTCAAAATTTACAATTAAAATTCTTTTAAAATTTATTTTCAAAAATTTTTATCAAACACTTTGAAAAAAATCAATTATTTTCAATTTAATTTTAAAAAATTTCAATTATTGAAACTCTTTTTTATTGTAAATTTTGGAAATATATTTAGTATTTAATATTTATAGAAATAGTTGAATTTTTTCGAAGAAATTATAAAAAATTTTAGGAAATAATTGAATTTTAGGAAATATTTGAAAATATTTGAATTCTTTCGAGAAATTCAATTAAATATGTTTTGAAAATAATTGAATTCCTGCAAAGAATTTTTCTATTATTATTATATATAATAATCGTCGTGATTCCAGATTTCCGGATCTCTGTCCACACTTGAAGTTAGTTATAGTTATTCTTTTGTTTTTTATACGTTTTGATAGAAAATAGAAATATACATATACATATACATACATTATAATAATCGTAAGTTTCCTTTCAGTTAGCAAATTATCTGCATTCATTTGTTTGTTTTGAAAATTTAATTTTGTGGGTTAAGTATTGGCATTTTTTATATATTTTTTAATGTCAAACTTTTTAATGTGGAAAATACTTTACTTATTAAATTGTCTCGACTCTTTGGTAAAAAATCTAAAATTATCGAAAATTATCAAAAATTCAAAAATTTGATTTTCTTAAAATTCAACATTTTTTCTTCTCTTTTATAGGATTTAGCTTCATTATTTTTGTGCTTTTGGAAAATACTTTACTTATTAAATTGTCTCGACTCTTTGGTAAAAAATCTAAAATTATCTAAAATTATCAAAAATTCAAAAATCCGAATTTCTTAAAATTCAACATTTCTTCCTCTCTTTTATAGGATTTAGCTTCATTATTTTTGTGCTTTTGAAAAAAACTTTACTTATTAAATTGTCTCGACTCTTTGGTAAAAAATCTAAAATTATCGAAAATTATCAAAAATTCAAAAATCCGAATTTCTTAAAATTCAACATTTTTTCCTCTCTTTTATAGGATTTAGCTTCATTATTTTTGTGCTTTTGGAAAATACTTTACTTATTTAATACTCTCGACTCTTTGGTAAAAAATCTAAAATTATCAAAAATTCGAAAAAATTCAAAAATTTGATTTTCTTAAAATTCAACATTTTTTCTTCTCTTTTATGGGATTTAGATTTATTATTTTTGTGCTTTTGGAAAATACTTTACTTATTTAATAGTCTCGACTCTCTGGTAAAAAATCTAAAATTATCAAAAATTCGAAAAAATTCAAAAATCCGATTTTCTTAAAATTCAACATTTTTTCTTCTCTTTTATGGGATTTAGCTTCATTATTTTTGTGCTTTTGGAAAATACTTTACTTATTAAATTGTCTCGACTCTTTGGTAAAAAATCTAAAATTAATAAAAATTATCAAATATTCAAAAATCCGAATTTCTTAAAATTAAACATTTTTTCCTCTCTTTTACAGGATTCAGCTTCATTATTTTTGTGCTTTTGGAAAATACTTTACTTATTTAATACTCTCGACTCTTTGGTAAAAAATCTAAAATTATCAAAAATTCGAAAAAATTCAAAAATTTGATTTTCTTAAAATTCAACATTTTTTCTTCTCTTTTATGGGATTTAGATTTATTATTTTTGTGCTTTTGGAAAATACTTTACTTATTAAATTATCTCGACTCTTTGGTAAAAAATGTGAAATTATCGAAAATTATCAAAAATTCAAAAATCCAAATTTCTTAAAATTCAACATTTTTTCCTCTCTTTTATAGGATTTAGCTTCATTATTTTTGTGCTTTTGGAAAATACTTTACTTATTAAATTATCTCGACTCTTTGGTAAAAAATCTAAAATTATCAAAAATTCGAAAAAATTCAAAAATCCGATTTTCTTAAAATTCAACATTTTTTTTTCTCTTTTATGGGATTTAGCTTTATTATTTTTGTGCTTTTGGAATAGTATATTGTGTGGCAAGGGCGGAAAGTTGTCAATTCCTGACCGAGTTCGAAATTTGCCGCACGAGCGAAGCGAGGGCGGCAATCGTACGAGGTCAGAATTGACATTTCCGCCCGAGTTGCACACGATATTTTTTGTCCAAATGCGCGATAAACAAGACGCATCCGTAAATTCAAAAATGAATATGCACTAATTATTAAATGTGTATGAAACATTTTTATTAAGCCTAAGGCGAGTCCAAATATTTTTGATAAATTTTACTTAAAAATGGACTCCGTTTTGATTTGAAGTAATAGAAAGTGATAATATAATAATTAGTAGTATTTATTTAATACTGCTAAAGCAGCGGGCGGAAAAGTCATTTTCCCGCCCGCTAAGGCCATGGAGGCGGGCGGAAAAGTGGGTTTTCCGCCCGCTGTTAGTAAGCGGGCGGAAAAGTAGTTTTTCCGCCCGCTGTTGGTAGTCGGGCGGCAAAAGCTTACTTTCCGCCCGCTATGCATGCACGGAAAGTCGAGTTTATCGCGCATGTAGGACAAAAAATACTTTACATATTTAATAGTCTCGACTCTTTGGTAAAAAATAAAAAATTATTAAAAATTATCAAAAATCCGAAAAATTTAATTTTTTAAAATTCAACATTTTTTTTCTCTTTTATACCATTTAGCTTTATTATTATTTGAATTTTTATTCAAGAAAAAAAATGGAAAACTGAAAAAATTTAGAATTTTTTAAAAATTACAGGCCTTTTCCATGATTTCCCTGATTTCCAGAAGCCTTTTAAAAATTCCATACCATTTCCATGATTTCCATGATTTCCTGATTTTGTAGGAACCCTGCTTTTGTCTGACTTTCTTCTAAATTATCGAATGCAGTGATTTCTGGGGTGAATTTGGTTAAGTTGTAAAATGATTAATTTCCATTTGAATTCGTTTTTTTTTTAATGTAGAAAATCTGATGTTAATTTAATTCTTTTTTCGTTATGCACGGCAAAAAATATTTAGCTGGATGAACTACAGATTTCAATTTGGTAGCGAAATTTTTCAGTGCTTCAATTAATACTTTCGTTATTCTAGAGAAACTTATCGCTATTTCAAGTAAAACTTTTTTCAGTGTGTAATAATTATTATTTCTTTAAAAAGTATTTAATTTAAAATGGCTTTATAAAATAAGCAATGCAAAAGATGACCCAGATACTAATTGTAATTGTTCTAGCCATAGTTTAAGTCTAGTAATGTAAATTCTATTTAAATTGAGACCATTGAGTGAAATTTTTTGAATTTTAGTTAGTTAAATCTCTTTGTTAGGTTATAATAATTATTTCTTTAAAATTTTTTAAATTGTTTAAAATAAGCAGACCCATACAACATTCCCGCGCGCTTGCGCGCGGATAGTTTGGCTAGTTTATAAAAATAATTGAATTCTTGCGAAGAATTTTGCCATTTATAAAAATAATTGAATTTATTCGAAATATATTAAAAATTTTTTTTAAAATTAAATTCTTTCGAGGAATTCAATTTCAATTATTTTCAAAATTTGCAATTAATATTCTTCAAATGTTGATTTTCAAAAATTTGTATAAAACACTTTAAAAAAAATCAATTATTTTCAATTAAATTTTACAAAATTTAAATACTTATTTATTGAAATCTTTTCAATTGTAAATTTCGAAAATAAGTTGCATTTTATACTAAAAATTATTGCAATATTCGGAAGAAAAGTCGAAAAAGTCGTAATATTTGAAAATAATTTGAAAGAAGTCGCATTTTTTGAAAGTAGTCGAAAAAAGTCGGAAATGTTATAATATCCGAGGCCTGCATTTTATACTAAAAAAAATATGGTATTTTGTTGTAATATTCGAAAGAAAAGTCGAAAAATAGTCGCAATTTTTGAAAATATATCGAAAATGTCGCATGTTTTAAAAATAGTCGAAAAAAGTTATAAAATACTTACTTTGGAAGATACAGAGGTCCAGTACATACGTAAACATCTTTATAAACATTCGTTAAAGATCTAACATATTTTTCTAATCGATTCCAAGAGTCTCTGTTAAATCCTCGGCCCACCTGAGGAGCCATATTTGATAAAAGAAAAGTTTCTTCTATATGCTTTTGGCAAACCTTGTGATTTCCAGCAGCTGCTAAATGCCCTCGATCGTAACCACTTCCTTTGTAATCACTATTTTCTGACCTAATAACAATAACAATATTAATAATTAATAAAATAATTTTCGAAAAATAGCAAATTTACAAAAACTGATAATATTCTTTTTACTTTTCTTTTTCTAAAATATGAATTTTAAGCATAAAATATATAATTACATGTTTAAGAATATAAAAAAAAAGTTTATCAGATTTTGCAAAACTGTTATTAAAATAAAAAGAAATAAAAAATACGTAAATTGACGTTTGAATCAGAATTTATTTTAATTTTAAATTGTTTAAAAGGATAAATTCAAATTTAAATCACCAAAAATAGAACTTGACAAAAATTAAAAATTCTAAAGAATTAAATTCAGAGATAACAAAGATTTTAATCGAAGAAAGTTTTAACAAATTAAAATTAAAAATTTTTATAAACTAAATTTTTGATTAAAAATTTTTGAAAAATTTACAAAACAGGAAAAAAAATTTTAAATCAGTGAATGAAGGTAAAAAGGTGACAGTCTGTGATTTCTGTTAATAAAATAAAAAAATAACAATTAAGTAATTCAACATCAGAAAATTGAAGAGTAAATAAATAAAATGATAAAATACCTGAAAAATGGATGAATACTTTTATCAATAGTGAATTCGCATTTTGAACGGTCTACAGTATTTTTTAAATGTATTTTCTCCTTTGTTAAGTGTTCAAAGACCCAATGAGCAACTCTGTTTCGTCTATCATAAGAAAGAACGTAATCCTCAAAGGATCTGACATTATCCAGACTAGGAAACCCATACTTCATAATCTAAATTAAAACATAAGTTTTTATTAAATTTATCATTTTAATTATTTAATAAACAGTAACAGTAATTTTACAGAACTATTTAGTACGTAAGGGCATTTTTTCGTTTTTGTAAATATTTTTAAATCATTGAAATTCATTTTTGATTCATAAAATCAAAAAGTGGCTTCAAAATAAAGAAAAATACATTTTCTCGTTATTTTCTAAACTCCTGTCTACTGTACTTAAAATTGCAACAATATTATTATTATTTTTGGAACATTACAATATTGTGGCAAAGTTGTCATCAATATTACAGCAACAAGTTTATATGCTTTTTGGAGTATAAAGTATAATAACACTAATTTTATCCACAATGAGAAAACAAAGTAGAATTGGTGCAAAGAAAAAGAAGAAAATCTTAATTGTAAAATTAAGAAAAACGAGAAAAACGATAAAGACAGATATAAATAGAGAATATAAGGTTATGTGAATATAATCTCTGTAAAAAACTTACTTCAGTTACTCTTGATCCTGGTACAGATAATTTAGCACCCATATTTGCCTGATTATTATTTGGCACTATCGGCGTAGCTGCCGATACTGTGCCGAAAATCGGCAAACAGGGTTTATTCTTTATGTTTACATTCGAAAACAATCCACCAACTCTTTTGTCATCTTTTTCATCATTCAATCTTTCGAAATGTTTTCCCGCAAACCATCCTCCTAACCCCACTCCTGTTAGTGAACCAATTTGCAAAAATACTTTCCCCACACGTACCATTATATATTTTGTTTTTCTTAAAATATAAAGCAACAAATTTATATCAATTTCGTAATTTCTACTGTGTTTAGCATAAGAAAGAAACAACAACCTCGTGTGCACTTTACAACGCAACACACGTAGCAGACGACAAATATGACGTCATGAGAAAATATCGTCTGCTAGTCACGTGACTCATGGGATTTAATTTCAAAAATGTTGATCAATTTTTTTTAATTAAAATAATTTATTTTATTAATTTTAATGTTTTATTCGTGTGGCAAAATAAAGATAGAAGTTGAATATATTTTCTAAAACGTATTTGAATTTTCTACGCAGTTTTTCTAAACAATTTGGCCTTTCTCCAAACATTTATCTCTTTTTCTCCTTGGTATAAAAAAAATAAAATGATTTTGTATAAACAATTAAATTAATTCTTTCGGGATTTTTCTTCTAAATTTTTTTTTACTTTTTTCATATTTTAATTACAATTAAATTAAATATATTTTCAAATTCTACTATTTATTATTGTTATTATTATTATTATTATTATTATTATTATTATTTCATATTCAAATAAAAATTAAAAATATATAATTATTAATTAATTATAATAATTATTAAAATTGACAGAATTCAATTATTTTCAATACACTTTCAAAAAAATTTGTCAAAGGAATTCAATTATTTTCGAAAATTTTAATTAAATCCTTAACAAGACTTCAATTATTTTTATAATAATTATTAAAATTCTTTACAGAAGTTCAATTATTTTTAATACAATTTCAAAAAAATTTGTCCAAAGAATTCAATTATTTAAAAAAAATTTTGATTAAATTCTTCATGAGAATCGAAATTTTTTCAATACAATTTTAAATATATATTCCTTGAAAAAAATCAATTATTTAAAAACATTTTTATTAAATCACTAACAAGAGTTCAATTATTTTCAGTTCAATTTGAATAAAATGTCTCAAAAGAATTCAATTATTTTAAAAATTTGATAAAATTGTTCTGACAAATTCAATTATTCTCAAACATTTTGTTTAAATTCTTTATGAGAATTTAAATTTGTTGCAATATAATTTCAATTAGTTCCTCGAAAAAATTCAGTTATTTTCGAAAATTTAAATTGAATTCAATTATTTCCAATTATTAAAAATTTGGTAAAATTCTTCTCCAAAATCCAATTATTTTGAAAAATTTTGATTAAATTCTTTATGAGAATTGATATTTTTTCAATACAATTTTAACTAAATTCCTCGAAAAAATTCAATTACTTTGAAAATTTTTATTAAATTCGTTACGAGAATTAAAATATTTTCATAATAATTATTAAAATTCTTTACAGAAGTTCAATTATTTTTAATACAATTTCAATTAAATTTCTCAAAAAAATCCAATTATTTTTAAAAGTTTCATAAAAATTTCTCAAAAATTCAATTATTTTGAAAAATTTTATTCAATTTATTACGAGAATTGAAATATTTTCAATACAATTTTCACTGAATTCCTGGAAAAATTTCAATTAATTATGAAAATTTTAATAAAACTCTTAACAAGATTTCAATTATTTTAATAATATTATTAAAATTCTTTACAGAAGTTCAATTATTTTTAATACAATTTCAATTAAATTTCTCAAAAAAATCCAATTATTTTTAAAAGTTTCATAAAAATTTCTCAAAAATTCAATTATTTTGAAAAATTTTATTCAATTTATTACGAGAATTGAAATATTTTCAATACAATTTTCACTGAATTCCTGGAAAAATTTCAATTAATTATGAAAATTTTAATAAAACTCTTAACAAGATTTCAATTATTTTAATAATATTATTAAAATTCTTTACAGAAGTTAAATTATTATTTATTTTCGCTTGCGTTTCGAGTTGGCACCAATTCATCTTCACAGCTAGAAATTAAAATATAGAAATTATAGAAATTTATAAAAAATTATATATTTTTAGAAAATTATAGAAAATTATAAAAATATAGAAATATTTCTACTATTTAATTTAATCAATTGCCAACACAAACTTTTAACAAAATGATTTTTCGAAAAATAGATTTTAGAAATCTTTTCTTAAGTGAAAAATTAATTAAAATCAATTATTCTTTAAATTATAAATAAATTATGATTTCCATAAATTTTAATTATTAATTCATTTGAATTAAGTTAAACGTTTTAATAAAAAAATAATAGAAAACGTTACAAAAATTTTATAAATACAATACAAAACTATTTAATGAAAATATACATCTGCAAATACAATTTAAAATCGACTTTAACGTTTGTGAAATGAGTTCTTAAGCGTTTCTGGTTCACTTTGTATAATAATGACATTTAACATACTCTTTCAACATTATTTTTTAAATAATCGAAAACTAATTAAATATAACGATAATTATTTATCTATTTATTTTTTTTGAAAACGAAGTAACCTTAAATTTATCAGGTCAATTTCACGTCTCCTCGTCAGAATCTTCGGCTAGGACTTTATCATGGCCAGGTAACATTCTCGGGTCGAAAGTTGCTTTAAAGCATTTTTGGAAAATTAAACGCGCCTTCTTCGATGGCTGTCGTGGTGGCGAGCATGGAATAATTTCATCATCATTCCTCTGATTACTTCCACCAGGATTGGATTTTCTTCTTGGTACCGGTGGAAAGAGGGTTTGCAATGCACTGTTCGTTTTCTTCAATACTGTACTTGAGGTTGGCGATGGTGTTGATGATGCTGATGATGGAATTCTTTGTGGTAATCGATTCGAGTGATTTTCGTTTAATATTGCTGGTTCAGACATCATCGAGACGGAGCTCATTGACATTATATCCTCTTCGGTTGTATTTTTATTTTGACTAGTGCGCTTTGAAGTTTGATAATTTTTTTCATTAATTGCCTTTGTTTTCGACACTTTCGAAACGGACTTTGATGTTTTGCTCGGCGCTTTTTTGGCTGGTGCTTTCTTTTTAACAGATGAATTCACTTTTGGAGTTGGAATCGACTGACTTTCGGTGTCGGGATGAAGAGTCGAGAGAACAAGATTCGCTTCAAACGATGGATTTTTTAGAACAAACACTACGGGTCTAAAAAAGTGAAAAGTTATCAAATATTATTTAATAACGTTAAAGAATATTGATATTATTAATTAAAAAATAAGGAAATAAAATTTTACTTTACAGTGTTGCCACAAAAATTTAAATTTTTTCCCCTAATTTCCAGATAGAATTTTGACTAAAATTCTTCTTTAAATCAATTATTTTTAATAATTTCTGAAAAAGTTCTTCTTTGAGAATTTTTAAATCCATTTGTTTACAATTGAATTTTACGAAATCTCGATTAGTCGGAAATTCTTCAATTTATATTAGAAAATAAAAACTTGAAATAATTTCAACAAAAATTCAATTTAACTTTTTCAAACAAATTAATTCTACAGAATTGTTAGTTAAAAGTATGAAAAATACAGATTTTCAAAGATTTTATTTTTAAACTTTTTCAAAATTCACGCTAAAAAGCTAATATTCAATTATTATCTACGATTTTAACTAAAATTCATTTCTTAATATCAATTTCTATTAAAAATCTACGAGAATTTAATTATTTAAATACAAAAATAAATATTTATTGAATAGTGGATTGTTTCTAAAAATTGAATTTATACCAAGAATTTTATCAACAAATTTTTAAATAATTGAATTCTTTTGACGAATTTTAATGAAAATTTTAAGAATAATTATATTTTTCGAGAAATTCGATTAAAATTAAATGTTTGCGTAGAATTTTATCAACATATTTTTTAAATTCTAGAATTCGTTTGGAAAATTTTATTAAAATAATGGTTATTGAAAGTCATTGAATTGAGACAAATTTTGTAAATAATTGAATTTTGGCGAAAAATTTTATCTTGAGGATTTTCTTATCAATTTTTGAAAATAATTGGATTTCTGTGGGAAAAATTTTATTAATTTAAAAAATTATTTAATTCTTGTGATGAATATTGTTATTTTTAAAAATTATTGAATTTCGCAAAAAAAATTTATTAAAAATCCTAAAAACAATTGAATTTCTGGGAACAATTTTGATATTTATCAAGATAATTGAATTCTTTCAAAGAATTGTTTTAAAATTTTTGAAATAATATAAAATAGTCAATAAAAGATTCAAATAAAATAGTTGATATTGAAAATCACAGAATTGAAAACAATTTTGGAAAATAATTGAAATTTTGCAAAGAATTTTATTAAAATTTTTGAAAATAATTGAATTGCGGAGATGAATTTTATTAGTTATGAAAATAATTGAATTATTGCGGAGAAATTTATTAAAAAAAATTTAAATAATTGAATTCTTGTGAAATTTTTATTATTAATGAAAATAATTAAATGCTTGCGTAGAATTTCATTAAATTTTTTTTTTTAAATTGAATTTTTTGGGAAATTTTTTTTTTAAAACTGTGAATATTGAAAATCATTGAATTAAGGAAAATTTTTGATAATAATTGAAATTTTGACAAGAATTTTATTATTTTTGAAAACAATTTAATTTTGTAGAAGAATTTTATTATTTATAAAAATAATTGAATTCTTTTGAGAAATTTTATTGAAATGGTATTGAAAATAATTGAACTCCTGTAAAGGATTTTTGTTTAATTTTATTTAATTTGTCCCCTGACAAATTTTACATTCCCTAACTTCCCCTGACCTGTGGCAACCCTGCTTTAGCTTAAAATTTAAGTATAGTTTAAAATAAAATTAAATAATTTAGAATCGTGTTCAATTTTAATTTAAAAAAATTATCCTTAAGTTTTGAACGTTCAAATAAACGAAATATTTTGTATTAAAAATATTTCCATAAGTCACTAATTGCAATACAAATTTAAATCTTAAATTTTACGTTCATAAACTTTATATAAGAAATTTTTTTATAGTGACGCAAAATTTTTGTAAAAAAAATTTAATTTGAAGAAAAAATATAAAAATTTTGTTTATTTCAACGTTCAAAACTTTAAGGAGAAATTTAAAATTCAAAGAAGTAAAAGTAACAAAATTATTTTACCTTCCGGCGTCCTCGAAATTAATGCTTATTGGTAAATTGACTATTTCAGCGAAACTTAAAATTGCTCTTAATTCTTTTAAACAAAATGTCACATTCGCATTTGAACCTATGGTGTACTGTTCGAATTCTCCAACAGCAAGAGCAATTTGCGTTCGGGTACCATGCGATAAACCTGCAAACGGAATTAATAGTAAAACACTTTTAGAATACAATAAACTATACAAATTTATTGGGATACAATAAAAATAATTGTTATTTCATGTCTCGGATTAACTTTAAGTTTAAGGAGCAAAAAAAGTCGTTTTAGTTGATTTAAAGGAAAAAAAAGCGAAAAACCCGTTTATTTTTATCCAGAAATGTCACAAAAATTTAATTTTCTATTTATCTGACTTTTCTCTGATATTCAGAAAAATTTGTAACTTTTTCGCTTATCGCAATAATTTGTTACACTATGTAAATCGAGATTATTTGCATTTTATACTAAAAATATGTGGAAGAGAAATCGAATTTTATGAAAATTAGTCGTTAAATTCGCATTTCTCAAAAATAATTGAAAAAATTAAAAAAGAATACTATTCGAGGTTACTTATTAACTACTGTTTAACTACTTATTAATTTTTAACGATAAACATTCAAAATACTTACTAGAAGATTCATCTACGTAATTTCTTATCAAAACTTTATGTGGAGTGACTTCTAACGTTATTTCAATCAAGTTTTGCGGAAAATTTTGAGTAACGTCCAAAAGAACTTTCGCCTGTGCTAATAATTGATTTGGAAGTCCATCCTTTTTGTACGCTGCCTAAAAAAATAAAATAACAAAGTTTATTGATTTTATTGATATTTAGTTTGATAATTCAATATGGATTTTTTTTTATTAATGAGAGAAGAAAGTATATTTAAAGGTGAATAAAATATCTCACCTTAATAGTTTCACAATCAAGTATCGGCAGTCGATGGGTTTTAATAATGCTGTTTTTATACTTCAAAATAAAATATATTTTCGATGCATTTGGTTCCAGTTTTATATGGCAAGTTTCTAGAACTTTATCCATTAGATGAGGTGCTTTGAAAACACCTAAGGCACACTGAAAAAAATTTTTACTTCAGTTTTCTAAAAGTAAGAAGCAATAAGAAAATAAATAATTTGTCTCTATTTTAAAAATTAAATTAATTATAAATATAATTAATGAGCCGAAAGTTATGAACGTTCTAATGAACGAAATTCATTTATTTCTTCTGAAATTAAATTGTCATTACACAAATTTTGCCTTATAAAAAAGGTAATTATAAAGTTTCTAAAATTTACGATTTTAATTTTTATTGCAATCACTTGTTTTACCAGGATTGCAACAAAAATTTAATTAATTTTAATTAATTTAATTTAATTATTATTATCATTATTAAATATAAAATCATTATTATTGTTTCATAGGAATTAAGATTTTAAAAAATTTCAATTTAAAACCAAATAAAACTCAATTATTTATAAAAAATCTTTTTAGATAGTTTCAATCAATAGTTTTATTTAAAATAAATATTTATTCATTATTATTTTTCAATAGGATTTTTTTAATTTCTAAAATAGTTTTCAAAAATTACAAATTCAAACATTTTTCAAATTTAACAAAACTTATAATAATTAAAGTTGACCGAGTCAAAATAATTATTTTATATTATAAGAATAATTGTTACTGTAACTTTTTCAAAATTATTTTCATTTCAATTCAATTATTTTTTTCTATAATTTTTAACTAAAATTCTTCTTATTAAATCAATTATTTTTAGTAATTTTTGAAAAAGTTCTTTAAGAATTTCGAAATCCATTTATTTACAATTCAATTTTACAAAATTTCGATTATACGGAAATTCTTTAATTAAATACTATATTAGAAAATAAAAACTTGAACTAATTTTAAAAGAAATTCAATTAAAATTTTTCAAAGAAATTAATTATTGTTAGTTCAAAGTATGGAAAATTCAAATTTTCAATGATTTTTATTTGAAATTTTTTCAAAATTCAATTATTTCTAAAAATTCATGCAATAATGCTTTTAATATTCAATTATTATCTAAAATTTTTAACTAAAATTCATTTTTTAATGAATTTTTAACAAAAAATTTTTTATGTGAATTCAATTATTTAAATAAGTACAAAAACAAATATTTCATTAAATAATTAAAAAAATTAATTCTTAAAATTGACTTCTGATAAATAATTTTAACAATAAATTTTTAAATAATTGAATTCTTTTGACGAAATTAAATAGAATTTTTCAGAGAATAATTGCATTTTTCGAAGATTTTGATCAAAATTGTGTTAAAAATAATTGAAATTGTGCGATGAATTGTATTATTTATGAAAATATGTAATTAAATCTTTGTAATTTAATTATTGCAAAGAAATTTATAAAAAAATTAATAAATAATTGAATTCCTGGGAAAATTTTGATTATTTATGAAAATAATTGAATTTCGTAGAAGAATTTTATTATTTTTAAAAATAATTAAAATTTTGACGATAAATTTTTTAAATTCTTCAACATAATTGAATTTATAGGAAGAATTTTATTACTTTTGAAAGTAATAATTGAATTATCTGCAATAATTTGTAACTTCTCAAAAATTCAATTATTTTTTAGTGTTTTTAATAAAAATTTTTTTAAAATAGTAGATATTAAAATTCATCGAATTAAGGAATATTTTTGTAAATTTAACTATATTTAAAAAAAATATTTTATTATTTATTAAAATAATTGATTTAATGGGAAGAAATTTTTTAAAAATTTGTAAATAATTAAATTATTGCAAAAAATTTTATTATTTATGAAAATAATTGAATCCATGTAAAAGAATTTATAATTTATGAAAAAAATTGAATTATTGCTAAGAAATTTATTATTTATGAAAATAATTGAATTATTGCTAAGAAATTTATAAAAAATTTGTTTTTTTAAATAATTGAATTCCTGTGAAATTTTTATTATTTATAAAAATAATTCAATGTTTGCGTAAAATTGAATCAATTTTTTTTAAATAATTTAATTCATTTGAAAAACTTTATTGAAGTCGTAGATATTGAAAATAATTGACACTTTGCCAAGAATTTAATTATTTATGAAAATAATTGAATTTCGGAGAAGAATTTTATTATTTATAAAAATAATTGAAATTTTGATGACAGAATATTTAAAAATTTTTGAACATAATTAAATTTTTATAAAGAAGTTTATTTCTTTTGAAAAGAATTGAATTTCTGCAATAATTTTTAAAAACTTCAAAAATGCTTTTTTTTAGTGTTTTTAACTAAAATTCTTCTATAAATCCATTAGTTTTGATAATTAATTAAATATATATTTAAAAAATTAACTAATTTCAGAAGAATATAGAAATAGAAAGAATTGATGGTGTTTGTATAATTAATTATAAATTTATACAACCAAATTGATTAATTAATGTTATTCCAATTAAATGATAAATTTAAACTACCAAATTGATTAATTAATCTTATACCAATTAAATTTTATTTAATTATAAATGAATACTACTAAATTATAATCCTTAAATTAAATTTCACATTAAAATAATTGTTAATTTCAGTATTTTAAACTTTCACTTACCCTCATCGAAATTTTACATTTTAATGCATCGTCGTCCTTGAGATCTCCAAAAGAGTAATACGAAAAATAATTTTTAAACATTGTAAAATTCACATAAGCAGAATTTGACATACTAACTGCTCGAAAGGAAATTGAATCTTCTTGTGGTTGTACATACATTTCATCTCCGATTTTCCCAAGAGCATTAATCGCTTTTGCTAATACTGTAAAAATAGCCAAAAAAAATATACCAAAATTACAAGAATAGTTTAGGATTTTCAAATTAAAAAATAGCAGAAAATTTACAATATTGTTTATGCAAAAGACCCTCTTTAAAGAAAGTGGACTGTTTTAAAAATATTAAAACTAAATTCTAGTATTTGAACTTTACGGTTAATAGAACTTTTCAATCTTTCTAATTATGATACAAATTAAATTGTTGTTAGATTATAAATAAGATATATTTTTTTATATGAAATAAAAATAAACATCAATTTCGGAATGTTGAACATAACCTATACAAACAAGAAATTATGAATTTAAACTTACTTTTTATGTTTGATCCAGAAATGATGCACTTCATGATGAAAGCTATTTGTCCTCTCAATAAACTTTTGTTATCTATGAGAATTTCTAGTAAGTATATTTAACATTTCACTAACTTTTATTTATTTAAACATTTCTCTTGACATTTTCCCGCAAACGCCGCAAAAACCGAATGAACAGAAAAATTGAGAAAGAAAAACCAGAGAAAAACTAATTTACTCATTTTTGATTGGCTGAAATACTTTCCGGACAAAAAAATAATCATTTAAGGTTAGGTCACTCACCTGTCACTCCCACTTCCTGTTTGAGTTTTGACATTTTTACTGCTGTTTTCTTGGGTCTTTATAACATTTTAAAACTGAAAATACTCATTATTTTAAATAGTTACTTTTTATTCTTGTTACTAAAGTTGTGTTTTATTAGTCAAATATGGTAGGTGAATTGTCGAAATTTTTTACAGAGACTTTTATAAATTTTTGTGGTGAAGCCTTTTAAAATCTAACCTCAAATTTTATTGTATTTTATTTTCAAAAGCTGTTTTTGTCTATATCTGTATTGAAATTGTAATTTACAATATAAATTAAATATTGTTATAACTATTATTAATGATTATTATGAATTTTATAACAGTTTTGAATAATTTTGATTTAATTGCAGTTGGTACTAGTTTTGGGTGATTTACATATTCCACATAGATGTAGTAGTTTACCGAGTAAATTTAAAAAACTTCTCGTTCCTGGAAGAATACAGCACATTTTATGTACTGGAAATTTATGTACAAAGGAATCTTACGATTATTTAAAAACATTGGCCAGTGATGTTCATGTTGTGAGAGGTGAATTTGATGAGGTAAACAATTAAAAAAAAACGTATTTTTAAATATTTTGTACTTTGTTCTCAATTTCTATTTATTTTTCCAAGCGAATTTTTATAATTGTTCGATGAAAATAATTTTACATTTACTTTTCTTTAATCGATATTAAAACAATTTGTAAAAAATTATCGTTTTCCGCTTGAAAAGAAATGATTTTTTTCTTCAATCGTTAATTGTGAATTAAATAATTTTAATTAACAAATAACAAAATTTTACAATTTCTTGATCAATCAACATAAAAAATTTGCAAAAAATTATTATTTTCCGCGTGAAAAGAATTTATTTTTTTCTTCAATCGTTAATTCTGAATTAAATAATTTTAATTATCAAATAACAAGAATTTTTGAAAAATAATTAATTAAATTAATTAAACAAAAAATAATTCTTGATATTAATTTGTCTTCTATATTAACTTCTTGTAGTAATTTTTTCTTTTTAAATGCTTTGAATTTTAAAAATAATGCATTGAAAAATTATTAAATTCTAGAATTTAATTATTTATTTATCAAATTTATCAAAATTTTTTAATATAATTCAATTCTTTAGAAGTATTTTATTAAAATTTTTAAGAATAATTGAATTCTTTCGAAGAATTGTATTAAAATTTTTAAGAATTGAATTCTTTCGAGAAATTTTATTAAAATTGTATAGAAAATAATTGAATTCACGCGAAAAATTTTATTATTCATGAAAATAATGGAGTTTTTTCAATAATTTTAATTGAAAATTAAATTAACTAAATTTTATGAAGAATTTCTTTCAAGTTTTTAAAATAATAATGCTTGTTAATAATTTGTTAATAATTGCAATTAAATATTTGATACTTTAATTTTATTAAAAATATTTAAAATGTTTGAAAAATAATTAAATTCTTCCCAAAATTTTATTAAAATATTGAAAGTAATTGAATTTCTTAGATGCATTATTTAATTTTTTGAATATAAAATATTGACTGAAACGAATGTATAAAAAAATTAACATAATCGTAATTAATAATTTTATTATTAAATTTTATTAGAGGTTTTATGAATAATTAAATTTATTCAAAGAATTTATTTAAGTATTTTGTAAATAATAAATTTTTTATATAATAATTTTATTTGGAAATTTTCAAGGTAATTGAATTTTACGGAAAATTTCTTTCATATTTTTTTCAAAAAACGTGTTTGTTACTAATTGTTATTAAAAATTTTATTATTGTATTTTATTAAAATTTTTTGAAAATAATTGAATTCTCAGAATTTTTTACAATTTTTGAAAATAAGTGAATACTTTAGAGAAAGTTTATAAAAATTGTACTAAAAATAATTGAATTCTTATAGAACATTTTATCAAAATTTTGTAAGTTAATTTTTATTCTTACAAAAAATTTTATTAAAAATTTTTAAAATAACTAAATTTCCGCAAAAAAATTTATTATTTATGAAAGTACATAATAGAATTGTTTTAAAGACCTGCTTTGAATTTTTTTTTTAAATTAATGGAGTTCTTTTTAAATAATTTTAATTAAAAGATTAAAGTAACTGAATTTTATTACGAATTTCTTTCACGTTTTTAAAATAAAATGGCTTCTTAATAATTTATTAATAATTGCAATTAAATATTAAATTAAATATTTATTTCATTAAAATACTTGAATTTTATTAAATTTTTTAAAAAATAATTAAATTCTTCTCAAAATTTTATTAAAATATTGAAAAAAATTGAATTTCTTAGATGTATTTATTTAATCATTGGAATAAAAAATATTGCTTGAATTGAATACAAGGAATTTATTTTTTATTATTGAATTTTATTAGAGGTTTCATAAATAATTACATTTATTTGAAAAATTTCTTTGAGTATTTTGAAAATAATGAATTTTTCTAATAATTTTGTTTAGAAATTTTGAAAGTAATTGAATTTTAGGAAGAATTTTTTTCATATTTAAAAAAAACGTGTTTGTCACTAATTGTCATTAAAAATTTTATTAAAATTTTTTGAAAATAATTGAGTTCTTCCCAGAATTTTTTACAATTTTTGAAAATAAGTGAATTTTTTACAATTTTTGAAAATTGTACTGAAAATAATTGAATTCTTTAAATAAATTATTGAATTTTTTAAGTAAACTTTTATTCTTTCAAAAAATTTTATTAACATTTTTGCAAATACTTGAACCTTTTGCAGAAAGTTTATTAAAATTGTATAAAAAATAATTGAATTCTTGTGAAGAATTTTATCATTTATGAAAGTAATTGAATGCCTTAAGGTCATGTTATTCAGTGGTCACGTGCTCCATATAGTTTACTATGGGAACACGTGACCACTGAATAACATGACCTTAAAAGAATTTTATTATTTATGAAAATAATTGAATTATTGCGAAGAAATTTATAAAAAATTTGTAAATTCAATTTAATTCAATTTTTTTTTAATAATTGAATTCATTTAAAAAATTTTATTGAAAGACAGTAGATATTGAAAATAATTAAATTATAAAATATTTTTGAAAAGAATTGAAATATTGCCAAAAATTTTATTAAAATTTTTGAAAATAATTGAAATTTTGCGAAAAATTTTATTAAAATATTTGAAAATAATTGAATGTCGAAGAGGAATTTTATTATTTATAACCTAAATTAAAATTTTTAAGAGAATTTAAAAAAAAAATTTTAAACATAATTGTTTTTCTGCGAAGAAGTAATTAGGTATTACTTTTGAAAATGTTATTGTAATTCTGCATTCATTTGTAAAAACTCTAAAATTCAATTTGTTTAGTGTTTTTAACTAAAATTCTTCTGTAAATCCATTAGTTTTGATAATTAATTAAATATATAAAATTAAAAAAATTAACTAATTTCAGAAAAATATAGAAATAGAAAAAATGAAGGTTTTGTATTAAAAACTCAAAACTTTAATTTAGAGAAAATATTAAAAAATCAAAGAAAACACTTATGAGTTTTTTCCACTGCTTTCTCTAAAAACCTTAATTTAAATAGTAAAATAAATAATAAAATAATAAATATAAAAAATAATTAAAAATTGTAAAAAATAGTAAAATACAAAAATAAACAATAAATAAGTAAATGTAAATAGTTCTTATAAAAGTAATTTCAAAATAAGTACGTTAAGATTTAGAAATTAAAAATTTCTTCCTTTTGATAGAATTTAAATTATCCTGAGCAAAAAGTAGTGACTGTTGGACAATTCAGAATTGGATTGTCACATGGCCATCAAGTAGTACCATGGGGAGATCCAGAATCTCTGGCCTTAATTCAGAGGCAATTAGATGTTGATATCTTGATATCTGGCCATACACATAAATTCGAAGCCTATGAGCATGAAAATAAATTTTACATTAATCCTGGCTCAGCGACTGGAGCTTACAATCCACTTGATACGTAAGTTTTTCCTCTTTTATCAGTTTCAAAGCTGTTTACCTGAAATAGTCTCAGTCTTCCTGGAAAGCAAAAATATCAATTAAATTTAGAAATTTATATTTAAAACTAAAATTTTTTAAGTTTTAAATTTTTCATTGAGTATAAAGAATAAATTTGTTGCTCTCTTGAGTGGAAGTTTCGTTGTTTTTGCATTTTAATCGTAATTAATAAAACAATAAAATTTTTTAGCTAAAATCTTTTTTTCTTTTGAAAATTAATCCAATTTTTAATAAAAAATTAAAAATAGATTTGAAAGTGTATTCTCGACTTAAAACGAATTAATAAATTTTTAAAATGTGGATGTTTTATCTATAAAACTAATAAAAGTAGTACTTAGTCGCAATTTTTTTAACAATTTTCTAATGAAATATTTTCCGAAGAATGAAAAACAAAATTTTATAATTAAAAGTTAAACAATTTTTCAAAAAATTGCAATTATTTGAAAAACAACTCTAAAATTTAATTTGCAATCAATACCCGTAATCATATGGAAAAAAAATTTGAAAAATGAGTTATTTTTAATTTTTTCTAATGAAATACCTCTCGCAGAATGCAAAATAATTACACTGAAAAATGTTCATTGCTTTAAATTTTACTGCTCGTGCTTCGTTTAAAATGTTTTCTTTCATCAACAATTTTAATCGCTTCCCGTCGCCAATTTTCTTTGTTTTTCAATACATTTTTCATGATTTCGTTTTAAAAATTTATTTTCATATTTTTCTTTAGAAAATAAAATTTCTAAAATTATCAAAAATATATTTTATTAGTTTATTAGCTCCAATTTTTAATTTTATTTAAATTTGAATAAATTTAATTTCTTACTAGTAAAAGTCTGTTCCTTTAAAAATATGCTCCAATTATTAATTTTCTTTTAACTAGAATACTGTATTTTTATTCATTAAAGTTTAATTGTGTTAATTAAATAATTATAGTGTTAAATAATTTATTAAATAATTAAAGTGTAATTGCAGTTTAAAATCTGCAACAAGGTTAGAAAACTCAAATGACCCATGAAAGGCTTCCATGTCAGGGCTACGCTTTAAGGTCGAACAATTTTTACTAAAATACAGTAATACAATTTTTAATTAAAGTAAAAATTAGATAAAAATTAATAAAAATAATTTCTCTAAAGAGGAAACATAGTAAATATATTTAAAAATAAATCTATTTAAATAATTATTCGAATATTTCTGAACGTTTAAATGAAACGAACCACAAGTTCTAAACATTCAAGTGAACGAAATATTTTTTATTAAAAACATTTTCATAAATTACTAATTGCAATAAAAATTGAAGACTTAAATTTTACATGTAGAAACTTTATAATTAATTTTCTTGACAATGAGGGGCAAAATAATAATTGTAATAAAAACTCAATTTCAATGAATCAATTTCGATCATTTGAACGTTCAGAACCTTAGGATCATTAAATGAAGGAAATATTATTTAAATATAAATGTTTTTAAAAATTACTGACTGTAAGAAGAATCGAAAATGTAAATTAAACATTTTGAAAGCTAAATTAATTTTTATTAGGTGACTCAGTATTATTAAAATAAAATTAACTAATTTTTCAAAGTTTTTTTTACTTATTTATTTACGAGTATCGGTTGTAATTGAATTTGTTTAGAATTGTTTTTCCATAAATATTGCAATTTTTGAAACAAAGGTTTTAATTTTGTTGCATTTTTCGGAAATTATTTCATTAGGAAAAATTATAAACAACTAATTTTTCAAAATTGTTTTTCAAGAAAATGTGATTTTTAAAAAAACTGTTCAAATAATAAAATATTGTTATACTCTCTTTGGAAAAAATTTCATTAGTTAAAATTAAAAGCAATTAATATTTCAAATGTTTAGAATTGCTTTTCAAGAAAATACGATTTTTGAACAAATTTGTAATATTAAAAACTAATTTTTCAAATTTTTAGAATTTGTTTTTTCAAGAAATTACAATTTTTGAAAAAGTTGAAGTTTTAAATTTTACAAATTAATAGTTCAAAATCTTGTAAAAAGTATTAAAGTAAAAATTTTTAAGACTTTTTTCATAATTTTAATTCATTATATGGCTTAAAATTATTTGGTTCTGCATTGTCGGAAATTTTAATTTTCTTTTTAAACATTTCAATTTCTAAAAACAAAATAAAAATAACAGTTAATTTTTTTCTTTTAAATTTTTAATTTAAAATTCCACTTCTTTAACAATGTTTATCATTATTTATCGCCGATGTTTAAAAATACTTTTGCCATGGTTCTGAATAATAAATCGTTTGGATTTTTAAATATTTTAATTTTTTAAAAAAATTTTTTAAAACGATAGAAAAACACTTTATAAAAATTAATTTTAATTTTAATTTTTTTAAATTAATAGAATAATTTTGTATCTTAAAAAAATGGCAGAAATAGTAAAAAAGCGAACAGAAATAGATATTCGCCAACAATATGAATTTCGATGAGAGTTAAAAATTCATTGATCACGAAGTTTATATCATTTAAAAAAAAATTTTATAGACTTTTGTAAACAAAGAAATAAAATTGTATTTATTTTTACTTTACGTTAAAAATAGATAAAAAAAAAATAATTGCAAAAAAGTTAAGTTTCATTAAGTGAAATTTTTGGTTTAAAATACAATTGAAATTCATTTGTATTAAAAGTTTCCTTTGTTTGGCGAAACAAATTAGTACGTAAGTCATAAAATCTTCAAAATTTCTCTTGAATTTTTTTTCGACAGAGACTATAGCAGGTGATAAGTAGTTTTTTACAGTAATAATTGAAGAAAAATATTTTTTTCTATAGCTCAGTAATTCCATCATTCGTTCTAATGGATATCCAGAGTTCCACAGTCGTTACATACGTTTATCAATTGGTTGGTGACGAAGTTAAAGTTGAACGGATAGAATACAAAAAGAGCTAAGTTTAGATTGGAAAAAAGTGATATTTTTTTTGCTGCAATTTTTTTTCTCAATTCTTTAATATACATAAATGAATATTGCTTTATTGTATATTTTTTTTTCTCGCAATTTTTTAGCATATGAATTGATTTTTACAAATTTTCGCAAATATTTATACAATTGCGTTATAAGACGCATAATGAGAGGCTTACGGCTTCTATAATGTAAATATGTCGGTGTAAAAAAAAATAACTATCTGAGAGGGACATTTATTTATCGAATAATCTCAGTTTTTAGATATATTATTATTGGTATTATGAGATTTTATCATTTATATTGATTTTTAACTTTAATAATTATTTTATCTTAAAGAATGGATATACTATAAAATTTAGTAAACAAACGTAAATTATAAATATTGATAAGATAATAAATAAAACGTTATGTAATTTATCTGTTTTTTGTCTTGTGGTGCGTGCAGAAAAAAAATTGTTTTTCCTATTTTTAGAAGAAACACTTCAATTTTTCAAAGTGTTGATAACAAAATAAATTTTATTTTTTTTTTATTAAAATTAATATTCTTGTTTTATAGTCGAAAGAAATGAACTATGAGGAATAAACAGGCCTCGTAAATTATGATTTTTTTTACTTTTTTCGATTTATTTTCAAAAATTACGACTTTTTCAACTTTTCTTCCAAATATTGCAACAAAATATCATATATTTCGTATAAAATGCAATTGTTTCGATTTTTATGATGTGAAAAATAACTACAGACAAATCTTTCGAAAATTATTTTCGAATCATTTTTCTAATTAAGTTTTCGAAATGTGCAATAAAAATATTATTAATAATTGAAATGTTGTAAAATTTAATTCGAAATAATTGATATTTTCAAGTTTTTTATTACAATTTTTCAGAATCAAAAGTTTTGAAGATTTTTAATTGCAAATTTTGAAAATAATTGAATTCTGAAAAATTGTAATATTTTTATTCTAATCTTTTAAAATTCAATGATTTTCAATATTTTCAATTAAATAAATAAATTTTTGAAAATTCAAATACATACAAAAAATAATTTTGAAATTTTTTAGAACTATTTTCAATATTTTGGAGAAAACAATTATTTTCAATATTTTTAATTAAAATTCTTCAAAAAGTTGATTTTCAAAATTTGTAATAAAATCCTTTGAAAAAATCAATTATTTACAATTAAATTTTATAAAATTTCAATTATTCAAAAAATAATTGAATCTTAAAAAAATATATATATCTTTGTAAGATTCAATTATTTTTTGAATAATTGAAATTTTGTAAAATTTAGTTGAAAATAATTGATTTTTTTCAAGTAATTTACTTATTAAAATTTTTGAAAATCAACTTTTGAAGAATTTTAATTGCAAATTTTGAAAATAATTGAATTCTGAAAAATTGTAATAAAAAATCTTCAAGTTTAAATTTAAAAATGAAAATTAATAAAAATTAGCTTCTAAAAATTATAATTAGAATATTTTTGAGAAAAATAATTCACAGAATTTTTTCATTCTAATTTTTTAAAATTCAATTGTCTACTATATTTTCAATTAGGGGAGAGTCTCCAGTTGTGAGACACCTCCAGTTGTGAGACAGTCAATTTTTTTTAACATGCAATATTAAAAAGCCGATTGGTTTATATAAAAACATTTCTTTTTATATGAGCCAACTTTTTCGTGTACGCCGAAGCGGATATATAAACTGTTTTTGTTAAATACCAACACTGTGTGTGATAATCGACTAAAAAGCGTTTTTTCAATAAATACAAAGTACTTTTTTTCCAAGTTAATTAATTGGAAAAGGTAAATGTAATGCATTTTCTTTTAGTGTTTTCCTTATATTTTGTGATGCAATATTGCATTGTTCCAATCTACGGTTGAAAATAATTTAATTTTCCTTTTTCAAAATAGCGCCAATTTCTGGGTGTGAGACACAGCATATCACCAGTTGTGAGACGGTGTCAACACCCATCTGGGCAGCATAAAAAATACGACTTTGCAGGCATACTATTTAAATGTTGTTTTGATTTTTTTTCTAGTATTTTTGGGCATGTCAAGTGGAAAAAAGTCAATTGATTCAGAAGAAATCAATTTTAATGCTCTTGTTCAAGCTCATAAATTGTGTTTATTTGATAGTCACATTTTGGCGAATAAATATTATTATTTAGTATATAATAATATATATTATTAATATATTTAATTATTTCTACTAAACATAACGTTTTATGTCAAACTTATTAAATTTTAGCAATTTTTAATGAGTGTCTCACAACTGGAGACATTTTTTTTTTTTGAAAAAAGCGATGTGCTCGGAAAATGTATCGTAAAATTTTTTGAGTTCATCGAAACACTATACTTTCTTTTAATAAAAGTTGCGTATTTCTGTTACCTTTCGAACGGTGTATTTTATTAACAATTTCGTTTACCCGTTTACAATTTACGGGTCAAAAATGAAACCCGTCTCACAACTGGAGACTCTCCCCTACATATTTGCGAAAATTCAAATAAATCGGTACAAAAAATAATGAAATTAAAATTTTTAGAATGATTTTTATTTAAAACTTAAATATTATAATTTAAATTTTTAAATAAAACAATCATGTTCAAAATTTTTAATTAAAATTCTTCGAAAAATTAATTAGTTTTTTCTTAAGTTACAAATAAATTCTTTTAAGAAATTCAATTACTTTTTAAAAACTACATTACAATATTTTTAAAAAACTAGTTCTTAGAACTATTTTCTTTTTTTAAGATTCAATTATTTTTTGAATAATTTAAATTTTGTAAAATTTAAATGAAAATAATTGATTTTTTTAAGGATTTTATTACAATTTTTGAAAATCAACTTTTTGAAGAATTTAAATTGCAAATTTTGAAAATAATTGAATTCTCAAAAATTTTAATGAGAATGTTTTCTTAAAATTGTTAAAATATTTTTTAAAAAAATAATTCTTATAGAATTATTCCATTCTAATTTTTTAGAGTTCAATTTTATTTTCAATATAATTGTTTAATTTTTTTTACGAATTTTGGCATTTCGAAAATTCAACTACATACAAAAAATATCATTAAAATTTTTTTGAATTTTTTTTAATATCTTGAAGAAAACAATCATTTAAAATTTTTTAATTGAAATTATTCCAAAAATTAATGACTTTTTGTTCAATTATACAAAAATTCTTTTAATAAATTCCATTATTTTCACAATATTTTTTAAAATATAATTCCTAGAATTGTTTTTTATCATAATTGTTTAAGATTCAATTATCTGCGAACAATGTAAATTGAAATTTTTCAAAAATTTACTTTTTTATATTATTAAAATTTCGGAAAAATTATTCTCATGTTTATAATATAATTAAAATTCTTCAAAAATTTGATTGTTTTTTCAATATTTTTCAAGAATTCCATTTTTTTACTAAAAGAAGATATTGACATCAATTATTATTTAAGAAATTTTTTATTTAAATTATTTTTAATTATTTTAAAAAGATTTTACCTTCAATTGTTTGGGAATCTTTCAATTTTATGTAATAGAAAAACTATTGCCTTTTAAAAATTATTTAAAAATAATTTTAAAATTAATTTTAAAAATTTCTTTATTATAATTTTTTTTTTAAAATATTATACCTTAATAACTTTTGAAAGAAAGTTACGGTTGCAATTATTGCAAAAAATTGAATTTTTGTGTTTGAAATTTAAATAATTGAATTTTTGAAGAACTTTCAGAAAATTAAAAAAAATAATTGATTTTGAGATGAAGTTTAGTTGAAAATTGTAAAAAGTAATTGAATTTTGGAAAGGTTGTAATTAATTGTAATTTTTTGAAATTAGTAAATATAAATTTCTTATTTTAGAAAGTTTTAAATCGAAATTTAAAAAATTTTATTATGGAAAAAAATATTGTATTTAAATATATTTATTTAACAAAATTATTCAATTTTTGAATAATTGAATTTAGAAATCAGTGCGAGAAGGGAAATTCAGGGAAATACAAAATGAAATTTTTGTGACAAATTTTTGAATTAAATAAAATACTTTTTCGATTTTTTTTTTGTATTTTTAATTTTTTAATTGAACAAAGAGACTTTTTTGCGTTTTAAAGTCGATCCGGGGCCTGAATAAATATTTAAAAAAAATTATTTTTCTCTTTATGTTATAATATAAATTATTATTTTTTCTTATCTATTTGTAAGTAACTTTTTTTATCGTAAGACTTAAGGAAAAAGTCGTTATTTTACGTAAAAATTGTAATATACGAAAAATAGTAAATTTTAGGTAGAAAAATTAAAATTAAATATAATAATAATTAAATTAATTTTTTTAATAATTAATTTTATTTATTATAATAATTATTATAATTATTATATAATTATAATAATTATTATATAATTATAATAATTATTATAATAATTATAATTTATTTTAATAATTATATTTATTTAGACTAAAATGTCGAGGAACTAAAATAATTTGGAAAGAATAACAAATTTTTGCCAAAGTGAGAAAAAAGTTGAATAAAATTGAAGACAAAAGAGGATTACAATTTATAATGAGATTTTTAAAGTCTCTTTCCTGTTACTTCATCGCGATAGGAATGAAAATAAACGTGATTCTTGTTTCCCTTTCACTCGTATCACGATGGGAGATAATATCGCAAAAGCCCATGAAAATGAAATAATCGATCTCGAGGACATCGTCCTTTTTAAGTTTTTATTCTTTATAGAATTTGCATTTCAAGTTTTCGCTGTAGGCATATCGATCCTTGGTATTTTGTTTACGAGTTTCCACGCTTGCGATTTTCCAGCCATGCTGTTGGTCACGTACAGTCATAATATGACCTGGTTAAAGTGACTGGTAGACGTGCATTTTGTCCGACTGTTTACATCTAACATTAATGTATAATTATAGTTTCCGCATATCTGTATTTTTTTTATCTATTCACGCAAATCACCTACGCGCTTGATAAGAACTATTATCTCTCCTTCTTGTACAGCTTCATTTATACAGTTACAAAATTATTGCCGCGCAACGTCATATTTTTGACCTCTTCTCATTGCGAAGAGATGA